AGCCGCTCTACTACCGGCCTCCTCGCATCACCGATGCTCAGATCCGCGAGCGCATCATGCTTGACGCGGTGCGCGACTCAATGACGGATGAGCGCCCTTGCTACTAAAAAAAGGAGGTACCGAGAATTTCTTGAACGAGTGCACGATCAATTGTAACATAAGACCTTTGGTCTTTGGAAGGGCGTATGTAGCGCCACCATCGGACCTTCGCCCCGACAGAGACTCTCTTGACGAACGTGCACTCGAGTCGTGATAAAACCCCCACCGAAAGACACGTATTACGCCCTATAAAATATGACTGACACGTAGGGCCTCCGTAGTATATAAGTAGAGTACAAACGATCATGTACTCTAGCTTTCTCCTGCGCACTCAACGAGACTTACCCCGGTCTATTGTGTGAACTCTGAGGAACTCTAACCGTGTGACTACACTTCGCTTACAAAGCTTACCCGTCGTCACAGTGAATCAACCGTCCGAGTCATTCCCGAGACCTCACCAAATCCTTCACGGGTTATAAAATGGTAAACCATTCCGAAAAGATTTCACACCTCCATCTACATCGTCATGAACATGTTTTAAGGAACTCAGGACGAGCAGCGATACGACTACTAATACCTTGAGAAATCATGCATGTATGTCTTATGCAAATAAGTCAGGGTACGTAGCTTTGACGATGTCGGCAGCCTTCTCAGCCACGCCATAAGTAGCAGCAGACGTGTGCGCCGCGGGAAGTCTCGGCTGCGACAAGAGACCCATGAGCACCTCCTTGGCCAACCCAAGGAAAGAAAACAAGCTCACGATAACGCTAGCGTCGATGATCCGCAGTCCTTTCGCCCCTTTGACGAGTAAATCCGGAGCGACTACGCCCCACGTCGCGTCCTTGGGGCTCATCGCCGCCGTCGCGACTGGGTGGAAGAAGCTGACCGCGTGCTCGCGTATGTACGCGTCGAACTGCTCGTCCGTCGTCAGGTTCTGCAACGGCCGGACAAAGTAGCCGTCCCAGGCGGGCGCGGCGAGGTAGCGCATGCCGGCCTTAAGCCCCTGGCGGACGATGTAGAGGTCGAGCTCGTCCGCAAGGAGGTTGGGGTTGATGAGCGGCGGAGCGAACGGGTCGGACGAGTTGATCGTCACGGATCCGCGTGAGGACGGCGAGACGCAGCCGACGGGGAGGTTGAAGTAGTGCCCTGTCTCCTGCGTCGGGTAGACACCGTTCTGCGCGTAGATATGGGGTTAGATCGCGGCCCTCTCGGAAAATCGGCATTCATGCGATCTTACCTGGAAGAGGAATTCGAAGTGGGCTGTGGTGGGTCCGCTTGCGGGGTCGGTATGGTTCTCCCAGATCGGGTCATCTTCCGAAAGGCGCAAGAATGCCACTTGATTCTCGGACGTGTCAACCAAAATTCCGGTCTTATTCACTTCCCACTCCGCGAGGAGCTCGTTGTAGTACGTCTCATTCCTCCAGAGATTATCAAGGGTCTTGGTGTGGTTCGTTTCGTATGTGATGCCGCACTGCAGTGAAGTTAAATAACTGACGACAAACTAACTTGCTAAGCCAAGGGGACTTACACCAATATGGTCGGTCAAGTTTGCGCCAACCTGGAGAATGGTCAGACGGAAGGCCATTCTCTGGTGAGGTAAGTGGGCTACTTACTGATGGGTTGTCCAACAAGACAGGAATCCCGAGGGGTTCAAGGACGGCACCGTCGCCGATACCGGAGTGCATCAGGATAACGGGAGTGCCCACAGCGCCAGCGGATAGGATGACCTCTCGTCTTGCAGTCAGGTTCAGCGCAGATGTGCCTGGTTGTCATACGTAAATCCGAGTTCAGGCTACGAAAGAGATTCGGAGGCTCGTACCATTAACCACCACCTCGACCGTCCTGAAGGTGAGTGCCTCCGCATCCTTCGTCTGGCGCACTCGGGGGACATGCGCGTGAAGGAGAACATCGAGGTTCTTGCGTGCCAGATAGTTCTCAGCCAGGTAGGCCTTCGAGCTGGAGCGGACGCCCCGATCGATCAACGCCTGTGTCCAGGCTTACAACATCGTTAGGAGCGCCGTGTCCCAGGTCGGAAATATATGCACTGACCAATGCCCAAATGCTCGCCAGAGTTCAGGTCTACCTGGAACGGGAATTCCTCCAGCTCTTGGGTAACCGCAATTACGCGCCCGTCCGTCGCACGCGCCGCGCCGGGCACGCTCACGCCGATGACGCCGTCGAAACCGTGCACCTCCGGCAAGAACTGGCCCGAGACGTTATGGCCATCGACCGGCAGGTTGAACTTTTCGCTCTGTGGGACGTGTCAGTTCTGTGATATATGCGAGAAGGCAGAGAGGAGGGAAATGCGTGAAGGCAGAATTGAGGGATATGATGGATCATCGAACTCGCCTTCTTGAAATAAGGAAGGACGCCATCCCAGGACCAACCTTCCTCGCCGCTGAGGGCAGCCCACGTATCGATGTCGGATTTCGTTCCGCGCGTGTATACCAAGCAATCTGTTATGCCACGTAAGTCCAGGTATGCGCCAAGATAACCAACGCGACTCACTAACGGCGCTAGTGCCACCTAAACCAATACCTCGCGGGAATGGGAGGGTGCGGTTTTCGAGGTGCACCTGAGGCGTCGTGGTGTAGTTCCAATCCCAAGGCGTGCTCGGCGTGAGCGTCACGCATAACTGCGGCACGTCGATGTTCAGGACACCCTCGTTGCTACAGTACGAGCACTTGAGTGGACTAATCCTGGAATATATGCAACGAGTTTCGCCAAACTCACGCTCCACCAGCTTCGAGCAGGAGCACCTTCACGCCTGGGCTCTCCGTGAGTCTGTTCGCAGTCGTAGCGCCACCAGGCCCAGCTGCGCTCAACGTGAATCAAGACAACATCACGCGTTATCGAGCATCCGACGTGCCTCCGACGACGATGAAGTCGTACGAATCTTTCAGTTCGGACACATCTTGCAGGATAACTGCCGATGCCAGGCTGCAGGCCAATGACAGCAGTCCGAGAGCACGCAGCATGGCGAGGAAGCTGACAGACCACTCTGCCTCTGCATGACAATATATACGTCGACTTGTGCTAGACGTAACTGATATTCGCGAAGGTCGCCGTTATGCTTCTGCGTCATCGTGAGAGAGAGCGGTGGTCCCATGCCGCCTCAAAGGCTCATACATGGCGACACCGGTCCCTTTGGCTACGTCCTGGCCCACTCGTGTGGATCATGTCGCGCCCAGTGAGGGCTTTGAACCAATTGTGGTCGGGAGGCAAGGGCATAAGCAAAGTCAACCTGGAGGCAGCGCGAAGACCGCTCATCCCAGTCATCCAGGATCGCAGCGTCTTGGCGTAGTGCCATGAGAGTGGACAACTGCCAAGAAGCGTTGCGACCACCGAGGTTGGGAGCCGAGACCACTGGAGGATGGTGAACGGGCAAAAAGCCTCTCGGAGGACCTGACATCACGAACGGCGATTCTCACGGTCAATCTTGCTTGCATGATGCGATGAAACCAGGCTCTCTCAAGGGGGTAGCGGGGCGTGTCAAAGGATATACACCTCAGATTATATATCATGACAGAGGGGTCATCGTAGTCAACAAACCTCCAGGGCTGGTAACCCAAACAAGCAAGACCCTGAAGGTAAAGCCACCTCATGGCGTTCCGCAAACATCGACTTCCATCTGAACACTTTTTCGTAGAACGGCGCTCATCGCGACGCTTATTCCATCTTTCTCGATGGTGAATACGCACGCGCCACAAGCCTTGCCATTTTTGTTGATGTTCTAATGCAGAAGTGAAGACTCAGCTCAATCTCCACACCAGACCCCTCCACGTACATCGTCTAGACAAGGTATAGAGCGTGACTCCGAAACATGCGGACCTGCTGACGTCGTAGGCTTCAGGCGACTACTGGAGCCTTGGTCCTTGGCCGCTCTCCTACACTTGCCAAGGATCTTTGCAAGCAGTTCGCGGAGCGGTCTGTGGACAAATCATATCTTGCCCTCGTACATTGGCACCGCCATGAAGTTTCGGGCGCGACGGGCCAAGTCCATGTGCATCTTTGCATGGAGGATGGCCGAATTGACATCGCGCGTTCAATGGACGATGCAGGCAAGCTGTCCGTGACAAGCTGGGAAGTTGCAGCAACATCCGTAGGTTTGGACGCGCGCATCCGTCCGGTGGTCACGCTGAGCGTTCGAGAATAGACAATTCTCCCGCTCGCGCTGCTTCGGCTCGATTTGCATACAGGGTAATGGCGCTCTCCCCTTGGCTCTTGCGAAAACGCAGGCTTACGGTCGGTTTTTATCAGTCTGAAGCATCAGTTGCGCGTAGTGCTTGCGCGATACTTTCAGGGTATGTTTCCCCGATGTCCTCAACGTGCGTCATGCTCCATAAAAAGGGTTTCGCAGCACCCATTCTCGGCGATTCTCTCTACGCCAATCCTTTACCCCGAGATAACACGCAAGGCAAGATCCACGGAATTCCCTCGGACCGACTATTCCTGCATTCCTCAAGCATCTCTATCTGGGCAAGTCCTCCGAACATTCTCATCGCTCCTCGCAAGCACTCACGATATATTTCTTCCAGCGTCACGCGCCCTCAGGCCGAAGACGCCGCCTGACCGTCTTCGCCCCCCTTCCCGAAGATTTCCTGAATGTCTGTGAGCGCGCGGGGCTAAAAGTGGATGGGAACGCGCTCGAGGCCAGGGGCGGCGTGCTCGTGGACGGGGAGGAAGTCCGGGATGGACTCGCGATCGAGGGAACGGGCACGGTAGGGCTGACGAAGGTTCCCTTGCACCGTTCCGAATAAGCCATCTAACTCCAAAGGTGGATTGTATACGCGTCGCCGATCCTGCGTGGATCTCGACCCTAATGCGCTACTGTACAATGTGAAGATAATACTGGTGGTCCAAACTCGGTCCACATAGAGAAGAATAGATACCCTACGACGTTGACTTCCGCCAGGGATCGTAACGCATGATCTCGTCGCAGGCGCGCTCATGACTTGCTCTTCGCGGGCTCGGCGAGCAATGTGCCTTCCTGCGAAGCCTTCAGCCAAGTACCGAGGCCGACCGCGACGGCGCCGATGGCCTGAGCGGCATGGCTAGCGAGAATCGCTCCCCCGGCACCACCTGCTATCGCGGGCATCGCCGGCAAGGACCCTGCGGTCTAACATACGTCGTCAATCAGCTTCAAAACCCGATCAAGTATGGACGATTGCCCACTCACGATTAATATCGCGCTGATAGCGGTCATGGTCTTCGGGTGTTCGGAGGTGAGGAAGTCGAGCGCTTTACACGCGTTCAGGAGCCATACAGGCGCGTTTGCAACGGTCGTTTCGATAGCTGAGTCGCAATCAGTCAGGGTCGGTGAGAATATGACAGTATGGTACGGGACTCACGATCGCTGTTTGCTCGATGGGGTTGGGGTTTAGGCGGTACCGGAGGCGCGTGCTCGACGAACGCCATGATGGAATCGGACATAGCTCGAATGGGTGTCTTACGGGGCGGGGGAGAGGAGGTCGAAGAGTCGTGTTTTCTCTTACTCTTGCTATCCTCGGACTTATGCTTGGAAGGAGACTCCTTACTCTCCGTCTTTGATGTAGAGGGGTCCTTCTTGGACGTTATGGACGATTTGGACGCCGTCGAGGCCTTGGAGGCGCTCTTGGCGACGGGTACCAGCGGCATTGGCGCCTCCTCCTTCTTTCCAACGATCCACCATGAGCCCGAGGAAAGTTTCTGGACTTTGACTGAGGCCACTTCCTTCGAGTCAATATTCCCTGCGGAAAATCTGTCAACGCTTGCCGAATATACAGAACATATCCAACACTCACAACCCATGTTGGTCATCGCGGTGCAGAACTTCTTCCACGTCCAGCGGTATTTACCACCGTGCATAGTATATAGCACTTTCTTGAACTCCTCCAAGCGAGTTCTGGCGTAGCTGCCCATGTAATGCTGAGCGACCTTGTGCCAGCACTCCTCGGGGAGCTTCCGTGCGACGCAACCCTCTTTGATCTGGTCCAGCCAGGTCTCGACAGGCAGGTCCTTCTTCGAATTGCCCTTGAACACGGGAGCGTCCGTCCAAGACGCAAAGATTGGCTCAAGGTCGGCCGTCTTGACCTTGAATGCGCTCATGATAGCAGACATGGCGGTTGATGGGCGTAGCGAACGATGAAAGGAATAAACAGAGTAAAGTGAAAGAAAAAGGAGGACAAAGGTTCAGCGTCTGATATCGAGACTGGCAAGCCGGCCTTTATGCTGGAATATGTAGGGGGGAAGAAAGGCACCCTCGCCGTGGCCTGCTGGAAGATCATGTTCCGGTGGCCCGCTCTCCTGAGCCCTGACCAATCGAGGGTGTACCTAAGCGCCCACGTTCCAGATGATAGACGGAGGCATTTGATTCCAGGTCATTAATAGCCAGAGGATGGAGCTCGGTCGTAGGTCTCTTGCAGCGAGGCTGCAATGTGGATGACACGAGTCAGCCTAAGGGCGGTGCGCAAGACCTGAGCGCAGCTGATCCGACGACGCAAGACAGCTTCCATAGTTCGAGGAGTGGGCGTGCATCGTAAGGAGAATTGCAAGGATGTTCCACAAAAAAAAAGAAAAAAAACGGTATGGCTCGTGGAAGAGCAAGTCCGAGGGTGATCGGCGTCGGAAGCAACGAGTCGCGATGGCCCAAACACAACTCCTGCTTCTCGCCACCACAACCCTTGATCGCGGCGCGTCGAGGCTAACGATCTAAGACACGATGGATGTGAACTTCCGCAAGATAGACATCGATCAGTTCGACGAGGATGTGCTGCTGGAGACCGAACTCTATGACGCAGACCCAAGAGACCCTGCTCAGGTCACCGAGGAGGCGAAGGCTCGCGCGGCAACTGTCCGCGGTTCACTCTCTAAGTCAGTCGCGAACATCATCCTGAGTCTGCATGCGTAATTGGAGCTATAACTCGCGCATATAGGGGAGATATAACCGGCGCACTGACCACAGTGTTGGAAAACGCTCCTTACGGGCCATACGTGGAGGAGGCGAAAGTACGTTGATGTACTCCATGCCGAGACACATCTTTGTCGTCTGACTGGTGTTTCTTTGTAGACGTTAACGCTTCAAACACTCCTCACCATCCTTAACAGCACGAAATCAGCTGAGATAGCGAATATCGTGAAGTCGTTGGACCAAGATAAGCATGACACGCTCATGAAGTACCTGTACAAGGGCATGGCGATGCCGGGCTGGGGTGATGTCAGCGGGAGCGTATTGCTTGGGTGGCATGAAAAGGTGCGGCGTCCTGCTCGAATTCAGCTTGACGGGAGTGGCTCCTGATTACTACGCCTTCGTCATACAGTTGACGGAGGTCGCCGGTATAGGGTGTATCGTCCGTGTGATGACCGACAGGCGCACGGTATGATGCCCCGAACCAATCATGTTGTATCTTACAGGAATGTATATCATGGATCACGGGCCGATGCTCATCCCATCTTGCCGGTCAGGCTATCACTTCACCAACTGGTCCGACCTTCGGTTGGCAACGTTGAACTGGGGAGACCGTCTTCTAGCACTTTCTCGGCCTTTTAATCGCACCGGTTCGCTCGCATTGGCTCTTAGACTTCCTGCGCGAGCGACGTCATAGCGTTCGACCCCGTCATGGGCGAACAGGTTAACGCCTTAGCATCCGGGCGAGTTATCATTTCGGTAAGTCACGAACTGTCTCGGGACGTAACCACGCTAAACGTGATCATAGAGACCATCCTAGCGGTGTTCTTGCTATAATTGATCTGTTAACTCCGTCTATAGCTGTACGCGGGCTCTGACCTCCTCCCTCGATTGCTAGTCGCTCAGTCGCCGTTCTTAGCTTCTACGAGGCTGTGTCGCGGCGCCCTTCTCCCATGGACTCGTTCTCTGATTGTCACCTGAAAAGTAATCGTTTACCCGTGAGCTGGATAGATATTGCGGCGCATGGCGCACTCTACTTTCTCTGATGCACCATAAGATGCCGTCCGCCATGGTCGCTAATGGCGTCGACCTCTATGCTACTAATATGTAACAGAAGCGAAGCTCGATGACCAACATCCCGGCCTTATCAAGCTCTGCCCTCGTCTCCAGGCTTCCAGCCTTCTAACAAGCTCTCCCGTCCCTTAATTGTCACGGGTCACCGCCATTCATCTGATTTTGGCGTTCTGCTGTGCGTTTTGCCCTCCAGTAACGCGTCCTTCTATTTCTCATCTGAAAGGTTCCGCATATGCTCATATGATCTGGCTACCTCTCACGCTCCCTGTTGTAATGTCAAAATCCCTATCGTCGGTGATAAGTACTCCAGCCCCGTGGACATTCGGTATTGGGCGTTCTCTGATACTTGTTTTCTCGGAAATGGCGCGCTTCCGGACGACGCAGGCTGTCTCACCTGGTATAATCAGCAGCCTATCTCCCGTAAGTCTGTCCTTACTGCGTGAACATGGCTCATTGTATCCCACGTACGTTCTTGTAGATAGTGAGGATACAGGGCCGCCATTAATTGGACGTACTTCACTACACGGTCTTGGCACTACAGTCCCTGGCTCCTTCGCGCGACGTTACAGAAACCTCTACGACAGTGGCGTCTCGCGCCAACTTCCGAAGGGCAGTACACGCGATACAACCCAGATCTTCAGGATCTAGGTACCTTCTACAGCGGGCATGGGCCCGATGACGAAGCTTCCTCCTCCTCGCTAGAACGCTTGATCTACTTATCCCATGTATCGTTCTGCAGCTTCGCCGTCTCCGGCAATCTCACTCAGCGCTTCGCGTGAGGCGATAGCTCAAAGCGTCGGGCATGACACGACTGCAGTCACCATATGCTAGGGTCGAGGACGTGACGTTGGCGGAAGATGCTCCCGCCTTGCATCCGCGGCGGTAGCAGCTTTCCCTCGCGCACCCGCGATTGTGGAGGACACCCTTTAGCGGGCAGTCGTCGGCAAGTGCTCGGTACGGGATCGAAACTTGTCGAAACTCTGTCGGCGTGTTTACTCGACGCATCGGTCAGACCGATCCGTGGTCACGCGGACCGGAACAGCGCCACCGGAAGGAATGGGATCGAAACACGGCAACATGGCACTTCCGGACATCCATGGTTATCGGCGCAATCTTAACGTTGCTCCGGGACTCACGATGTACGTATCGAGATGCATCTTGCATGATGATCTCGCTATGGCGCCTCCTTGCTCATGGCGTAAGGTGTGCCTCGCAAACACTCAAATACGTGGGGTGAGACAGACATGCCTCCCTCCACTCTACACCGGTACCCCGACTCTTACTTGCCGCCGCTATCTCCATTACAGTTCGCAGACGTCACCTACACCAGCTGCAGATCCCCCGTGAACGGTGGACCCCGGTATTTCATATCGAGCCCGAATGTGCGAATACGAAGTGTAGGTTTAGGCACACCTTATGCATATTCTTACAAGCTGCCGTGCTCATCTATGCGTCATACAACAGAGTTGGTGATCGTTACACCGGATGCGGCCATTTCGTCGCGTTGTATGAGACGGGCGAAGTCACAGATTGCATGTCAGAGGATTGCAAGACGAGTTCGGCCCATAAACACAAGACGGCAAAGAATTGCGGCTGCCCTGCGGTGCGTCCCGGGATCCCGGGTGTCCTTTATTATTGGCTTCTCATGACGGTGCACTTTGCAGGTGAAATGGCAAAGGCGAAAGATACAGAACATGTTCCGCACGAAATGCCCGGATCACTAGAGCAATTTCCCTTGTTATCCGGGTGCGCGGGCCGACGCTTTCTGGCCTGCGGGGGTCAGATTGTCGGGTTGTTTCAGCCGGTTAGAGCCGCAACGCTATCGTCTCTATACTTGCCACGATAGAGGTCGAGTGTATACGATGTAGCGACGTCGACGTCACGAACGATGGAATCTCACGCGATCTTTGCGATGATCGCATTGCAAGTTGATCGCCCCACGGCGATGCTGCCAGGTCGGAGGTGAGGTCCAGTGTTAATCAGATGTGCAGCACCCGACAGCACGCCATCTGGTAGATGATAAGATTATATATCGCGGCCGGTATGTTCTATGATACATGCCGTGCAGAGTAAGCTACCGAGCTACAACTACACGATGAGAAAGAGGGTACTGTATAACACTAGGAAAGAAATCCGAGGAGAGCGAGGTCATAATAATACAGAACGGCGGAACGAAGCCAAAGCCCGGGTTGCTGACCGGCAGAACGTCCATGCGTGGCGAAGGCTTGCGGCGAAGCCGAAACGCTCACTTTGCTATCATGAGGACGATCGTCGCGACGACAGCGCTGATCGCGAGGAACGCTAAGAATGCCCAAAGGCATCGCTTCCCATACTTCATTTCCTCCTGGCGGGTGGCCAAAACGAGAAGCTTTCGCTCGTCGTCCGACTTATCCGCGTGCCAGCTTTCCTCCACGCGCAGGGGTGAGCATAGAATTATGATCCCGATTATCCAGAACGGGGGGAACACTGCGGAGAACAGTGGTTGGTTAGCTGCCGTCTCAAAAACTCGGAAGAACAGTGCACACCCACGGAACCCGTTGCGCCAGGACCACTTCGCTTGGTTGACAGAGTCTTCGCCAGACATGTCGGGGTACGCGGGCAGCCTCTCCGTCTCCGCGTATGCGGGAGGTGGCGACGCCCGGGCCGGCTTGGCCTTCTTCTCCGGCTTGCCGCCCCAAAACTGAGAGATTAATTCTTCTCGGTGCTGGTGCGCTGCAATCTGCGCCGCGAGGTCGGGGGTGACGGCGTGCGATTTTGGCGAGTTGGAGCGCAGTGACTCGAAGGATGAGTTGGAGGATGATGCAGGAGCGATGGTGTGAGCGTTGTTTTCCGCGTCTGCGGAGCCCTTGCGGCGACCGCCAATCGACCAGGATTTGGTAAAAGGAGACATAGCTGGTGATTAACTAGGATGTGTCGATATAGGCGGTGATCTCGAGGGAGTGGGTTGGACTATAACTGGTGCGCTCGCCATAACTTAAGTACGCTGGATGCTCGTATCGCATCGCTTGCAAGACAAAAAGACCTGCCCTGGCGTGGCACTTCGCTGCAACTCGGAGAGATCATTAGACTTTATTTCGAGATCGCGAAGGAGGTAAAGACAATAACGCGACGCAGTTGCTTGGTCGTGCTTGTTGCGCTAATTCCGAGCAACATTCCTTTTCAGGCTCACGTCACGTGCACTTTCCCATGCTCGAAACAAAAGGCCTGCGAGCTTCTGGAGCATGTCCGGAAGGATATTGCTATGAATGTTCCTGGAAGGAGAGTCGCTATTGTCTCGCTATTGTATGTATTGGTGCTTCTGGGCAGTAGACATCGCGCCTTTTCTCTCGCGTGTCGTCTTCGGGATATGCGGGCCTGTCATATTAACATCGGAAACAACTTGACCAGTTGTCGACAAAACGAGGTAAACAAACGTGGCTTGTACAATTACGGTCCAAGGCTTGGCGAGGCAGTTTTGTAAGCGCAATTTCGGGACCGGATGAGGTGGGAAGACATGGCGGCGGGGACGACGGAAAACAGCCCGCGCGCTTCAGACCAAGCGGCCTCAGCTACAACGACATGCCAGACAGATGTTCATATAGGTACATTGTATGTGAAAGATGATACTCGTGCGCAAGAAGGTCGTGAGGAGCGTAAAGCTGCAAGGAGACGCTCAGGACAGCTATGAATCAGATGATGGCGCCGATCCTTGCATCTTCGCCTCCTGGTTCGCCAACCTGATCCTATAGACCAATGCGTAAGCAGATGGATCAGTTTGCATAACGAAGCTTCGTACTGGTTCCTCGCTACGAGAACACGCAACGTGCGTTCCCGCTCGAGCTGCGTCATGTTCGGCCAATTGGCGATTCGGGACAAGGTCTAGTAAGCACCAATGATCATGGTGGTCAGCGCCCTACGGAAGTGAGTGCAAGTCGACGGTATAGGAGACCAACAGGGGACTGAGGAGGAACCCTGGATCTCGAACCGTAGAACAGATAACGCGATGCGGAAGCGTAAAGAAAGCTGAATAGAGTCACGTTATCGCGTATCGTACAAGTTAAGTCGGTGCGTCTATATCTATCAGTCCTGATTCTACTCTATCGGCAACAGGCCACCACCCAGGTCTCAAACCATCGCGGGTCTCGTCGTTTTCTCTCCCTTCGGGCGGGTCTTGTCTTTTGGTCCTCGTTTCAGCTCGTATATCTGCTGCTTGACGGGATTCATCGTATCGTTTCCGGTCCTCGTATGCAAGTAATGGTACATTTGTGTTCCAGGTCAGAATGCGAATAAAGAGGAATAAAGAATTGTATGAAGGAGGACTCACTCGGAGGGCGGTTGCTCTACCGCCCACGAGGTTCCCCCGCGTTCTCCGGTTGCTCTAAGAGCTGCTCCCGGAGTTCTGTTTGTGACATGTGCGGCACGAAGTGTTTCAGCCGGTTGAAGTTGAATCTTCCACCAGCGGGGCAGCCCCCCATCGACTCGAGGGCGCATGAAGTCCCGAAGACCTCCGTGATTCGCATCGGTCCTCTCCATCGTGGCATGAGCTTCTTCCGAGTTTCGTGCGTCGATTCCATCCACATTTGCGCCACCATGACGAGGTCGCCGCTTGTGAACTTCTTTGCCCGGACGGATTTGTCGTATGTCTTTTTTCTGCGTATCTGCTCCTCCATCGCGTTGGCAACCGCCGACCATCGCTGCTGGTCCACAAACGCCAGTTGAGCCTCGATTTCGTCATCTCCGGGCTCGTCGACCTGCGATCTCGGGATGCTGCTCGCGCAGGATCCAAAGAGTAGTTGTCTGGCCGAGTAACCGTTCACTTTTCGGACATGCGAGTTGAGGTCCGCCACCGCCTGAGGTAGCTTATCCGGCCAGTCGTTGGGAAATGAGTCGGGTGCCAGCTCAGGGTTGTCGACTGCGCAGGCTCGTCGAAGTCGGTCGAGGATAAGTTTATTCTCGACTTCGCAAAGGCCGTTCACCCATGGCGCGTACTCTGGACTGTGGACGAATTCGATGCCGTGTTCTCGACAGAATTCGGAGACCTCTTCGCACTTGAAGTGGGAGCCGCCGTCCGTGAATAGTGAGTCGAAGTGCTGGTAATCTTGGCGGATCGTGGCCAAGGCCTTTGTCGTTGTTGCCCCGTTTCCAGCCTTCTTACTTTTGAACGCCCAGACCCATCTCGTGAACCAGTCCACCACGACGAGGATAGTCTTGTATCCGCCTTTGCCAATCGACATCGATAGGTAGTCCGCGCATACGCGCTCGAAGGGCCTCGACCGCACAACAGGGCGTAACAGCGTATTGATCAGCCGCGGGCCGAATTGTTGGCATCGACCGCATCCTAGGATGGCCTTCTCGATAGTCTTCTTCATTCGCGGCCGGAATACGGACTTCAAGAGCTCCCCATAGATGCTATCCCTCGCCCAGTGACCTCCCTCTCTATGCTCCCTCTCAGCGGCGTCCCTCATCTCTTCCATCGTCACACATTCCACACGCCCTTCTCCCGTACCTCCTGCCATCTTCCATAGCCGCCCGTCCTCCACAAAGAACATTCTTCGCGCCAATCCTGCTGCCCTCTTCTTCTCTGCCTCCGTCCGTTCCTCATCCTCCGTGTCCAGTAGGTGCTCCACGATCGGCGCAAAGAAGGTATCGCCCTTAAACCTCTCTGCGAGGGCTCGACCTGCTTCATCCCGTTCTAGCAGGGAGACATCGCCTGTGCGGTTGTTTTCCTGGTCAGCATTCCACATGTCTGATAAGAACGATGGATCATGCGCTTCCAGCGCACGCGCGATTTCCTCCTCCGACCAGTCGTATTCCGCGTGCATCATGAATAGGTCATTGACAATCCCCTTCTCTGCCTCCCACTCTGCACGTACATCCTCCGTTTCAGCCGGTGCGGACAGCCCTGTGCGTGTCGGTCCATCCATCGGGTTTGATGCTCCTGGCCGGTGGCGGACCTCGATTATATTATGCCCCAGGACTGCCTCCTTCCACCGTGCGTGCGCTGGCGGTAAGTTCTCATGCTGGAGAAATTCTACAACTGATTTAGCGTCACATTCCAAAATAATTTTGACGCCAAAAATGTATTTGTAAAATTTGTCGAAAGACCATTTGATCGCCGCCAACTCGAGGATGAAAGGGTGATATCTCGACTCAGCTGGCGTCGTCTGGCGCGAAGCAAACACGATCGGGTGTATTGATATCTTCGTTTTTGCTTCATCGAGATGCTCTTGCGCCAGGAAGGCCGCCATTGCTCGGGTTGATGCGTCTGTTCCGATGATGAATGGTGAGCCGTCGTACACTGGTGCCGCCAGGACCGGTGCCGTCGTCAGGGTGATTTTCAGATATACGAAGGCACGTTCGTGCTCATCCGTCCATCTCGACTCGATATCCATGCCTTGGAGTGCCCGCTTGTATGCTCCACGGTTCTTCCAGATCCTCTGGGCACTGGCTGGGAGTTGTCTTGCTCCCTTGGTCAGAGCTACCAAGGGAAGCGCCCGCTTCGCAAAGTCAGGGATGGTGCTTCGGAAATAGCTAACCGTCGACACGAACTGCAACACGCCGTGTGCAGTCCGCGGTCGTGGCCACTGTAAGATCGTGGCCGTCTTCGTCGGATCTGGGTGTATCCCCTCGAAGTTGATGATCTGTCCACCAAACTTTACGTACGGAAATCCCAGAAGTGTTTTCGCCGGCGCCAGGGAAAGGTGAAACTTCCGACATAACTTGAGGATTACTGTCAGCTTCTCGAGGAACTCTTCCCATGTCATGGCGCCGGCCGCCAGGTCGTCCATCCACGTCTGTAACCACTCCATGAGGTGAGCGAATATTCTGTACATGAGAGTATTGAACGTAGATGGTGCGCCATGGAGGCCGAAGTTCATCCGCACGTTCCCGAAGTATCCTCGTCGGACGACGGCGAATGCGGTCTTCCCCACATCGCAGTCACGGATTTTCACCGCGTAATATCCTGAATGTAGATCCAGCGACATGTAGAGCTTCTTTCCGACGAGTCTCTGGGCCTTGACATCGAGCTCACCTGTCGGATGCGCGGGTACACATGCGTGACGGTTGATCGCCGTGTATGCCTGGCATATCCGCCATCAGGACTCTACGAATGGCTCAGTCCGATCGTGGATGAATCGCTCAGGTGATACGTCAGTAGGCAGCCGCAGGCGTGGATCGTGTGGCAATAGAATGTGGACCCTGGATGCCTCTTCGTTTGCTAGCCGTTTCATGTCTTCCTCGGATAGCGTTGGTCGTGGTCGGTCTTTCGGTGCAAGATTAACCGAGTTAACGCACTGGACCTCCTCCGGTCTCAGCTGCCGGATGAAGCCAGCGTCCTCCAGCTCCTTGATCTGGGCGAGGAACCAGTTCTCCTGAGGCTCCGTCATGTACTGGCTTGGTTTGGGGAATGTCGGGAGGCGAACACCCTCCGGAATGTTGATTTCGTGTTCTATCCCATCAACTGCTCGTACGTCACTCAGCTTGAGTGCCCACACGTCAGCGTACTCCGTGCAGAGATTCAGGACCTCCTCCCTTTGCTGGTCTGACAAGCCAGGCCCCGTCTGTATGAGCTCTCGTATCCTCGTCTTGCGCTCGCTTGAAAACCTCCACGAGTCGTCGTCAGCTCTGGTTTTTGGAGGTCCGTTCTCGCGCTCCCATTCGTCCAGGTCGATTCCTGGTCCAAACTCTTCGCGCTCGTCTTTCCCAACTCCAAGGACATTCTCAGGCCCGGACCCATGAGACGTGTCAGTTTCAGGTCCGTCGTGTTTGGGAATTTCATCGGAACTCGCCTCGACGGGGGTTGGAGAGACCCCCGAGTGCGTTTCCTCGCCTTTTGGTGAATCCCCTTGAGTTCGGTGCATCCAGTCCCGTCGTCTCGCGGCCTTCCATGTGGTTTTGTCCGGAAAATGACCTTCTTGCCATTTTGGTTGGTTGGTGATCTGTACTGGTTTTTCGGTAGTGCAGTTCATGTCCGCCCGTGTATGATAAGGTACTTGCCTCGGAGGGGCTGGCAAGGCCCCTACGAGTTTGGTTATGCCGTGGTCAACGTGGTCGACCACACTGACCACATAATCTCTGTACCTCGTCGTAGTTCCGCGTCCTTGTCGTTTTGTACGTTCAAGTGGGCCCGTCTCGTCTTCCTCGTCATGCCCATCCTCTTCGTGCTGCTCTTCCCCTCCCTGCTCTGGCCTCCTTTCCTCGTCGTCTGCTATCTCCTCTGCTGTTTCTCCATCGTCCGTCGCCCCTTCCCTTCGCTTTATTCGCTCTAGCCTCTCGTTCTCAATCGTGACCACTAGTCCGCCTGGTATTTTGACCTCTAGAATGTCCTCGCCGTACGTGTGGGTAGCCTCGATGGCAAATAGCCATGGTTTCCCTAGCAGAACCTCGAACACTCCTTGCGTGTCGAGTATCTCCAGGGTCGTCATGACTTGTATGCCCTTCATCGTCACCAATACCGTCACCTGTCCTTCTGACCTTGAGATCTTCCCATTGGCCATCCTCGCCGTCGTCTTTGACTCTGACTTTTCGCCCAGCACCGCAGCAAATATCCCATATACCACGGTATCAATGACACCTGGAAGCATGCAGCCATCGTCGACGGTCGCGGTTGCTCGCAATGCGTGAGTTGCCCCCTTCGGTCCTTCGAGAACGACGGTTTGTCGGAACGTCGTATGCGCTCGTGGGTCATTCGGCTCTCGTTGCGGTACGAGCCAAATGTTTTCGTCTGTAGTCTCTGGTTGCTTCAAGACGCGTGCCCTCTCAATGCCATAGTCATCGGTATGCCTTGTCGGGTCGACGTGCAGCAAATTTATTGGATCGAGACTACAATGAAGTGATTGAGTGCGTGCGAGGAGTTGTTTACAGGTCCATTCAGGTGAGACTCCCCTCGAGGGGGGTGTAATCCATCCCCCCACTAAGTCATCCCACTTTTCCAAACGGTTGAGGGGTGTGCGTATCTTCGCGAACGAGGTTATCTGTCGGCGTTTCTCCCTATCCGTAATGGACTGGTATGTCGACGAGAGTTTGATGGGCGTGAGGCGATCGTTATCTGTATTGTCCCCCCTCCCGCTCGCGTTGCGAGGAGGGACCGTTGCCGATGCTCCTTGGGTTGATGAGGACCGGGGTTTGCGCCACCCTTCGTTCAAGCGCAAGCCCCGCTGTCTTTTTCCTCGTCACTCTCGTCTCCGCCCATATCGTACGCCCCACTCGTATCCTCGACCCCCTCCGTCGTCACGTCCTCCACTGCTGCCACCTGCGCCCCGCGGTTCTGCTTCCGCGTTTCCGTCTTCTGCCTCGCCACCGCACGCCTGAACTCCCCTTCTCTCTCACTCAAGAGTTTGGGATTCGTGCAGACGGAGGCGTTCCGTCCCCATTCGTGGATGTGGCCGCAGTCGAAGTGCTCGCCACTGCCTGCTTTCGCAGTTCCTGGCGACAGAGGGTGGTCCATCCAATGCTGGACAGGTCCGTTCCCGTATCGGCGGCGATGCGCGTCCGCGTTCCTCCAGTATTCGGCTTCGCCTTGCTGGGTCTTGTCGAATGGGCCACAGAAGACCACGACAGAGCGATCTGTCCGGTTCCCGCCACCCGATGTCGCCGTGTTCGGGTTTGCAGCCAGTGTCTGCCGCGCCGACGTATCTGGAGAGGCAACCGCCTTCCGGGCCTGGGTTTGTAACGATTTCCATCGGGTGTCGAACTCATCCAGCCGCGTCTCGACGAGTTTGATACGCGCCTGTTCGAGAAGGTAATGGTCGAGTTGATGGACGTCGATCTTCGTTAACCCCAACACCAGGTCCTTCAGCGTGGTTGGAGGCTTCGTAGCAAGTACTGCCATGTTGCGCAGGACTACCGGTATCTTGCGCCATGCCTGGCGTGCCTTGCCGGCCTCTGTATGGTCGACCACCCCCAGTTCCTTGCCCACGTTCGACAACCGCTCCGCAAACCAGACGTGCCGCCTAATCTCCTTCGTCTCCATCCCTTCCTTCACCACCACCGGCTTCGCCAGATCCGATTCCTCTAACCTCATCCCTTCCCATTCGACCTCAACCTCCTCCTTGCTCCTTCCCCTCGCGGCGTACTCAGCCTCAAACGCGGTTGTGAGCATCGACCAGCTCGACGTCTGGGCTGATCCCAAAGCCTCGTACCACGATCTCGCAGGGCCCCTCATTCTCGACTTGAAAATGGACAACCTGTCCGATTCCGCAAACCTTCCAACCATCATGAGACAGTCGAAGTCCGTCAACCAGTCCTCTGCATTCTCTCCCGAGTAACCGGAGAAGGTCGGCGGTAAGGTTGACATGTTCGTCGGCAGCCCAGATCTGGGTGGGAGTGGGGGTGGGAATGGCGGGGGTAACGGTGGTAGTCGTTTGTGAAGGTGGGGTGGGTTTTCCCGTTGGAAGGGTGGGGGGAGTTGAAACGGCGAGACGCTGCGTTCTTCGTCCTTGATCACCCCTTCCGGTGTTTCTGCTTTTACAGGATCCGAGCGGGGCGTAGAAGACTGCGTCGAGCCCCAGCCAAATATTGCCTCGTCTAGTTGTAGTTGTGAGCTGTCGACCGAAGTGTGATCACCAGCCAAGAGATCGGCTAGATGTCGATTCTGTACCGCAATCCAGGAGCTGTGGGATGAGAAAACTTGCCCGCCGGGTCGTCCAGCGCCAAGATCACGTCCAGGTGAATCGTCCGGGGTAAGGGAGGATCCCCAGACTCGGGAGTTGTCGTCGATTTCGTCTTCCGCCAGCCTGGATGTTGGATAAAACGAGAAGTCGTAACTGAAGCGCCCGCTGCCCGCCGGGCCTGAAAGAGTCGTGAAGTGTGAAACACTCTCGTCACCACCTATAGGAGACCAACAGGGGACTGAGGAGGAACCCTGGATCTCGAACCGTAGAACAGATAACGCGATGCGGAAGCGTAAAGAAAGCTGAATAGAGTCACGTTATCGCGTATCGTACAAGTTAAGTCGGTGCGTCTATATCTATCAGTCCTGATTCTACTCTATCGGCAACAACGGACACACCCCATCAGAGTTGACGACCATCGGACCCAGCTCCTCAAATTTGAGCGAGTCCGAGCCTACCGCCACCTTCGCTGTGTCGCCAGTTTCGGATGCAGAAGGGGCGGGTAAGAGATGGTTTTCGGGCGTAGACATGGCAAGTTCTGGGTAGTGAGCACGATCCGATATTGCACTTAGGCTTACAAGGGTAGTGATGAAGCTTTGAGTGGAACTGCGTTAGCGTTGCAGCTGCATGATGTGCATGAAGAGGCCATTTCATACACTGCATGCAGTTCTCGAAAGTTCGGGGGAAAAGTCGGCGTTGGACGTTCTGCCTGTTATCTACTGATGGTTAAAACCGGCTGTTTGATTGTCAGCCTTCGATAGCTCAGCTGGAAGAGCGTGGGACTGTAATGGTTAAATGCTTGTCATCCCAAGGTCACTGGTTCGATCCCGGTTCGAAGGATAGCTTTTGATGTCGTGCGCTAGGCAGGTATAATCCTTTGCTCAGGAATACAGGATGAGGGCCATTTCTGGTGTTGCCGTGAGTCGAGAACGTTGCCTACGGTGCATTAACCCGCTCGGCGCTCGCGCGTTAACGCGTTGACAACTTGACACGCTCCCACACTCACGTTCTTACCATTACCGCAACGCCTGTGCTTCCCATAGCGAGCCTCAACCGTCATGGCGACAAGGCGATTGAACGCATCGGTTTCGTTGTCAGGAGGGCGAAAAAAGCTTTGTAGTGCGCTCAACGATCGCGCCTCGAGACGTTGCCTGGCCCCTGGGTGTCGTTGAACGCCCATCGGATGCCGACTCATCAAGCGGTCACTAGCCCGCGGAGGAATCGTACTCTTATCAGTAATTGGATACCTTCGAACACCAAGCGCCCAATATTTCCCTTGCCAAGGCAACGCTTGCAGGAATCGCTTCCAGTCCCAGTGTTCATGGGCGACTGCATCCGACGCGCTCGCGATTTGCCCAAAGATACGGAGCTTCGCCTACAGTGGCCTGCAACCAAGCAGCTTTATGAACGTGCTACTCATCGCCACTACCACCACTTGTTTGTTGGGTTCAGAGGCATCGCCTCTGGACGGAGCATCTTCGAATTCGTGTCCCCATGGTCAGGTACACTCCGCCGTGGCAACGCCGTTTTCGTCGGAGCTCTGGTTGAATCATATGCCGATGCAGAGGTATGAAAATGTTCACACTAGTACTGCATAGCATGGAACTTCATGCAAGCGTAAGTCTTAACAGGGCGACTACTTCCCATGCAACCTTAGGCTGCATGCTTTCCAGGTGAGGCTTCAGAAGCAGCTCTCATAGCACAGCTCGGATATTCATACGGATGTACACAGGTTTCTCCACAGAACTCGATGATTTCTCTCACGATTGCAATGCAATACACCTCGTCGGTAGTTAGTTTGAGGTGGTTGTTTCGACTGGATGGCGCTTCCTTGACCGCAGTAGCGGCGAGAGAGAGGGTCACGGTGAGCTTTTGATGCGCTCAAGTGAGGCACCGACGGTATATTGCGCGCGTATCTCACGCGAAACATCTGTTAGGCGCCCAGATATAATATACGAACCGAACACCATATGCACGACAGACGGTCTTGTTCTTTCCCCATCGCCTCCGCATCCCCTATACTCGCTCACATAGACAACGTATAACGTCCACCTGCAAACATGGTCAAATCGTTCTGGATTGCGAGCATCGCGCTATTGACCACGGCGACGCTCTTCAATCTACTTGTCGCGATCGGTCAGTCCGGTTTCTGTGTATGCTAGGTAAAACTCACGCGTTGGCTGCTGTCGGCATTGGCGTCCAGGCTTGCCGTCTCTCCCTGCACTAGATGTCGTAAGGGTTCACTCCTCCGGGACCATCCCTACGGATTCCCAAAATGGCGTTCCAATCAAGGAACTCAGGGTAAGCATGAAAGATGTATCATAGCGGACACCGCCTGACCCACTCTTTTTGTTAGATGGGGACCTGGGGCATCTGTGTATACGAGGCTCCCAACGGACACCGCATATGCTCCCCCGCTCGTACGTTCTCAATCATGTGCACAATCACACCAGTGTTGATTATCGAACCTTTAGACCATGCTTATATCGTTCCGTTCTTTGGCCCCAAGAACCTTGAGATCGTCGGCAAATCCTGGACGCGCGGGCTCGCTGTTCATCCCGTCGCCGCCGGCGCTTCGTTCATCGCATTGGTCCTCGCCGCGGCGTTTAGCACGCACGTCACCGCGATGTTAGCGGCGTCGTTGACCGCTCTTCTCGCCGCTCTCCTTACCTTGATTGCCTTCGCTATCGACATCGCCCTCTTCGCTTTCACTCACCATCAGGTGGGCAAGGTCAAGGACGTCCACGCGAACGTCGACGCTGGGCCGGGTGCGTCCGCCTCTCTTGCCGCGTCGGTTGACACACATTCTGACGCTTCGATATGTTTGAAGGCTTCTGGTTAACGCTCGTGGCTCTCATCCTCCTGTTCGGTGCGGCAGCGACGGTGATATTCGGGCGTCGCGCCGAGAACAACACGAGGTATCCCTCCTCGGGCGGAGGAGGCAAGAACCCCTTCTCCTCCCTCTGGGCCCGGTTGACTCGATACTAAAACATACGTCTTGGGTTTCTTCCTCTTCTTCTTCTGGTTTCATCAGTGTTTTTGATTCAATGGTTGGAGATACCCTGCTGATACTCATGACTGTGATTCCCTACCGTTGTCTATGACTGATACTGGTGGTCCGCGTTCCTATCGTGATGGTTTACTCAGACTTTGCAGCGTCGTTCAAGGTTTCCTGGAACGATCAGCCGTGGCCTATTCCATGTTAGCTAGTCGACGATAATGATTGTATTAGATACCATTTTCATCAATGAGGTCAAGGGACCGTGAGTTTAATTCTTCGGCCAAGTCCTTCATGTTCGTGACCCACAACGTTGATCCTCACACCAAATGGGAAAAGTAAGAAAGTAGAGCAAGATGTAGAATACAGCAATACTTATTACCCCAGCATCGCTTCCTTTCCGTACTTTTCGACTGAAGCTCCTTCATGTATATCAGGCGCATCTCGAGAGGGCCCCGTAACCTACTATTGAATGCCTAATCGCCATCCGTACGTTGAACGGGTCTGGTGACGAGGATCATACGCCCCGTTTCCAAGTAAAGTAACGGAGACGGACGGAAACAGAGGAATTAGATACTGTTTCCTTTCAAACCATGCGAATTGCGCTCAGCGTATCTCTGTCTCTACTAGTAATATATGGACATTACGCGAAGCGTCATAGCCGAGGATACTCATAATCTCGATGATATGCACAGTTTTCAGAGATAATCGAAACGACGGAATGTTCAATAAACATCCGCGCTCAAGAACAAATATGGCACGGAACCGCGGGGATGGGGCAGTTAGCTGGCCCTCTGCATGGCAGACTACCGAACGTTGGGTATCCTGAATTGAGGAATGTCTTCAACGCTCACGGATTAGGGCAGCACGGCAGGCTGGGATCTGAAGTAGTCGGCTCGAACGGACAACAGTTCACCACGGCATTAGACGCGACGATGCTATGGTAAAGAAGCACGAGTCAGAGTCCGTCCCTAGAGCAGGCGCTTGGACTCACAAAGACATGAGGGCCACAATTGCGCTGATACGGACGAACATGCTGATACCCTTTGAGGGTTATGATTTCAGAGACACTTCCAAGGACATCTGGAGTCCTTTTATAAGTACTCGCGTAGAGCGATGTAGGCGGAGGGTCCGCGCAGACCCCGCCGTTGCCCAGTGCTGGCTCTTGGTGGCAACTCGGCAAGCCTATCGGCGCCACCAATGCAACTTGTTGATGCCCGAAAAGAACGTCGCTGACGTTATTCTAAAGAAATCGCAGCAGAGCATCACACGGAAAGGACATTCATGTCGCACTCATGCCGTATGCTTCATTTCGGTTGATCGCGAAAACGTTGGAACTCTGTGATGCAGCGTGTGTGGCCGCATTCTTCGGAGAGGCATCTCGGGAACGCCTTGAACGGCGTCATGGTGGGGTCGCAACCGTAGTAGGGGATCAAGACTTTGATAAACTTGGCTACCTCCTCGGGTATGCTTTGGTAAACGAGGCCAGGTCCTGGTGAAGCTCATCCAATCAAAGAGAAGATCCGGATAAAGAAATTGAAACGCGCGCGCGACTTCGAGTTTTCAATCTGTGAGGACCTGCTCACGTGATCATTCAATGACTCCGAGTTGATGCTGCGTCTTGCTGCGATTCCTGGACGTAGACTTTTGCGCATTCTTCGGTGCATGATTCATGGAGCTCTTCCATGGGCGATGTTGTGATCGGCGACACGCAAGGCCGACATCGCAAGGCTCTGACGGGACTTGTCTTTGACCCACTTAACCTTCTATACGGGCTCGCGACTGCTCACGATTGTCTGCCAATGCACAACCGATTATTTGGGAGTCAACCTTCGTGTCGATGTGTACCAGCATGGCTCCGATAATTCAATATGCTACATATACTCCCGGTGTTACGGCACTTCGCTGATAATCGCTCGAAACATCATAACCACTCCCGGACAACACGGGTTCAGCTCGCTGCTCTGGTACTAATCACCGGTAGCTAAGGACGCACAGACACTGCTTCCTCGGGATGGCACCGATTACAGGGAATCTGGTGATAGCACCCATTCCGTGCCTGCGCATGCATTGCCGTGTATGCGCATCCGCCGTTCCGATGCCCCCGACAGCTCAGAATACAACGAATAATTAGCAATCACGATGTTTGTATCCCGTTGGTCCCGCCAGGCATATAAAGGCCGTGCATGTTTCCTTTCTCTGGCAAGCTTTGCATTCAACTTCATACCCACGTCGTTGAAAGAATTGAGGCATGTACTCCATGAAGCTCGCCGTCGTCGGGTTAATGACCATCTTGTCGTGAGTCACTTGCGAGATTCCATTCATGCCTTGCTGGACTGAAGATGTGTCACGCGCACAGGGTTGTCGTTGCTGCCCCCCAGCCTCAGAACACCAACCTTCCCTGCTGCCCAGCGGAGTATGCAAAATATACTCGCGGTGGTTTCTGCGACATACTGATGATTTTGCATTGTAGGCCTCTCTGCAGACCGCCACTCAAGTGCCCTATTCCGTGTCAACAGTGCGACTGAATGACGAGCCCTTTGTTACTCATACGGAGGTCTAAGACGACCGCATACATTCCATCGTTTCGTATCAATCTACATTCGCAGTCAACATAGCCCTTCCATTCGTGATCTATGATATGACCGTCTGTCTCCTAGTCTTTGCTACGTATGTTCAACGTCGCGGTTAGGCCGTTCCCCTCTTTCGCTACTCAGTGCTCAGCTTGAGCTGCCGGTTTTCCTTCCAAAGTCTGGGTTCATGATATCGCATAACCTCTGTTCACCCTCTTACTTGATCACTGCACGCTGTCTGATTTGTCCTCTCGCTGACCGCGTACCACTTGTAATCGATGCTGCACCAATTCCTCGAATGATTGTGATAGCGCTAATACGGTTTGTTATACTTAGGATGCTCATAAGGGAGAGATACACATCCAAATCAGCTTGGATCTGGGGGGGTCATGTTCCGCTGAAGCCCAACCAAGGAAATGGACAGGAACATCGGTGTTTGACAGATGGCGACAACAGCGTAGAGGGTAAAGACGTACGATGACGGGACTGGCTGTGGCAGGCCACTTGTGCGATCTTCGGCCAGTTTCGGTCGTCAGGCGCCTTCCCACAGTTGGATTTCGTCTTTTCCGCTTATCTGATAACCATGATGATCTCCGAGCCTGCGCTCGTCGACGACCAGGCCCTCCCGCGCTCCATTCTCGTGCTGTACGCAACCGAAACTGGCACCGCCGAGGATACCGCATATCGTGTCGCACGCCAATGTGAACGAATAGACTTCCATGCGCGCGTCGCCAGCGTTGACACATACCCTATCGTGAGCTATACGGAGTGTGTAGACGGAGACTCCGAGATTGACATCTCTTTCATTGCAGGAGGAGTTGATCTCCGAACCTTTGGTCGTCTTCGTGATTTCTACCACTGGATCTGGCAAGGAGCCACGCTCAATGACCCCGCTATGGAACCTGCTCCTTCGCTCGGACCTCCCAGAGGATTTATTCGAGGACATGCACTTTGCCGTCTTCGGCCTCGGCGATACGGTGTATGAAAAATTTTGCTGGCCAGCAAAACTCCTCGAACGACGTCTTCTCAGTCTAGGCGGGGCAAAGTTGTGCGATCGTGGTGAAGGCGATGACCAACACAGACTCGGGTAATATCATGACTCCTTTGTTCCTAGTATGTCGATTGACCTCCCCGCTCCTCTCGTCGAACTAGCCTGGATGGCGCGTTCCGACCTTTTATGAATGGGCTGCTCTCGGCTCTCTTAGTTCGATGTCCGATGCCCCACGGATTGGTCATGAGGACAGCGGATGATCTTCCCAGACCTCGTGTCCTGGTACGACACCGCGCCAGCCCGGGTGACTCTATCCCAGGTGTTGGGCACACCCCGGCTCTCGATGCCGGTGCAACATATCATGAGGCTACCCTCACCTGTAACCGGCGGATAACATCGGAGGACTGGTATCAGGACGTTCGTCACCTCGAGTTCCGGTTCGACGATGACATCCAGTGAGTCCCTGATTTACGATACAGTTGACTTCTCGCATACACATTGACTACCAGATACAACCCAGGCGATATTGCCGTCATAGACCCCGAAGCGTCCGAAGAGGACGTCAATACCTTCCTTGACGCTATGGACTGGACCAACGATGCAGACCGTCCTCTCGAACTCAGTTCCGCGACAGGTACCCTACTCGCTGTCTTGTGGAGATTATCTTCTGATCCCGTTCCCTAGATCAATCCCTCCCACACAACATCCCACGGACATCGACTTTGCGCCAGCTATTCACGAGGTATCTCGATTTCTCCTGCGTCCCACGACGTTCCTTCTTCGAGGCATTACGGCATTTCGCACAAGATGAGATGGAGCAGGAGAAGTTTGACGAGTTCCTCAGCGACGACGGTGCGGTACGACTGCGCGTGCGATGATGCGGTTCTGTTGACCTACAGCTCTCCTGCGCAGGATGAGCTGTACGAGTACTGTTTTCGAGTGCGACGGACGATCTTGGAGGTGCTGTCCGAGTTCCGTTCCATCAAGATACCCATGGAGTATATCTTCGAAGTGTTCCCGGCGATGCGTCCGAGGCACTTCTCGATCGCTAGTTCCGTAAAGGTGATTCTTCTGTCCTTCCTCGCCGATTATAGGCGTCGGATGCTCATTGTGGGCCCATCTGTAGCGCCACCCTCACGAAATTCACCTCTGCGTCGCTATTGTGAGGTATCGAACGAAGCTGAAGATTCGCCGGAAAGGCGTTGCAACCAGCTATCTCGCTCCACTTCGTGCCGGTAAGCAGTCGATATCTTTCATACCCTAAAGAACCCCCTGCTGACTCCAAAACAGGAACTCGAATACGTGTGGGCATCCGGCCAGGCCTGATGAGCTTGCCTCCGGATAAGACAACACCGGTCATCTGCATCGGACCTGGTACGGGAATCGCTCCCATGCGAGCTCTCCTCGAGCAACGTATAACGGAAGGCGCTCATAGTTAGTCCTCCGTCTCTTCCTACGATGCTTGGGAGATGCTCACTAGACATGAACAGGTAACGTGTTGTATTTCGGTTGCCGATCCGCAGGGAAGGACGAGCATTACGGGGAAGAATGGCGAACTTACGCAGAAGATAAGAAGCTCGTCTATCGGAGAGCGTGCTCCCGCGACGTTCCGGATGGCAGGAAGCGTATCTACGTGCAGGATCTTATGGTTCAAGACGAAGACAGAAAGAGGCTCTGGGAGCTCATTGACGCTCGCGGCGCCTGGGTGTACGTCTCCGGGTGAGCTGCTCAATGCGTGCCTCCCCTCGATCCCGCTGATCCCCATCCTTTGCAGATCTTCGAACAAGATGCCCGCCGCGGTGAAGGCCGCATTGCAGCATGTCATCGAGGTTGAAGGCGGGAAAAGCAGTGAGGAGGCCCGGACGCACGTTACTCTCATGGAACGGACAGGTCAGTATACCGAGGAGTGCTGGAGTTGAGCGCAGCTGCTGTTTGGTATAACACGCAGCATATCTTGGTCCTGCTGTGATCTTCTGCCCATCATTGTTGTAACTACTGCGTAGACAATAATATGTAAAGCCCAGATCTAGAAAGACAGGGACATGTACATGTGCTAATAGTAAACACGCGCAATTCGCAAGGCATTACTTGCCAGGCTGCACGCGCCGCCCTTCAGCTTCAGCTCCTTGACGCCTAACCACGACATGTCTTGGCCTTGGTCGTCGGCAGCGCCAGCAGAAGATATACCCCCGGAGGAAATCGATACCGATGCCTCATTCTTCGAGAAAGAGGTTGATCACGCCGTAGAGAAACTAGACGGCATCCCGACACCCCTGCTGCTGTTTTCCGCGTTCGCGCTGGGCGCAGCTTCTACATATGCCTGCATTCATGCCCACCGTCGGTTCTGGAGACGACTACCGAATGGAGACTGGATCACCCCCGAGCATTTTGCTAAGAAACGGTGGATCAAGGGCGTCGTCACCAGGTACTAGGACTTCGCCGTGCGCCAATCCTGGTGAACCTGTCCTCCGCGTTCTGACGCGGTTGACACTAGTGTAGGCGACGCGGACAACTTCCGTCTGTACCATACGCCTGGCTTCGGATGGAGGTGGCCATTGAAGTTCCGACGGGTTCCTTCGATAGCGAAAGGTAACGTCCTCTCGGGTTCCCGACGTTTCACCATTGCCGAACCTCTGACTCTTCGCAGAGCTGAAGGATGAGACTATACACATTCGGATGGCTGGGATTGACGCACCGGAGGTGAACTCTGTTCGTTATCTTCGATCACGGCGTTGATCATGACCGTCTTCGCCAAGGCCGCGCATTTCGGCCGGCCAAGCATGCCTTATGCTGCAGAAGCTCTTGCATGGCTGAAACAGACAGTCGATGGCAAAGCCATATACTGTCAACTCATCAGGCGCGATCAGTACTTCCGCATAGTACGTCCGGCTCATTTTTCTGAACCTGATTGTCTAGAGTAATGTCCGCACAGGTTGCTGTACCGGTACTCCCACCACGCCTCCTCCCAGCTTGGCTCAAGTCCGGAAGATGCATCTCGCTGGAAATGCTGCACGCTGGCTGGGCATCGACGTATCAACAAGCCAACGCGGAGTATGGTCAGTGGGGCAAGGAAGAATTCTTGAGGATAGAGCACGAGGCCAAGTAAGCGCTCGAGCGTCCTTTGCCTCATCATCGTTCTGAGGTCAATCTAGAGTCGCGCGACGAGGACAGTGGGCCAACGGTATAAGTGGAGAGACGCCCGCAGAGTATAAGAGGCGCCATGCTGGTTCTGCAGATGCGGCAGAGAAGACGACCAAGGACTCACCAAAGCCTCCGGCGAAGAAAGTCGGGTATGGTTCTGCAGATGCGGCAGAGAAGACGGCCAAGCCCTCACCAAAGCCTCCGGCGAAGAAAGTCGGGTTGCTTGGACGGTTGTTCGGGAGGTCATGATGATACGGCGGCTTTCGGTAGCGACGTCTTCGGACAGTTTCGAGCTATCAGCAGGCTGGTTGCTTTGGCGTGGTGTTGACATGTGAGGCTGGTCCGTTGTTTAGCACATACAGACGTCAACTCTGATATATCTATATCATGTAGATCTATTCACTGGACAAATGCATTACGTTGTATCATCATCTACGCGTCAGATGCGGCCCACTCCTTTTCGAGTTTCAGAAGCGAATCCACCGTATCCAGCAATGTCTGCTTCCAAGGTATGAATTCGCCGAAGTGCAGGATTTCCTGCAAATTGTTGTCGGTGATCCGGAACTCGTCGATCGGCGGGGCCTTGGCCGGGTCGGCGATGCGTCCCTTAAGCTCGGGGCGCTGCTGGAGGAGATATTCGGTACTCTCCTTCCAGTCGATGCCGGGGGTGGGGCAGACGAGCACCCGCTTGCGCTTGGTACCGGGCGAGGTCTTGAGCCCTAGGATGAGCGAGCGCGCGGAGTCACGCACGTCGATGTAGCGCGAGGGCGGGAAGGGCCCGTCTGGCTTGAGGAAGGCGTAGATGAAGGAGTTCGTGCTGAGATCCCACTTACGCACTCCTTGGACGACTTTGTGGCCCGGGGCGAAGGGGCCGTAAAAGAAGGGCGGGAGGACTATATCGTGATCACGATGAGCATAACTATGGGGAAGAAGGATTGGAGACTCACCAGCAGTGATGTTAATGTGAGGGTGCGCATCTGCGAACTCCCAAACCGCCTGTTCAGCTGAGGTCTTGTAACCGGTGTATGCCAACATCGGATCGGAGTTTGGGTCCAATATCTGCGCCTTGGTGACGGGATTCCAGCCTGGCGGGATCACAATCAAAAGGTGCGTCCATAAACACTTTTCGTTGAGACCTACTATGCTCATTGAGCTCATTGTTGTCAGCCGGGTTCAATGGATTCAACGCCGTGGCGAAGCTGCTCATCAGCACAAAGTTTGTGATCCCGGCTTTGTCCGCCGCATGCAAGATGTTGAGGGCACCTTCGACCGCGGCCTGTCGAGATGCGTCAATGTCAAAGGTTGATGGTAATACATGATGATGACGACTCACATCGAGCGCCGATTGAGGTTCTTGCGAGCCAGGCAATGGAGCTGCGGCGTGCAAGATACCGTCTACTCCTGAACTATGGCATCAGCGCCAGTCCCACTCAGGCAGTCAGGTCTCACAAACCTTTCAAGGCTTCTGTCCAATCTCCGGCAACCAGATCGTCAAAGCCGATCACCTCAAGGTCGTCGCCGTAGAATGCGAAGTTCTCCCGGATAGACTCGACCTTCACGGTACGTACAGTTCTATCATCGGTGGTCAGTCCGAACCCTGAGATGCATAGTGACGAGGTCCTTACCCGCGAACGCGATATCCATCTTCAATTAACTGCTGGACTATATGACCTCCTAAGAAGCCAGAGATACCTGTTACCTGAGGATGAAGGTCGTTAGACGAGAATTTCGTGATGGACGCGGCACATACCAATATGAGTTGCTTGTTTTGCGAGGCCATCACTGTAGGCTGTTGAAGAAAGATGCTTGAGGGTTTTTGCTGCTCATCCTAGTCCATGCCTGTCGCGTTATAAACACTTTGCGATTTCAGTACCATAGCGAGGTTTACTCCATTAGGAAGTGTGGGACGAAAGCGATGATGGCGCCATACTCAACGATTGCTACAGCAGCTGAGTAACATGTGAAGCTTTTGCACAACGTCCGACTCGGATTCCGCTCGTACAGGAGGCGGTATATAGCCGGAATGACAAAGATCATAGATGGAGAGCATGATATGAGACCGTACACGACGCGAGTCGGATGCGCTTGTCATCATTGCCTAAAAGCATACTGCATTCAGCTCGCTATCGAATGCTCGAAGAACATGTTGTAAAGTGTTATGCAATCGTCCGAGTCCGATTCGAGGTGTCCATCACCACATATCCTCCCAAACCGTCATTTTCTTCCCGCTTCAACACTTCCATCGCCACTTCCAGTGGTTTTTAGAGAGCGAGACCCGCAAGGACGCCGAACGCAGCGACCACCCAGGCGGACGCCTTCATCGAGCCAGCAGCACCGCTGGTCGTAGTTGTAGCCGGAGCGGAGGTCGTCAGGCTGGAGCTGGAGGATGACCCGGTGCTGGATGTCCCAGAGATGATTGGGCTCGTGACAGTACCAGTACTGGTGATGATAGGCGAGGAGACGGACGTGACCGTCGTCGAGGCGCCTCCGGGCGTCGAGGCCGTGGTCGTTGTCAAATTCGCCGATGAGCTAGCTGTCGTGGTGGTTACGTCCACGCTGGAAAGTGGTAGAGAGCTCAGCGAGGGCGGGCTGAGTATTGGGGTGCTTATGACAGAGATGATCGACCTGCCGGAGAGGGAAGGGGTCAATTCGTGAGGCTTGGAACCGACGCTTGCATGACGGTCGATAACTCACCCAGGCAGGCTCGGAGCACTCGTGGTCGAAACGCCTGTGTCCCCGCTGCTCGACTCGGTGGTCGCGCTGCCTTGCGCGTGCGCTACGGCCAGCAGGCTGAGAACGGCCAACGCTCCGGATGTAAGCTTCATGGTCGTAAAGTGTTCAGACGCGTAAGGGGTAGAGGGGTATAGACAACGGTCCAGTTCGCACTGAGCTTGGTACTATACTGCCGTCATGTCGTGCATATGATGGTGGCTTTATACATGTGCATGTGCTCAGAGTGCGCAGTACCCTCACACAGCATACTACCACTTCGACTCCACCACCTCGCACACGGGGCGCAACTCACCGCAGGGGCGACACAACGGCAATCCTAGACCGCTCCGAAGGTACACCCTACCGACAGTGCGTGCAAAGCAGGATACGTAGACACAGGAAGGGATATCGCGTGTATTACGGATTCGCGAGTCATCGTGTCCGCCACGCTGACAATTATCATACATTTGCGGGGGTATAATGGGAGTAACCTAGAACAGATCCGTCGTCGTTCGTTGTTTGTCATAAATCATGAGCGTGTGGTGCCGGAGACGGAAGGTGGGGAGGGTGGCTTCCGTGTTCGGAGGGAAGCAGCTTGTGGGCAGTGCGGATCCAGATTAATCGGCAGCCTGCAGGGTGTGGTTCTGTTTCACTGGAAAAATCCCATCGGGCGCTGCTCGCCGTCCTGCTCGTCGGTGTAGAACGCCGTAGCGTTGGTCGCGAAGTCCTTGCCTTCGTTGGGGGCGTACCACCACATCGTCGTCACGCCGACAGGGAACGTGTACGTCGCTTGCATGTCTCGGAACTCGATCTATACGAAACCGACGTCAGTTCTTGCCTGACCAACGTGACAGTAAGTGCACGGCTCACGGTCGTCTGCACAGGTGTAGGGTCCCAGCTACCGTTCGGTGTATCATCCCTGCAGCGCATGCGAGCGTCAATTCACGACGTCGGCACCGTGATTCTCGGAAAGCACTAACCAGTTCAGGACCACAATCGAGTATCGCAGCCAATCCGACGAGTTTACTCTCCCGGTGACGTAGGCCCCGACGATCAACGCCTGATCGCAGCAACGGGTCAGCTATTTGTCAGGGAAGCAAGGAAGGACATGGGCCGACCCAGCTGAGAGATCCACCAACGGTAACTTTGATCCGCTTTCCCCAGGGTCCGCCTGAGTCCCTCGGCAGAATCGCTTTGGATGCTTGACCGAGAGCATAGAACTCCTGGTTGACAGACCAAGTGCCATCGCTGTTGACGGTCACGATGGGTCGGCAGCCGTTACCGCCGCACGAATCTACAGGCACGTCACATCAGCTTTCGTACTCGTGTCGTTCGAGCTGGCACACTGACCCGTTCCAGGTAGCTTCGGGTTCCCGTTTCCATCTGGACGACGACCAAACCATTAGGGTGGCCTTTTCGGTCGTGTTACACATCTATCTCGCTCACCGAGGGCAATGTTCCACTGGTCTCGTTCGTCAGTAAGGGTCCTCACTACCGTAAACGAAAGAGGAGCATACCATCAGGCCAGAATGCGAGTTGTGCGTGATACCTCCAATGAACAAATTGTCCATGTACCACTGATCATACGTTGTCACTAGACTGGCCGAAGGCGGGCCTGAACCAGACGCACCTTAATGTCGCTCCACCAGTCCGAGCCAATCGTGCCGGAACATTCGGTGAAGTAGATTTCCTTGTCGGGGAACGCGGTATGGAAGGTGTCCTGCTCGCTCACACTGGATCACAACGCATTCCATTAGCGCCGTCGATGTGACGAGTAACGCGGTACTCACTCTCCGGCATAGCAGTGGAAAGACTAACGCCGACTTTGAGGTCAGGTACCGCATGGACTTTTAGGACAGGAAAGTGCACGTACAACTCCAGCCTGGAATATCACGGATATTCAGCGCTAGGTCGGCCAGGGTCAAAGAAAGATACTCACGAAAGCACTACCAGCCTGTTGCATCTATGGGACCATAACGTGAGGTGAGCACAGGTTCTTCGCGAACAGGACGCCTGACTTACCAGCTGTACGGGGTAGTCCCCTGCGTCGTCCCAATCTGATAGCAGGATCAGGGACACATCTACGTATGGACGTTCGATGTATCACTTACTATGTTCGTATCCGATGATCTTCACACTCGAAAACCCGTTGTTGTTCATCAACGTCCTGAGCGCGGTGCCGACCGCCGCTTCCGTCGCCACCGGCATGTTCGTCGAGGGATACGTCGCTAATCCGCAAAAAAAAAGAGGTCATCGTGTAAACGAGCGAGCATATGATGCGCATGACGAACAGTCACTGTTCTGTGGCTCGTTCTGTATGCCGATCGCGTAGACGGAGATGCCCTGGCTCTGAAACCCCTGCAGGCACTTGAGGAGGTAGTTCGCGAAGACATTGACATTGCCGCTGTTGAGGGAGCCGCCCTGTGACAGATAGTAGGCCCATCAGATGGTGTAGTACAGGAGAAGGAAGGGGCGCACTTTCATAGTGCCACCGCTCTTCATCCATCCAGGCTGGAATGGGGCACATTTCGTCAACGATTGTGGAAGTCGAGATAGCGATGTACACTCACCGGACTCCATGGTACGACGTGAATGCGTAGGACCTTGTTGATCGCCTGCGGGAAGAGGTCGTCGTGAGTCGCATTCCCAGATCACGTTCGTCCCAGGAAAGACAGACCATGATATCCTTGATGACCGAGAAGACATACGAAGGCGCCTTGTTGATAGAGAAGCTCGACAAAGAAGTGTCGCCACTGGTGTCATCGTAGCTATACGCTGTCGACCGGTACCGAAGAGGTGAAAGGTTCCATAGATGTCAGCCTCCAGACCTGTGACCTAACGCGCGGAGGACCGGCGGCCACGTACCGGATGCGGAGAAGTCTGACGCTCCAAGGGGCACACCTGGATAGAGTTTGATGGGACGATATTCCCCAATTGAGTTAACGTGAAGGTTCTAAGTGAAGCACATGTGTCACGACGCACGAAGATAGGACAGGCCCGCCGAGTTCGCGCCGTCGGTCGCTAGATTGGGGACAGATTGAGAACTAGACGGTTCCGAGACGGTAACGCGATCGGCGCGGAACGTATATACGTACGGTCAAAGAGGTATTTCAGCAAGTTGTTGTACGCCGTCGAGTTCTTCGACTGTATTCGCGTGGGCGTTAGTTTTCCGAGAGCAAAGCGAGAAGCGACGGGAGGTGCGCTACCTTAAGGTTGTTCAATGTAAGTGCGGAGGAGTCGGCTGTGATATCAATACGCCGATGTCAGCGTCTTAACCGTCCCGCGCGCATGCCCCATCCGTCCAGAGCCGCGTTTGGGCGCGTTACGTCCGGGATGGTGTAGATGGGCTAATGAGACTCACTGAGGGTGCCTCCGAAGCCCCAGACCGATTGAAACGTCTGCGTATCATCGATCACTATATCCGCTTGGCCGATCACGCTGGGCGACTGGAAGTTGATCGGGTTGCTGCCCAAATTCGTGTATGTGAGCAGCTTGCCGCGGTCCCAGGTCGTTTGCCACTGGCAAGAGGGTCACGCTCGTCAGCCTCCGCCTAACCCTCACGTCGAGGACGAGATGGCCAAGGACTCACGATGTCGTATATTTGTTGCGCTGAACCCGTGGCGCCCACGAGGGCTACCGCTAGATATGCTAGAGCTGTGCGCATCGTGTCTTCCTGTTCGTGTGCACGGCGTATGCGTGCGTATGGTCGTCGTCGTCGTCGTCGTCGGTCTCAGGAAAGGCTCGGAAGCTCCGGTGCCAGTAGTGGCGGCGGCGGCGGCGTTGACGACCAGGAGTGTCTCCTCCTGCCGCCGGCCATCGATGTGCTGTCTTATATACCCTGCCACTGCGGCACGCGGACCACCTCCGGTCCCGGAGAGAAGGGAAGCACCAAGGCCCCCTCCAACTTCCATTTAGGTGCGTTTGGTCGTGACATCCAGAACAAGATGTGCCAGGAAACAGGATCCAGAACAGCTCGGACAGAGGCGCGACGGCGAAGCGCGACGGATTCGGACAGGCGACATCATGGGTGAGGCCTCCGATGAAAGGGCGGTCACATGCGAGTCGAAGCACATTTTCTCCTCTTGACTACAACAATCAGGCGCAAGCCAGCTCGCCCCCGCGGGCTCTTTTTGCCAAGACCGGAAAGTATCGCACAGGATGGCGTACGACGCGCGTTCCGCTGGAATAAAATGCCAGCCACGAGCCCGCCCCTTGCGTATGCGCGGTGTTGTCAAGAGGATGCTGCGAGGTCGACATGCACGTCATGGAGTCCTCGAATTAGCGTCGGAAACACGGCAACAGCACCAGTGCCTGCTCGGCGGCCCCACCCTTGGGAACAGGACCGTCCCGCGATGCGTCCTTCGGGCTGCTTCTGGGTGTGATCTCCGAAGATGCAGTCGTATAGATGTGAGTGAAACCAGGCATACGTATCGCGGATTAGCAGTTACTCCTGACCACAATCCGCAAAACGTTGGTGTGGGATTGACAGTAGCTGCGCCGCGACTCCCGGCGCATACATGGTGCATATACGCCATGCTCGCGACTCGAAATACGACGCCATGCGACTCCCGCCGCCCGAGACGTGGTTGATGTGAAAGCTGGGATGTTCCGCATTTCAAATTCACACCGGTGATTTCGGCAACTCAGTTCGGCGCCCGCATATTTTATGCGGAGTTTCAAAAGCGTAATCGTCAAGATGAAGTCAAGTCGAGGATGGTAACATCGAGTCCATGTTCAGAGTTAAGTCAATAGCGCAGCAATGACCATCGATCAGCCTCGAAAGCCAGATAAGTGAATATCAGAAGTTACCGGCTACTAGAATATCACGGACGCGTTGTATACCTTGTGTACCCGTCGGTCAGATGGAACATCACCTGGACCCAGAGCACATTCAACCGATCTCATGTGGCTTCTGTTTCATGCGACCGACGGGGCACTCCACCGCATCGACGGTCTCGCCTCGAATAGTGTCGTCGTCATGAACAAGCGTCGTTGGCCGCCCGCCAAGGGGAACGATCAACAAGAAACAACGCGATACGCAACCCTCCGCTGGCCCCCGCCCTCCACGGGCATGCGCCGGATCCCGAACTAGAAGTCGAAGAACCCAATCTCGTCCTCGTCCTGAAACCCTGGGCACGATCCTCCGCCCATACGTATCGCCGCCTCGAAGTACGGACCTGATAGACATCGTCGCATCAATATGACGATGAACGCAAAAACAGAAGCCTGAGCGCCCAGAACCGCACCTTTATGGTTCTGGAATATCTCGTTTGAGAAATCGTTTCCCCTCGAGCAGTTCTATTCATCCCAGGGCGCGATCAGCTATCTGTCCATGCGGACCGACACCGGCGACGTGAGCGCGCGCGCACCTCGTTCTCCTGACCGTCGCAGACGAGGGTCACGTTGCCAGTCTTGATATGCACCTCTCCGCTTGGATGCTGGAACCCGAGCAAGAATGACGGCACCTGAGGAATCGGATCCTGGTCGTTCGACACGTGCGTGAACTGGGATCCAAGCTACCGAAATTCGTTTGCAGCAAATCAGTATCCAAAAGCCGTCGGTCGTCCGCGCTGCGTACCTGCGCGTCCACAAAGTCCGCCCATTCCTGGTTGCCCATCCTCGGGAGCCCGAACACGACGGTATCCATCGTGACCCCGGCCGGCAACCGGGACCGAAGCATCATCGCGTCTAAAGTCGCGATCGCGGCCCCGAGACTGTGGCCCACGACCTGGCGAAACACCCATTTCAGCACGACGGGAAACGGAACGGAACTCGGTAAACCTACCAGGAGCTTCTTCGCGCCGGAGTCCGCCAGCGCGCTTTGCACGGTCGACAGGACCGCGTCTGCCGATCGGCCGTGCGCGCCCTGGAACCCGTCGTGCACCTCCACGCCATCCGGTACGTCCTTGAACAGCGTCTCATTCAGACCCGACCTCGTCAACTTCAAATCGTTCAAGATCGATGCCCTATCAATGTGTCAAGTCGGACAATCAGTACCTTCGTATGTTCGCCTCGGAAGCAGCTTGGATTGAGGCATGAACTCACAAGTTGTTCGTGTTCGTGCCTTGATGGGCTACTACGACCTGGTCGTTGACCTTGTCGTACGCTACGTAGAAGTTGGGCGTCTCCTTGTTATCACCCCCCGTCAACAGCACATCCACATCCCCGATGTCCTTGCACGGTTGTCCGCACGTGAGGTTCTGCACAGAAGCGCTCGAGCAATACGCAGCGCGGGCGAAGCGCGCAGGGGTGAGCAAGGGCTGCACGGACGCAAGGGTGACGGTTTGCGTGTCCGAGCTGTCCCGCGGGAGGCCTAGAGGAGCGGCATGGGCCACTCGGGACGCAAGGAGTGAAGAAACGACCAGGAGGGCACGGACGAGCGTGAACATCGTGGAACGACGAGATTCTAATAAGGGGAGGAGGCCTGCTCGGGTGCCAGAAAGTGAAAGGGGCCGTCTAGACCAGCTTAGCGTAGCAAAAAAGAAATGTAGGGACCAGCCCTCTAACAGGACGAACTTGAAGGGAGAAGGGGAGAGACAAGGGCGTTCACCGACGGTGAAGTTCAGAGGAAACTAAAGGCCTGACGACGCCTTGCATCTATGCTCCCCAGAATCCCGATTATCTCAGCATACATGGGGTAATTCCACTGCTGAGCAACGGCCGGCAGCCAAGGAAGGCGATGATCTGAGGCTTGGTCCGGGGCACGACCTCCAGGTTGCCGCCCAGGAGGTGGGTGTTGATTCCCGTCGTTGCTTCCATTCAAGTCGGACTGCTTGGTTGCGCTTTCATTGCGAAAGAAGTGCGTTGCGCTCGAGACGGTTCATAGGCATCGTCAGAAACGGAGCTGGAGATCCTGCACGTTCGAAGGTCCAGAGATGATCACGGATTGATGCGAGACCGGAGTGCCACGTGGACGTTGCACAGTGTGCACACCGCAAGCACACCGCTCGTCGCTGAACAGACTTGCACCACCCGGAAATACACCTATCAACCTACCTACCTACCTACCTCTAAAAGCTCGAATACAATAACTATGAAATATCTTCAACTATCCTCAACCATCCTCAGAGTCATACAGGCCGTCGAAACACTTGCACCTTCTGCGCTTTCACGGAGGGCGCAAGTTGAACGCTGGCGGCACGGTTCCCGACTGAACGTGGTCAACCCGGATACCTTGCGACCTACGAGCTGCGAATTGCGAGGGTTGTGCCGTCTTTCAGACGAAGATTGTTCCACATTCACCGAGCTCGTCCAGCGGCTTCGAGTCTCTCCGACGACTCAGAAAACAGGGCTCCGGTAATTGCCGTTGTGGTTATGATATTGTCTCGGTCGCGGCATGAATGTTGTTGACCAGAGAGGATGCTAAAAATTGATGTGCTGCTTTAGTGCACTGCTGTCCCGAGGCTGTCCGCTACAGCGAGTTCGCGCCGATCCGACCTCGACCGGCTCATGCCATACGCTCGCGAGTACAAGGAGCAGCCCAATCTGGGACGCAAGACGTCGAAGTTCGTGCGAGCGAGAAGGATCCACCGTGGTATATCCACCAATGATGCTCCTCCGTGGGCTCCGTGGCTCCTGCATCGCTATGGTTACTGAGCGTGAGCATAGCACTGTTGTGACCACCGTGATAGCCGGCCGCGATTACAAGTCAGCGCACAAGCGGAAGATGGAATCCCTTTCAATCATCAAATATACGCATAGGTACGAGTGCATGATTTCGCAGGAATACGAAGGCAAGTGACTGAACTCATTCTGGAAGCTGGCCCCACTTAGGAGTTCGGGATACCGCGCCAACTGCGCATCTATCTGCCTCTCCAGGTCGACCTACTCCACTTGACAGTGCGGCTGCGTAATATGAATGAGTACTTCACGCCAAGCAACCATCCTAGGCTTCTCCGTAGGCGGTACTACGAGCGCTCAAGGACGAACTGAAGATTATCGTAGACGTATGAATTTATTCTATGCGTACCATATTTCAGAATGGATCTGACAACGCGCGTCGTGAACTTCCGGAACACAACAAAAATTTCAAGCTCGATCGCCCGATCGCCTACGTTCGACGGGGGCTAACATCCCCAACCGTTTTTGGTCACACGACATTACGAAGTTTCCTTTCCTGGCATTGAATGTAAGTCAGTACAATACATACGCATCCCGAACAATGGTTCTCGTTGTACTTACTTTGCGTTAGCCGTCGACATAGTCCATCATCATCGGCATGGACCCATACGCCTGAGAATGTGTATTGTACTGGCTCGGCTGTACCGACCTCCGATCGGTAGCCTCAACGTAGGAAATGGATCTCGACTTGCTAACAGAGGAAAGCCTCCGATATGAGGGTTGAACAAACTGAGCCAGCAGTGGCACAAGGACCCCTAGCTCTCTGTCTACCTTATTCTCGTCCAGCTGTGTATAAAAGTGAGCAGCGCAGAAATCTCAAAGCATTCAACGGCGCCTCGAGAAAACATGTCCGACTCCGGCTTCTTAATCACCCGTCGCGCTTTCGAGGAGCTCTTCAACAGGCCCGAATACGTTCCCTTGCAAACGGGTGGTCCCAAGACCCTTCTAAACTCTGAGAGATACTGGGTGGACCGCCACGCCTGGTTCTCCCAAGCCGGCTATACGTTCCGTCGGCGTTACCAACCGAATTGGGTGCCGTCCTGGGCCTACTCCACACATTGGCGGTATTTTGATGATGGCCTCATTCTCTCAGTACGCCTATTATACGGCATCGTGCAGATCGCTATGCAATATACTGACGATCGGATATGTTCTGCGCTATAGAATGGTATCGTGATGGACGCAACCAGGCGGGACCCAGGTCGCTCTCAAACGCGTGGAACTGAACAGTACTGACCATCGTGTCGCCGCATACTTCAACCATCCGAACCTGAGACAAGATCCTCGGAATCATTGCGTCCCTGCAGGACTCTCGCTGGGACCACACGATCCAACTGGTGTCATTCTTGAGATGCCCTTACTTCGCGAGTTTGACGACCCTCCTTTCGGAACCGTGAGCGAAGTCTTGGAATGCATCCGGCAGATCTTCGAGGTTCGGTCAGAATCATTCGAGTGCTTCTCGCATACTGATCGCATGCACAGGGTCTACTATTCATGCACTCTCATGGCTATTCTCATGGGTTCGTACAACCTCTCTGTCACGAAATCCATCGCTGACTTGCCTTGACTCGCCCTCCATATTTTCCTGATAATCAGCAACTGCACTCGTGACAACATCATGCTTGACGCTCGGACCATGATCAACGAAGCCTTCCATCCCGTTAGAACTAGCGCCAGTCTGGACATGAGACGAACAGTTAACATCAAGGCGAGGTCGTCGCCCGGATGCAATCCGCGGTACTACTTGATCGATTTCAAGTACTGTCATATTCCTGGCACCCCTTATTTGAGACTGTTCCCTTGCCGGGATCGAAGCTTACCAGAACTGAGGCGCCGGGACGAAGTGCACGACCTCTTTGCAGTGGATGTCTACTATATTGGACACTGGGTGAAACAGGCCTTTCTCCAGGTGAGTGGCCTTGTTTTGGCACAGGATTAGCCGCTGATAAATCCCATCTCAGACATACCAAGACTTCGAGTTCCTCAAGCCACTCGTAGATCAAATGATGGACTCTGAACCCTCTAGGCGGCCCACTATGTCCGCTGCTATGCATTCTTTGAACTCCACGATTGCGTCCATGAGCCATTCTAGGATGAAATCGAAGTTGCACATGATAGGGTCCGGCGGTGTTTTGCGGAGGCTCATGGCGCGTCGCTAGTCATTTTGTACCTGTCCTATACCCACTTGCTCTCAGTGATGCTGCAATATGATTCTCGCATGGAATATCGACGGGAGTGGGAAGTACGCTAGACAGGTCGATAATATCATCATCCATGAGTGAGTATATCCTCGAACCCAGAGCCCGTGCATGCTGGCCTCGCAAGCCATTCGAAACGGCTTCCAACCTCTGAGAGACAATACAAAATACGCACTAGCATGCGTCAACAACTCTGGACCATGAGTTGTTTGCACACGAGAACGCGCGGCCGTAGAAATGCATCTTACGTTCTCCAAGAACTTTGCATCAGAAAAAAGCTCAGTCAACAACCATCACTAAATTAGTGATCATCGCGTGCAGGTCATGCTAACCGCACTTATGCATTCACTACGTGGTAAGGGCCGCTATTTGCCGCATGTATCAGATGCTATGTGTGCGTGACTATCCGGTCTTGGCTCCAGACTATCGACTGCTACGCTTGAATCGTACCACCTTGACATTGCATATGCTATCATTGGCACCACTGACCTCGCATGTCAGCAGCATGTTGTTATGAGGTTTCGTTATCACACCCAAGCTCACCCCACCCCACGTTGCAGCATCGGTCCAACCCCGGCTTCAGGTTCCAGAGATACTAGAGGATACATCGATTTACGGTTGGTGATAGTGTTCATGCGAACATTGCTGAGGAACCTTCTTAGGTTGATACTACCTGAGATATTGATACTTGCCGTCGATATCATATCGTCGATGTATTTTAGTCGTGGCTCATAATATCATGACAGTGTGTGCATTTCGGTCCACTGCTCTCGTACAACTGCGCTTATGTCCAGTGGATAATGTCAGCTAATGCCCACATATGACTCACTAATTGTAGTTCAATTAGGTGGTCTAAAGTGAGTACTAGTGAGGCATAGAGGGATCATGATAGATCATAAACTTCGGGCGCCTCTCAAAGGCGCTAGCCGGCGCATGGCAATGTCTCCTCCAAATACCCCAGCAACCTCGCCTTGGGCACAATGGTAGGTAACCTCTGTGATGGCGAACGATGGTGTCACCGATCGTAGCGAGGCCGAATCAACGTCTGCAGTCCGACCATGCTAAGTTAGCGAGTAAGTGGGAATTTGCACTAGATGATGCGTACCCTGCGCCGTGTCCATCGGGATTGGGCTTTCTTGAATATTGCGGGAGAAAGACGACTCTGCGCTGTCCATGGAACGAAGTTGACGAGTGTGATAGACGCGAGGGCTATCCTCTATGATCTGCGTGGGTCCTGCATTATATGTTTCGTGACGCTATCGCTCGCGGATAGGAACATGGCCACTAACCAGGCTGATCTAAAGCAAGGTTCGCGACGTTGCCTACGACGGCTTCATCGCGGTTCCATTCCTCCTCATCTGCATATGATCCATTCCCGACATTCTCACTGACCGTGGTCGGAGCTGCGGGTCGTTGGTCTGTTATGCAATATTACAGGTTGTACAAGAATATAAGCTTAGTCACATACCGGTCGTGCACCGATCCGTATCAGATGATGGAAAGAGCTCTTTCACCTGTTCTGTGGCTGATGCCCGCTATATTGCTTCGTTATTAATGTCCGTTGACTATAAAGGGGGGACCGCGATTACCGTAGCGTCCGAGCGGAATTCGGACGCGCTCTTCTTGAATGCGGTCGCGACGCGAAGGCTGCCCCATTTATTTTCTCGTAAGTATTTCTCGGCTTCCTTCTTGCGGGTTTCGGCCCTAATTGACGGATGACAATGAATTAGTAGATCTCTTACGAAGGAGCAGTCAACGAACGCGGTATATGTGTATTTGCAGCTCTCTAGTGCCGTATTGGTGATAATCCCATCTCTCTTGCCTTTATGTAGGAGATCAACTGCCCCATGAAACTCTTGCAGTCCCAGCTTGTACTGATGGTCAGCGCTGAAAGCCCCGACCAGCGAGACCGATAAACTCCCGACGCTTGCGACGGCACCCACGGCGCCCACGGGATCGATAGCCATAATAAGAAGGAATAACCGCTGCGGTAAAAGAGCAAAGGACGGACGCCTTGCGGAGAAGGAGAAAGTCGGTGGGTAGATGAAATCGATTTAGACGGAACTCTGCCAAACACTTATAGGTTCGGGAGCGTGTTTCATTGCACGAGGTACAACCTGGCGGTTATCAGAGGTACCCGTATGGGTACAAAAGACGACATCCCTGGTCCCACCGAAAGACCTGTGATGGCGGGTGTTCTGCGGGAATGAAGTTGTGGGACTGCATGGGTCCTGTGTGACGGACAGCGTTGACGGCAACGTTGCCAGGAGCAACAACGTTCCGCGCTTTTGTTCGTTCCGCCTTGAGGCATTGCATTGCGGAACCTAATGGACAGCATGAGCAATGTAGGTAATTCGAAGCGTCGGCGACCGGGGTTTGTGCTGAGTTTTGTGCTGGTTTGGGTTCCGATTCATTCCCGCGCGGAAGAGGGGGGGTCAACGGTTCGCCATTTCACGTGACGCGACTTTGTCTTGTTCCGCAACGTATTGCAGGCGTGTTGAACGACGGCAACGCCCAAGGTCGGCGCGATCCGCGATTTCGTTGCATGCCACCAAGCCAGCGTCAACATGGAATCATCTCTATCTGAAATGGTCAGGGACTTGTTTCCTCCCGACCCTGAGGTGGCGGCGCGCCAACCACTCCTAGCGCGCACCGACTTCCAATCACATGAACTATACTGGCTGGACACGTACGAGTGGTACCGGGAACGCGGATACTTGCTGCCCCAGCGCTATCATCCTGGATGGCTAGCTTCACTGGTTGGAACTGGCGAACGCTGGCAGGATCATGAGGAAGGGTATGTCTTCAAGGTCAGTACATTTCGGCGACGGCAAATAAGTACTTACTATTGATCGTCAAAACATAGAATGGGTTCGTTGTGGATGCGTGTCGTGATTCAGACAACGCACAGGTTATCCTGAAGCTCGTTAGACGCTCAGTTCACGATCAAGAAGTGGAAATCACACGCCATCTCAGTACTGGTGATATTGCCGCGGACCCTAGGAACCACACCATCCAGATTGACGATATCCTTCACCATACCGATCATCCGAATATTGATGTCATCGTCATGCCATTGCTTCGTCCTTTCGATGACCCCCCGTTCGACACAATAGGCGAAGTTGTGGATTGCATTGGACAGATATTCGAGGTTAGGCTACGTCTTTCATTCTATCGTTCATTGAAATTAAATCCTCGCTCAGGGACTTGAATTCATGCACTCTCATCACGTAGCCCATCGGTACATTGAAAATCTGGGATGGTGCCGTGGACGCTGACCAATGCATATGCCTTTACAGTGACTGCCATGCCGGCAACATACTACTGGACTCCCGTCGCATGTACCCACAAGGTTTTCATCCAAGAAGAAAGAATCGCACAAGGGACTTACGGGGGCGTGCAAAACACTACACTAGGACGTCTCGTCCTCCTCGATACTGCTTGATCGATTTCGGCCTGTCTCGTCGTTATCGGGCAGAAGACACCAACCCGATGGAACCATTGATCCCTGGCGGAGACAAAACCCTACCCGAAACACGGAACAGGATTACACCTTGTAACCCGTTTGCCAACGATGTGTACTACGTTGGCAACTGGGTACGCCAGTCATTCCTCGAGGTGAGCTCTGAACAGGCATCTGCGTCTTCTTTGCTCCAAAGGAATCTACCAGGGAATGCGCGGATTCGGTTTCCTCGCACCGCTTATTGATGAGATGGTCGTTGACGATCCAAGCGCCCGTCCATCGATGGAACAAGTGCTACTCCGCTTCAACTCCGTAAAGCAGGGCTTAAGCACCTGGACATTGCGCTCTCGCGCTGTCAGGGTTGATGAGGGCTTCGTTTCCGGTTTGTGGGCTTCAGTGGGGCACTGGGCTAGGAGAATTAGATATGTCGTGACAAGGACGCCCGCGCTACCCACGCCGTAAGGCGTTGATTTCACCCTGGGCAGTATTACGTCGTCCCACGCTATTGTTCTTTTGTTTGCTTTGCTCACTACGTTCTCAGTTGCTTTGTGCTGTCCCTCTTGCTTCATGTCTTCACGAGTCAAATCTGCTATCGATATCGCTATCACCTGGAGGATGCTACGGTCGTGATCGATTGCCTTAACAAAGCGACAGTTCCTATGAGCGTGAAATACAATAGTCGTGAATCTACCCATCCTTAGAACAGACCCAACAAATCATCCTGAGCCGCCTGCGGCTGCTGGGGGTGTTGCGCCTGTACAGGTGACCCTACCCCTCCGAACCCAGGAAATGATTGTCCAGCAAGCGGCGCGCCGGCAACAGGACTGCTCACCCCACTCCCAATGCCACCGAAGTCCAATCCGCCCAGCCCGCCCCCTTGCGATGCCTGAGGCGTCGGCCCCGCACCGGCGCCGACGTTGCCGAAGATCGACACGAGGTCGTCGAGGGGGTTGCTCGACGTGCCGGAAAGCAGATTCGCAGCCGCAGTCGTGGAAGCGGCGGGGATAATCGTCGTCGCCGCAAGCCCCGACGGTTGCGAGTCCGACGTCGGCACGTCCTCGAAGTCGAGCAAGTTCTCGGCGACCTGCCCGGCCGCAACGGTCTGAAGTGCCTTCTTCGCGAACGCTTGGTCGTCGGTGCTGGAATCGATGCACGCTATCAGATGGGTTGCGTCGGAGGTGAAGCGATGGAATACTGACTCGAGGCCCCTCCGTTGTAAAGCATCCGCACCGATACGACCCCGGCCGATGAACGTCTCTGCTGGTTTGTGGTACACGCTCGCAAGGGTGGATATATCTCCAAGCAGCTCTTCAAGTAGTGCGGGAGATACCGTGGTCCGCGCAAGCGATATTGGTGGTCGATGGGCCAATACCACAGTCTGATGATAACTGTCAAAAGGTGCTCCGTAATTCAAGCTAGTCAAGAACAATACCTTAGCTGCCCCAGGATCAGTTGATAGCAATCGCCAGTATATGTACGCTCGATCTCGCACATCCGGAGAATCGCAATCCTTCGTCGCCGTGTTCAATATGCGTTGTACAATCCCCTGAGATGTATCGGGCTTCTTGAGGAAGAGCTTCACGACGGCCGTTAATGTTTGTAGTTGGACCTGTATAAGCCGGGCGGGATTAATCAACCACGGTCATGCACAAGGGTAAAATGCGTCTAACGGAATATGACTCCTCGGTAAATGTATCCACGAAGATGCTCAACAGTTCATCGGCATTATCGATCTTGTTGGCGTACTCGCCGATGATCCATATCAACGATGCTTTTGCTTCGGGCTCGTCCAGCTCTTCCAGGTTGGCGCATAGCGTAGGAATAACACCTTCATACGTGGAGGGATACTTGCGGAAAATATCCTAATCATGTTGTGTCAATACACGCCATACGAGAGGAGAATTCGAACACTCGCCTTCATGACCACGACAGCTTCTTGCACAACATAACTCACTCGTGTTGCTATCAAGTCCAGCAGCACGTTTACACATCGTTCCGCGGCAGCATCGATCTTGACCGCCGTCTGTCCGATCGCCTTAATGCTCTTCCGTACGAAGTCCACGTCAACTTCCGATGCGTATCTGGTAACAGTTCGGCATGAAAATGGGATGCATAGGTGCATATACTCACTCTTTCAGCTCACTGAGCAGCGCGTCTACGTTGTTCTCTCCCGCTAGTCGCACCATGATGTCCAGCTTCTCGACTTTAACGTATAGCGGATCATTGTATTTGCAGAAGAAGACCCGCATCTCGTTCGAGAGAACATCCGGTCGCTTTTGGAGCAGTAGATTGATGTTGCGTAGGGCGACCCATTGCACCTCTGGTGGTGATGAGAGCAGAGTGACGAGAGGGGGCGCCATCTTCCGCACAAGCTGCTTGTTAAGCTCTTCCCGCCCGACATGCCGCATGTGGATCATAATGACCTGCATACCGTCGTCACCCTCCTCGAACACGCAAACGGGCGATAAACGCACCTTTACCGCCGCCAACACCACGCTACCGTTTACATGCTGGAACTGTGGCACCACCCGCTCGCATATATGCTCGCTCTCCTTCTGATCCGACGTCTGATACATCGCGAGCGCGTTCAGCAATGCCACTCGCCCCCACTCCGAACATTCGTTCAGCGCGACGAGCAGCTTGTTGAGCACTTGGGGCGTGACTTTGAATATCGCCGGATCGTCCGGCGGGAGGTCGGGATTTTGTGTCGCGGTGTTGTGGATGTCGAAGAGGGCGGCTACGGTGTTGGAGACAACCTGCAGGCATTCAGTGAGCACGGGCCCCCGAGTTGAGCTGGGGTGGAAAGCACACGCACCATGGGGTTGCTATCCGCGATCAGCTCGTGCAGTTGCTCCAGGAACCCATTCTCCAGCACCAGGTCCGGCTTCAAATCGTACAGCTTCGCCACGCACAGCGCCGCCGTCTTCCTCACGTACGGATTGTCATCCCTCAGGCACTTTTGCAGCGGGTCGCACAGGTAGTCGATAATCTTCTCCGCCCTCAGGCAGCCCATCGTACGGATCGCGAGTGCGCGCACGAGCGGGTTGGCGTCGTCAGAGTCCTTGACGAACGTGTTGACGGCGAGGATGACAAGCTCCGGCTGGGTTTTGGCATAGTTCATGAGGTAGAGGTAGACAAGCTTCTTCTGCTCGAGGTCGTCGGTCTGCATGTTCTTTAAAACGTCCGGGAAGAGGCCGCTGACGTCCTGAGTATCAGTATAAGCAATCCCCGTCTTCCAAGTGTATGCATCTCGCCCTCTCTAGCATGCTGGACCGCTCACCTTCCCGACGGTCATGTTGGCGATGACACGCTTGATCGCATCCTTGCGTTTGTCACGGTATTCACTGTTCAGATCGGCGCGAAGCTCGAAGTTCTCGCCTGGGTGTAACAGTGGTATCTTGAACCTGGTGGGCTCAAGAATGGCTGAAACGCACCTTTCTTCGGGGCTGCTCTGGGGAAGACGTTCATAATGTAGGAAGAGGCGGATGGGTCCTAAGCTCGCGATGGAGGCCCTGGTCGTCGGTTTGAACGAGGCTGTTTGATGTTCAGTATCTTCTGGCTGCAGCCGCAGCAATAGCAGAAAACCGCGGGAGTCCAGCCGTCGAACAAGATTATAAGTAAGGGAATATGGGGCGAGCTGCGCGCGTCTTCGCGGTGGTGAGCAAAGGCGGTGACAGCCTACGCTCGCTTTTGACCACCACATCCGCAACTGATCTGGGACTGTTTGATGAAGTCCCTTCTGTCGGCACTTCTGTACCCTCTATTGCATGTCCCGTTGACTAATTCGGACTGCTATACAGACGTCATGAACTCGTGAGCCCAAGCTGAACTCTCGGAGTAAGTGTCGTTCTCCTCGACGCTGCACTAAAGTGGCTGGACTGATCGCAAATTTGGCTATTCGTACATTAGATGTCAACGGATACTGCTTCGTGACTTTAATCATCTGCTCAAGCTTCCTGGGTTGCAGCTTTGCCGCCTGCCTCCCTCAACTGGCCTTTCTCGTGCAAATCGGCGTTGCGCGTCACCTTCCCCATGACCTGTGAGCGATGTTAGTCCCCCAATGCAACTGCGGTCAAGGGAGTTCACTACCTTCTGAGTCTTTCCTACCATCTTGTCACTGAACTTCGCATGACCTTCCGGACCATCCTGCTCTCCAACAGTAGTGCCTGCAAGATCATGGTATCCAGTCAACCTCCCGTCAACAATGTTCGCGGAACAGGAATGTACCTTCGTTGGCCGACCTCATATCCGTCGGCCTATCCTCATGCTCAGCGTCTTCCCTCTTATCTCCGAACGCGCCCTGCCCCCTCCCCGACCCAAGCCCCGGCGCCATATCCACCACCTTCTCCTTCGCCTCTTGCGTCTTACTCGGTCGATTCAGGCTGTCATTCTCCGTTCCCAAGCCGCGCGCATGCTCGACATTCTCCGCCGAGTAGTCTATCGTGGACTCGGCATTGGGGGCGCCGGTGGCACCCGGGAGCGGCTGTGATTGCGAGTGCACGCGGTGGGTGGGCGGCTGCGTCTCGAATTGTTCGAGGTTGGACGACATGGTTCGCGAGGGTGTGATGTATGCGTGAATGTTGGGTGAAGTGTAGGTTGCTGTCAGTGTAAAACTGTGTCGTTTCCGGTCCTCCAGTTCAGTTTGACCACTCTTATACCACCCATTCTTGAGTGACGTCATTAAGACTATATGAATCTCCCCCACAACTTCGAAGGCGACTGAAGCCAAACTTTCACAGCAACGCAACTCCAATACGTACAGGCACATGTGTATACCCCACATAACCATCGTCGGCTGACATGAATCAGCGGTCTGACCGGGAACGAGGTTTAGATCCGGAAGGGCCTGCAGCTTCACGAACAAAAATCAATACAAAAGTAGCATACCTAGCTGGTTACATATCGAAGCATAGGCCAGTAGCCGATAGTATGAGGGGCAGTCATAAGTTACAGTACGCCATGGCCCACCCCTCCGACGACGGAAGTTCGCTCCATGCGCAAGCGCCGCCGCGATATAAGACACTAATCAAGCGGCGCTCAAAGCTCATTGCTGCTGCTCCGCGCTCTTCTTCGGTTGCTTGCTCTGCGTGAGGCTCTTGTGGATGAAGGGCAGTACGCCTCCGCCCGCGATCGTCGCTCGGACAAGGATATCGAGCTCTTCATCGCCGCGGATAGCGAGCTGCAGATGGCGCGGGGTGATACGCTTGACGCGCAGATCCTTGGACGCGTTGCCTGCCGATGCGACGTTGTGAGTCAATCATGCACTTGAAACATCGGGATCGGTAGTAGCAAAATGCGCGTATCGTAGCCACACTGCGAAGGGATCCGGAGGGTAAGATGAGGTTGAAACTGAGCGTCGTACCTGCGAGTTCGAGCACTTCTGCGGTGAGATATTCGAGCACGGCGGACGTGTACACGGCCGCCTTGGCGCCGACGCGCATGTTGTGCTGCGTCCGGATTTTGAGGTAACGGTGTATACGACCGACGGGGAACTAAAACTCAGGACATCAACACGTTGTTCACCACGGAATGCGCGTGGGCGCGTCGAGGAGAAGAAACGACAACGAATCGAGAGCGCGAGCACATCTGGCAGGCTCAAGACATGAAAGTGAAATCGCACACCCCCAATCAATTCGAACAAGGACGCGTCTTGATAGAGAAAAAAGCTGGAACACACCTGCAACCCTGCCTTCTGACTGCGCGTCTGGAGGAACTTCGTCTCCTTCGAGGTTTCACCGGCATTGCCGGATTTTGCGCCAGACTTGCTTGCCATTGTACGCAGATCGTCCGCACTTAGCCTTGCGATGGTGGTGGTAAGGTGGCCGGGATGGCAGAGGTCAGGGGCTGCAATAAGCGTGGTCGCCGCAGTAAGACAACGCAAGAAAGCAGGTCAAGCGAGTCAGCCAGGCGACGTCCAACTCTCGTTGAAGTTGCGCACGAATGTTAAAGTCCTGACGGGGCGGATTGCGATATGAGACTCGGAAACAAAGAGGGGCGTAAGGCCAGGGAGCGAGCTCGTAAAGAAGCGGCCATCCCTCGGTCAACGCCTTCGCGGTGAGATCAAACGACCCTGTTCTCACGGCTACTTTCGCCAGTAAACCGGGTCATGTGACGTTACAAACGCCTCCTTTCCGCGGCACCCCTTCTGAATCTTAGCTGGTTTATCTTCCTTCTGTATCTTGAACGCGAGAGCAAAGCCGGAACTCCTTCAGAAAATCTCGGCGCCAGAAAGAGTATATAGACATGGACCCCATATTGCCTGGATAGCCAGCCTCAACTCGATACATCCGGGACCTCCTCGCCCTTCATCTTCTTCAGCGTCTTGTTCTCAAGCTCGTCAGCGAAGGAGTCTCTGAACACTATGCCCTTGCGCCTGCTTCCAACGGAGGATACGCTATCGGTTCGCTTCTTGGGACGCGGCCCGCTTCCGATGGAACTTTGGCTGGACAGCTGTTTTGAGGCGCCACAGTGATCGATATTCAGCGATACTCGGAAAGAAGAGCGGAAACACGCGAATCCACTGACTTTGCGCTTGAGAGACCTCTGTGAGGTAGTAGGCTGGAGGACTCCATCGGCGGCGGCGGCAGTAGCAGGGGCAGCATCTTCGGTATCAAGATCTTCGGGCTTGAAGACAGGTACGGGCTTGCGTCGAGACATGTCCACGGAGTTTCTCGACTAAGAAACAAAGAAATTATGTTCTGCTACGCGCATCTCAGGTAGCACGACCACACCTCTTTCTTGTCGTCATCCTGTGTCTTGTTCTCCTTGTCTATCCACGGGCCGTCAGCGACCCCTCACACAAGCCCAATATCCCGGCTCACCCAACTTGGCAGCCGCCTCCTCGCACCGATGCCGCCGCTCGTTCGCCAGCTCCTCGATCTCGCGCCTGATCTTACCCTGCTTCCTCGCCTCTGCCTCGATCCGCACCTTCGCGTCCATCACGTCCAGCTCGACCAGCTTACACTCGCGCTGAAGGGCAGCGAGTGCCGCTTCGTCCGCCGCGTACCTCTCCATGAACGGCTGGATGACGAAAATCATCTGCGTGGCGATCCCGGAGAGCGGCCGAGCCATCTGCGGGGGTTGATAGCCAAGGGAGTGTGGTGATGTAGCCATGATGCTGATAGAGATGTTGTTCTCGCCACTCGCGGTGATGAAAAGCCTCGGGGAGGAGACTGGAGGCGGGCTGCCTGAATTAGCAGGTTACTTAGCTCGCCGGCGGGACACGAACGACGTCATCCACGTCAACCGTTGACTGTTTGACAGAATGTTGCTCGGATCGGCGAACATACTGGTTCTGGCTCTTCACTGGTGGCCATAGCTACCAGTGCATCGCTACCAGCCCCGTTCGCCTTCAAGGGCGCCATCCCCGCTGACTAGTCCCCCACATTGCTACTGCGCCTTGATCGGGATGCTACCAACCACAGAATCCAAAGACTCGTATGTGCTCGTGCACGGAGACCCGCCATCGCCGACTCCATTCGGCGCCGACGATGACACCCCGTCTGTCCCCTCCAAGCCTGACCTTGCCAAGATCCTCTCCTCCGCTCACGGGCTTCAAGCGCAGCTCGAAGCGCTGGAAGCACAGAGCAACTGCGTCCAGGTAACTACCGTCCTACATACGCTCCCTGGCCCGACCTTTAACTTCCACTGACCAACATCGCCCCGCAGTTCCACATCGGGCTCAACACGGAGCGCCACGCCGACCTCAAAGCCGAGCTAGAGCACCTCCAGATGCGCGAAAAGCACCAGAAAGAGGTCACCAAGCTCCTCCTACTCGACCTCGCCCGTCTCAAGTCCAACCCCAGCTCCCTGGCCTTACCCCTCCCCGCGCCGGCCCCCGGTGAATGCCGCTGCTCCCTCCTCGCCGTTCCGCTCTCCCAACCCTCTGCCTCTTCTTCCTCCTCGTCTTCATCCACCTCACGCCCGGGGCCGATGCTCGAGCGCATGAACACGCTCAAGCTCAGATCGCTCGGCAAACGGATCTGGTCCTCGGCGAAAAAGGACGACCCCGCGCGCCTCTCGCTCCGCAAGAAACGCTCCGCGCTCAGCCTCCGCCTCCGGCTCGCGCGCACGCCATCCACGTCGGACGACGCGCACGAGAAGAATTTAAAGACGACGCGCCGGCGCCGCGCGAGCTCGGCTGCGTCCATGGGCAAGGCGGGGTCTACGAGGAAGGCGGCGGCGCTGGACATCAAGCCGGTGGAAGCGCTGAAGGAGGCGTGCGCGACGCCGAACGGGGGCAAGATCTCGAAGGCGACGTGGAAGACTGCGATTAACAGGCGGCGGGAGGACGTCGCTGCATGAGGGTCTCGGTTCATGGCACTATTCACGGGTCTTGGTCGAGACGACTTGTCGTCGTCAGAACATTTATAAACTTATTCACTCATTCTTTTATTCATCACTATATATCCACGTAAAACTGGCCGATCGAGGCTCACAATGAGTCAAGATGACGCCAAAACGGTATCTGGGCCACTTCGTGTGGTCCTTGCACAAGACAAGAATAATCAAGAAACGACATTAGTATAAGTAGGCTGTCACGGGAAACGAAGTAGAAAAGTCCGTCGAGGCAGTACATGCGCCTAGTAGCGGCGCCTGAAGCGGGAGAAGAAACCGGGCTTTGTGGTGGTGGTGGTCGGGTAGGTGGTGGAGCCATACATGCGGTCGCGGCGACGACCGAAGATGACGATGCAGCCCGAGATGCACAGCAAGATGAACGCGACGAAAGTCAACCAAAAACCTATACGCATATACTTGATCAGCACCTACGCTCACCACATGTCATTTGGAGGGGACGAAAGAAATAAACGCACCAGGAGCGGTGTTGACGTTCTTTTTCACGCCCTGCACCTTGCCCATCTGGTGGTGGGTGAACGCGAAGAGCGCGATGTCAATTGCGAAGGCGATGAGGGTGATCAGAGCCGCGAGGAAGGCGGTCAGGGACGCGAAGAGCATGGCGGTCAGGTGCGTGCTGAGCGAGAAGACGAGGGCGAGAAAGGAGACGCCCGCTGCGACAGGATGCACGGCAAGGCCGCGCGTCCAGGATGGGCCGACAGTCTCCTCGTTGTTCGTGCCGTGGACGGTGAAGGCGTATGCATTGTCTGTGAACAAGAGATGAGAACCGGAGTGAGAGGGGTGGATGCGGTACGTACTGGCAGAGGTGCAGGTCCTATCACCGGACGCGGCTTCATAGGCGCAGTAGCCCCATGTTCCGATCTGGAGAAACGCGAAAGTTCAACCAAAATCAACAGCGGCTCTCGATAGGGATGCTCACCCTCAGCTGGCTGAGTCCATCCTGGCCGCTGGCTGCCGTAGCGGTACCAGAGGAGAAGTGCACGCGCGCGATGTCGAGCGCGGTCAGGAAGGGCAAGCCTGTATGGATTATTGACAATCGTAACGCGTTCTGCTGCCAGCAATGTCGTGAGTTCGACTCACCGACCGCGACGAGGAAGTTGAGCACGGTGGCGGCAAGCAAGAGCGTCACGCCGGGGATCCAGAAGGCGCGAGACATGGTAAGTCGTTGACGTTACGAGGAAGAAGAGAGGGGGCAGGAGGGACAGGAGAGGGGCAGGAGGCAACGAAGGAAACGTTTTGAGCTTGGCCTCGCGTTTCATTTTCACCTTTGGATCTTCTCTTCGGCCCAGACGTCATCGACGTTGAAGGCGTGAGAGACACGCGGTCAAACGTCGTTGGTACCTCGTTCCACTCCACAAAGCTATTCCAATCTCCGGGGACCGAAGAACTCAGTATGAGATCATATTCGAGGTGGCTAGATGTTGTCGTTAGGGTAAGATGAGACAGGGGAACATGGGAAGGTACGCGTAGAGTAACATTCTCGTCGAGCCTTAACTCTGCCAGACAGATGAAGGTAAACTGAACACCTGCAGCCCAATCACAGAGCCCAACGGTTCTACATAGTCGGTCGTCCATTTGCAGACATCACTCACTGTGCTCAATGGGCTTCCTTCGCTCTCATTCTCCAGCATTCATCGGACCACACATGGACATGGAATGATTTGCGGTGCGCGGACTCATTGAACGGGGTTAACGCCGCGGCCTGATGCGAGAAGCTCACTTGCACGGACTTCCGCGTTGAACTTCAGCTCTACAGTTTTCGACCTCAAACATGCTGGCGCCGGGAAAGGGAACCTGGCTGTAAAGCTTCCATCGATTCGAGTTCGCTTCGCATGGGTACTGAAGCGGAACCAGCCTATGCCCGCAGCCGGAGTCTGTAGGCAGTACACACGGCGAGGATTAGTTTCATTCTCATGCTCAGACGCAGAAGGATTCGAGATGCGTAGACAATTGGCGTGTGCCTCGAGTCCCGAATTCCTGACCTGGAACCATGTCCGGTATAAAACGTGCGCATCTCGCGTTCAGAGCGCTGAGCTTCTAATGGATCCCGACCCTCACTACCACCATGTCAACCTCACAGATAGGCTGAAATACTATGCCGCGGAGCTGAGCTGGCCATTCACTGCCCTTCACACCACGCTGCGTAGAAAGGGTCGTGGCAAGATCACTCTCAAGGAGGAGCTCTTTCTTGCAAAGTTCCGAAAGCAAGTCTATCGTGTTCATTGAAGTCATGAATATGCTAACAGTTAGTCGTCCCTCTAGAATATTCTTTGGTCGATTCCCGCTCTCGGTGCTGCGCGCACACTTTGCTGGAGATGCGTCGGCTGATAGGGTGCTCAGCCACCCACGCTTTGTCTCTGTCAGGAAGAACCTCTACCAGCGCGTCGAAAAGCCATCGTTTGCCGGGTATTGGATCTTTCGCCACTCTTTCACCGATCCTCAGCCGCCTTCCTCCTCCGACATCGTCCTCTGCTACATTCACGGAGGTGGATATATGGCGTGGCAACCGGGGACGTACATGCCTCTGCTGATGGCCATCGTGGAGGCGGTCATCAAGCGAGGATTCACCGTCAGCCTCTTCGCGCTAGATTACTCTCTAACCCCCGAAGCCGGCTTTCCGACCCAGATCGGGCAGACCGCGGGCATGTACAAGTACCTCGGGGACGAGATGGGTGTGGACTATCAGAAGGTCGCGCTCATAGGCGATTCCGCCGGAGGGCATCTGATTTTATCCTTCCTCACGCACCTTCACAAGCCGACGCCGCTACTGTCGCCCAATCCATCGGAAGGGCTTCCCAGACCGGGCGGAGGCGTGTTCCTCATCAGTCCCGGGGTAACGTTCGACACATCCGGCCCGACGTACAAGACCAACGACGGCCTCGACATGCTCAGCACCAGCGTGATGAACAGGGTCTCGCAGACATTCCTGATCGCGTCGAAAGAAGCCGCCAGCGACGAAGCAAAGCCTTATCGCGAATTCGTTGACCCGGTCCCAAATTGGGCGGAGATCGTACCGAAGAGGGTGTACGTGAGCTCGGGAAGCCTGGAGGTGTTCGTGGGCGATATCGAGAAGGTGGTACAGGCGATGCGAGACGCGGGCGTGGACGTGCAGTACTCCTGCGCGCAAAACAAGGCTCACGATTGGCAGTTCACGGATATCCAAAAGATCGAACAGGCATGGTTGCGAACGCCGTTGGACAAGGAGATCTCGGTGAAGCTGGCAGGAGCCGAGGAACTGGCGTTTGCGCTCGTTGGGATGTTACCAGCCGGCCCACAATCCGATTGAATCATCCCTTTGGGCGACCGGCAACGATGTGGGGTGCAAAACAGCTTGTTATCTGGCTGGCTGGACCTGCGGCTGAGCGAGGTCTTTTTCGAAAGCATCGCCGTTTGTCTGGTCACTGCACGAACATGGATTCGCTTGGTATGATGCCTGTCTGTTCTGGCTCCGAAGTGTCGGTGTCACAGTATATGCATATTCAAGGTTTACGTACTACCAACTTCAATAATTGGCACTGGTTTACGGGTGTGCATGCCGACTAAGATCGGGTCGGAGTCGACACAACCAGCTTGCCAAGGTGATATCAGGTTGCCGCGAGCGTAGACTGTGGATCAGAGCGAACGGCGGCGATTACACCTTCTCCGCAGTCCGAACGCCTTGAGTCTATTCGGTGAGTCGGTCCGGATCTCCTGACCCCATGGGGCACGATACCATCTGATTCTTGCAGCTTCTTGAGGCGGGATAGGCTGGGGTTCGGCGTCCCGAGAGTTCCTGGTTGGACATTCCGGCCTATCGCAGCAGCCAGAATAGCGATCGAAGTTCTGTCCCCTGTACAACGCTTGGAGGAAGGATCAAATTCTCTCGGTTAATTGGACATTTGCGTTCACAGCCATGGTCCTTCGTCGCCGCCGCGTATAAGAAGAGAGGGTCCTCCGTTGAGCATACTCCCGTTTTAATAATGTCAGACCCCAACCCGCACTACTTCCGGATAACCCTCTTGGATAAGCTGAGATACTATGCTGCCCAGCTTAGTTGGCCGTTTACCGTGCTTCGTACGATTCTATGGAGAAAAGGGCGTGGCAAGCTTAGCCTAGAGGATGCGATATATTTTGAGAAGTTCCGGACGTACGTTGCTCATAACCTCTGGTTTGGCAACTGACAACTGAACACCTCTGCAGTCTGTTCTTCACTAGGTGGCCGGTGTCGATGTTCCGCGTCAAATTCGCTGGGGATGCGTCAGCAAACCAGGTTATCAGCACGCCGCGGTTCGCCGCCGTCAAGAAGAACCTGTATCAACGAGTCACCAAACCCGGCTTCGCAGGCTACTGGATCTTCCGCCACTCGTTCACAGAGCCCCAACCGCCTTCATCTTCCGACGTCGTCCTCTGCTACATTCACGGAGGCGGATATGCCTTGTGGCAGCCGGGCACGTATACGCCTCTGCTGATGGCGGTTGTGGAGTCCGTCATCAAGCGGGGGCTCACTGTCAGCCTCTTTGCGCTGGATTATTCCTTGACTCCGGAAGCCGGTTTCCCTACCCAACTGGGGCAGTGCGGAGCCATGTACAAGTATCTCGGCGAGGAGATGGGCATCGACTACCAGAAAGTCGCGTTCATGGGCGATTCGGCGGGCGGCCACCTCATATTGTCCTTCTTGACGCACCTCCACAAGCCAGTACCCTTCCTATCACCCAACCCATCCGAGGGGCTGCCCAAACCGGGCGCTGGGATCTATCTCATTAGCCCATGGGTCACCTTCGACACTTCGAGTCCGACATACAAAGACAACGACGGCCTCGACATCCTGAACACCGACGTGATAAATCGGCTCTCGCAAACCTTCCTGATCGCATCAAAAGAGGCGGCAAGCGAAGAGGCGAAGCCTTATCGCGAGTTCGTGAACCCAGTGCCTGCATGGGCGGAGATACTCCCGAAGAAGGTGTTCGTAACCTCGGGCAGCCTGGAGGTATTCGTAGGAGACATAGAAAGGGTGGTGCATGCGATGCGGGACGCGGGCGCGAACGTGACGTACTCTTGCACGGAAAACAAGACACACGATTGGCAGTTTACGGACATCAGAAAGGTGGCCGGCGCGTGGTTGACGACGCCGCTTGAGAAGGAGATCCCGGTGAAGTTGGAAGGTGCAGAGGAGCTTGCGGGCGCGATCGCTGGTGACCATTAATGATTCATTCCATGATCATCTGTATACGCGGCAGATGGACAGCGTAAATGTGTACATTAGCGACAAACAGGTTGACAGAAGCCGTGGCGCTGGACATGATGGTTGGTGGGAAAGAGCGGACAGCGGTCGCGTCTAGTCGCCATCGACATGCATGGAGGTGGTCTCATCTGGCAACCCATGTCCTTTTCCTACACCTGAGGGATCTCTTACTACGAACATACATTGCTGAACGCTTGAACAGTTCACACGTTACCATATTATAACCTGCGCGAAATTCTTGGGTATTCGAGGCTTGGTGATTCCCTTCCGTAGCTGGATGGAGCTCAAGCTGGTGTATCGAGCCCTCCGCAAGATATCAGACTGGGCACTGGACGGATTCTACTCGGAAGTCTATGTGGACGGCGCGGAGAATGTGCCAGAACGCGCACCGCTGATCATGTACGAAGCTGGATTTTCATCGTTTGGAATAGGGATGAGCGCATTGAGGAAGATCTTCGCAGAGCATCCTCCCACCACAATGAGATTATCGACATTGCTACCCTAGGCGAGTGGACTTGGATCTCATCCTTGCAGTGACTCGTCCTTACGAACGTGATGCGCCGGGACCAGCTGCTACGATACCTTTCCGCCGACATGTCTCATTCTGGGCCAAATCAAGCATGTTCAGGAACCCGCTGGCGGGTCAGATACTCTACTCATCCGGGGCTATCCCCGTATACCGAAATCCCAACTCTTCCCCCATACAGGCAACCTCCGCTTCTAGCTCGAAGAATACGCGGCAACCCACCTCCCTCTTCGATACAAGCTCCCGCGCGCTCAAAAGAGGCGAGGTGCTCGGAGTCTTTCCCGAGGGAACGTCCTACACCGAACCGCAAATTGTTCAGATCAAGGATGGTGCGGCATGGGCGGCAGTGGAATACGCGAAGTACGTCCATGCCAGACAGCCAGGGAGCGCCTGCGGGCTCGTCATAGTACCAGTTGGCATCGTTTACACGGATAAGTCGCAGTATCAGAGCCGCGTACGCGTTAGGTGAGTACGCAGCTATCCGGTTCAGGGAGTTATTCACCGTGTCCGATTAGATACGGACGGCCTATCGCGATCGACGCCTATGCAAGCGAGTTTCTCGGAGTCGGCGAGGACGATGCTGATGCTCGCGCTCGTGCGACAGTACGGAAGCTTACGAATGCGATCGAGACTTCGTTATTTGAGCTGACGATCAACGCGCCTGACTGGGATATCTTGTACGCGTCGCGTATGGCAAGAGACATCTTGTGGCGCGACCCTGAGCGTATCAACTTGAAGTACTGGGTGCCTGTCAACCAACGGTGAGCGAAGATCTCGGAATATTCGCGAGCATTGCGCTTCGGGGCTGAATTCTGCAAGTCTGATAGGGATAATGGACAAGACGAGCGGTCGGGAGAGGTGTCAGCCTGCGCTCTTGCGATACTACTCCCTTCTGCACTACACCGGTCTAGCTCACGCAGACCTCTCCGCGGTCCTCTCTTCTCGCGCAGGTGAATCGTACAGACCATCAGTAGGAAGAGCCCTGGCGAAGTTTGTTGCGAATTTCCTGCGTATGACTCTGCACCCTGGGGCTATCTTGTTTGCGCCAATGCTCGTGTTGCATGTCCCTGCATACTTGCTTGGCCTTGCCGCTGCGAGGTGCGTCTCTCGTCCTCTACGGCACTTTCGCACCTGTTCCTCTCCATATTACTGCCCTTACTGACACCTCGTGCAGGATGTTTGCTCCTCCGGGCGAAGAAGAAGCGCCTGCTCAATGGAAGACCGTCTTTGGCGGACTCGGTATGGCGCTGGTGTACGTGCCGGCCAGCTTATGGACTGCGACGGCCTTCCTGCGCACGCTACGGAGTGGCATCAACTCGTCCTTCTTCAAGGGTTTCATGTCCATCTTCTGCAACAGCGCTAGGGTCGAAGAAGCGGCATACAGAATGGCATCCTTCGTATACGGCACCGGCGGTTTTAGTGTGAAAGCGCGGCTTCACGAAGCTGTCGGATGGCTAGGCGTAGCGTACGTTCACGGACTGGTGTTGGCCAGGTGGCACAACGCCCTTGTGGGTGGTGAGTTGAGGATCCTTCTTACACTGATGTTGTCAGTTTGTTGACCAGGTTTTCTCCACTTTGGCGACAGGCAATTATCGCAGGTACATCATTATTTGTCTCTAGCGTCGCCAGAGAGAAGCTGATCTTCCTTTCCCCAGATTCAAGCGTCTGGTAGCAGCCTACAAGGTCCTCGTAGGATCGCTTTCCCGCCCCCTTTCGGAAGACAAACTGCAAGCTTTCTTGGTACCACCGCTGCCACCCGTCAATCCGTACATCAAGCGGAAACCTCCTACCGGCAACGGCTCACTCACCGGCATGAGCACCCCGAGCTCCCAGGAGATGTCTAGAAGCCAGTCATCGGAAGACGAATTGAATCATCGACGGGCACATGGTAAGAGCAAGCCAAGCGTCGGGCCGCTGATGGAGCACCTGCTGGCCGCAAGAAGTCAGGCGTTGACGGAGTTGGCGGCGTATATCGCGGGCTTGGACTCGAGTGACGTGGAGTGGTTGAGAGCGCGAGGTGCCGAGACTACATCTCTCTGGAGTCCATGAGCAGCATACGCCTGATCGAGTTATAACATATCTATTCTACATTTAAGTAACTTACTTCGCTTTGGTTGGAATGGAAGTGGCCCGAAACTTCCATCCCAGGACGAGTTTGTCTCGAAATCGCGTCTTACGCGTCCTCGTGCGCGCGGCTTTATGTACGCATTTGATTCTGCACTCTCTCCGTTCACAATCCCTTAGATCTCTGAGTCTCTCTACCTTCGATCCACGTTCACCACGAGATATGTCTACCTCAGGCTCTAGCACCATGGCGGTAGATGCACCCAAACCTCCCAAGCTCGACATTGACCAGTTCTTCGCTACTGCGCTCTCTGCGACGCCTGCGGAGCTGCATCCGTACTTTGAGTCGTTCAGGACGTTACACCAACGAAAGTGAGCATAATGGTGGCTTTTTTATTAACAATCTGTATGCTGAAGAGTTTAATCTGTGAAGGTTATGGCACCAGCTGACGCTGAAGCTATTCGAGTTCTTCGACCACCCGAAGTCGAGGCCGTATAGGGTGGACGTATTCGAGCGGTTCGTGAGGGACTTCGAGCAGCGGCTGAACCAGCTGCGTCTAGTTGAGATGGGTGTCAAGGTGTCCCGAGAGATCGATAGTACGTTTTCAATACAGTTCCTTCCTTCTCCAGCTTTCTCTTACTGTGCACACTCTGCTTTTGACGCTCGACGCTGACCTTTTTGCTTCTATTTACAGACCCGCACGCGCACCTCACATTCCTCTCATCCCTCCTCGCCCGGATCGACAAGGAGAAGTCGCCGCAAGCGCACGTCCTCCTCCTCTCCATGCTCGCGCACGCCAAGCTGCTCTTCGGTGACATCGAGGGCACGAAGACGGACATGGACGCGGCGTGGACGGTTCTCGACAGCCTCGCCGGCGTCGAGAATGCCGTCAACGCGAGCTACTACAGCGTCGCCGCCGACTACTATAAGGCGAGTTTCCGTCTCTGTCTCTTGAGATATCGTTCGAGCGTGTACTGATACATGGATCTGTGTGGGCGTAGGCGAAGGCGGAGTACGCGCCATATTACCGCAATTCGCTGTTATACCTCGCATGCGTGGATCCGGAGAAGGACATGACGGTCGAGCAGCGCGTCGAGCGCGCGCACGATCTCGGGCTGTCGGCGCTGCTGGGCGATACCATATACAACTTTGGCGAGTTGGTGAGCATCCCTGCTGGCGACACGGCGACCGCTGAACATGCATCGCTGACGGCGGATGATGCTAGCTCATGCACCCCATACTGGACGATCTGGTCAAGACGCCGCATGAGTGGATCAAGACGTTGCTCTTCGCGTTCAACGAGGGCAGCATCGGCAAATTTGAGGCGCTCGCTCCCTTGTTCCCCAAGGAGGTCGGTCTCGTCTTCTCCGTTCTGCCATCTCCTCGTCCGCCTGACATACTCTTGGCAGCCGATACTGGCGGAGAACTATCCTTTCCTCAGGCAAAAGATCTGCTTGATGGCCCTGATCGAGTCGGTCTTCAAGCGGAACGCGTACGACCGGACGATGTCGTTCCAAACGATCGCGGAGGAGACGCATCTGCCGATCAACGAGGTCGAACATTTGCTCATGAAAGCCTTGAGGTTCGTACCCCTTTTCCCACCACGTCCTTCGGTCGGACCGAACTGACGATATCCCTATGTTTAGCCTGAAACTCATCCGCGGCTCGCTCGACCAAGTGGATCAGAAAGCGCAGATTACCTGGGTGCAGCCGCGCGTGCTGTCACGCGAACAGATCGGCGCGCTGGCGAAGCGGCTAGAGGGCTGGTGCGATAAGCTCGCTGGCGTGGAGAACAGGATCGCGCCCCAGTTGCTCGTTGGTGCGTAGGCGGCGTGATTTGAGTGTAGCCCAGAGCGAGAACACGTCTTGCTGGTGCGTGTTTAAAGCGTCTATTACGACCTTCGACTGACAAGGGGCTGCCATAGGTTGAGGCGATGGGGTGTAGTACCGCCTTGTCAAGCTGCATCTGCGTGGTGTTGGTTATGACGACTGGGGATCATCGGGCATAGTGCGCGAGGCATGTCGGAGTTCCGCACCCGTTCTTGTCTGTGGCGTTGAGCAAGGATAGCCTAGTCCGGGGTCTTCGGCGGTCGTCCATATGCCGTTCTGTATGGGCCAGGAGAAGCTAAAGCCCGCGTCGTGTACTGATCGTGTCAATGGCACAAGAACCTGCATGGAAATGAACTATAATACTAAGTATAAGCGGGATTCGAGATTTGCGTCCATGTGCTTGGGTATTGTTCTCTTGGCTTGTTCCCAATCCGAGCTTTGACCGAACGAGGATGTTACAAGCCGGTGGCACGAGCGCTTACCTGCGACTCCGGCTTCACTTGCGCGGTCTCATCGTCCGACGGTCGAGACATCCTCGACCTTGTTCGCCTTGAACGTTGGGCGTCGTCGGCGCACTCTTAGTCTGCTGCATTCCCGCGTATTCGCCACGAAGACCCGCCCCATTTAGCCTCGCGCGCCCCTCCGTCGGGCGCCTCGTTGCCGCCGCACACAGCTGCAGGTTTGCACGTTGCATCAGGGGGGCCCGGCACTCTCCTTCGATATCTGTACTACGCTCACCCACGAACCCGCACGAGCCGTGACTATCCCTCGGGCGGTACTCTGAACGCGCAACCGCAACGTGGTGTCGAAGGAGTACTCTATCGCACTGCTTCGCGTTGGGTATACATAGGGACGCCGCGCCCGGATAGCACGTTTCTGCTCGTTCTAGTTCTTCATACGCAACCCCCCACCGAACCCGCTTCGCATTCATATCAGACCGAACGAGCTCGATAATCTCGCTCGAGTTCGTCCGCTATCGCCGTCACCGATCTCAAGCCACCACGAGCCATGGCTACGGCGACCGTCGATCCTACTACCAGCAATTCTGTCATCATCAATACCACTACCGCCCTCCCTCCCTCTCTCCCGACTCCAGCCAGCGCGAGCGCGAGCCCGGGCAAGCCACTCCCGCCAACATCCACGTTCTCGTTCACCTCACCGCTCCCGCCCAGCATCAATGCGACCAACTTCGGCATCGGGCCGTCGTCGCTGGTGACGGGGCTAAAGCAGCGGCGTGTGTCGCTCGCGCTGCCATCGTCGTCGCCGAGGCTGGCGACTGCGTGGCCGTTCCGCGACGATACAGGATTGCAGGCGCATGGGCGCCTGGGGGAGGGCAGCGGGCTGACGCCGGAGAAGAAGGGGAAGATGAGGAGGATCGACTCTGGGGATTCGGAGGATGCGGCGAGCCCTGCGGGCGCGATGCGGCCGCCGGAGAAGAAGACGAGGAAGAAGTGGAGTATGGAGGAGACGCAGATGCTCGTGGTTGGATGCAATAAGGCATGTTTCGTGCTATCGCTTCTGCGAGCCCGTACTCACATCGCGACAGCATGGTGTCGGGAACTGGAAGGCGATGTTGAAGGACCCCGAGCTTAGGTTCGATGGCCGCTCAGCGGTAGATCTAAAGGACCGGTACGTGCCCTCCCTCTTGCTCTCTTTTCTCCATTTGCTCATCGCGTCTCCCGCGCATAGATTCCGCACATACTACCCCGACGCATACAAGCAGCACTACCCGAACGCCAAGACGCACCTCTCCTCCAAGGTGCGCTCCACGCTCCCCGACGGCACGTCCATCTTCGAGAAGACGCGCTCGAAGAAGCGCCGGCCGTTCACGGAGGACGAAGACCGCGCGCTCAAGGCCGGGTACGAGAAGCACGGCACCGTCTGGTCGACGATCGTGCGCGACCCCGTCTTCAGGGAACAGAACCGGCGCTCGACGGACCTAAGGGATAGGTTCAGGAACGCGTTCCCAGAGCTGTATCAGGCGGCAGGCTATAAGCCACGCACTGCGGCGAAGAAGAAGCAGAGCAGCTTGGGGATGTTGGGCATGTCCGCGACGGATGACCAGGTGATCGGAAGGGAGGGCGCGAATAGGGAGGGAGCGGTGGGCCCAATGAGGAGGAAGAGGGCGTTGACGAACGAAAGTCTGTTCAGGGGAGGGACCAAGAGCGTTCCGGAAAGCGTCACGAACAGTGATGACGAGCTTGGGGAGAGCGAGGATGAGGAGCTGGAAGACGTGAAGCCGTCAATATCGTTTGTGGACTGCCAAGCTTCGCGCCCCCGTTCGGCGAGTGTCGTCCCACCAGGGGTGGCACCGGAGCAACAAGACCTATCCCCCCCAGGACAGTCGGCTTCGGCGTCCTCGTCGCAAGATGTCCTCGGCGAGATCGACATGCCCCTCGACGACCCTTTCGCGAGTTTCGAAGACCTCATACAGGCCTCCGAGTCGCTGGACTCGTCCGCCTGGTCGACGCCACTCCACAGCATGCCGTGGAACACGGCCTCGCCCGCGTCCTCTCACATCTCCGCCGACTACTTCGCCGCGCAGTCGCCGCTGCACACCAACGGCAACGGCGACCTCCGCACGGGCTCGTCCTCCGGCTCGCACCTGATCGGCAAATCAGCGTGGGGCACGCAAGACTGGCTATCGGCAAACCCGCGCCTGGACCACAACCCGTCGGGCGCGTCTTCCTCGGGCGCGTCCTCCTATGCCGGCGGCGGTATCTCGCCCGAGCCCGCCTCGCCGCTCTCCTCGTTCTCCTTCCACTCCCTCGGCGCGTACGACAGCTCGGGCGTGTTCGACCGGTACGACCTCCTCCCCGCCGGCGGTGGCTCCGCCTTCGCGTTCGCGCATGACTTCGCGAGCGAGGTCGGCGCGGGCGACTCGCACTCGACGTTCAGCGACCCAGAGCTCTCGTTCGCGCCCGCCTCCTTCCGCGGCTTCACGCACCACTCGAGCTACGCCGGCGACCTCATCTTCGGCGCGCGCACGCACCAGCCGCCCGGGCAGCAGACGTCGTTCTTCGGGCTTGGGCTTGGGCTGGGCGGCGCCGGCCCGGCGGGGGCGGGTCTGGACGGCAGCGCGGGCGTGCACCCGAGTCAGCTGCACACGCCGAGCCTCGCGGGGATCGACGAGCTGGAGCTCATCCACCTGAACGACGACCCGCCGGAGCCGATGGAGCTCGGGCTCGGGATGGACATGGACCGCGCGCTCGACCTCGATGCGGGCAAGGAGCCGGAGGGCGAGCCGCCGGACGCGATGGCTGCGCTCGCGTACGGGCTCGGCGATGCGATGGAGGGCGTCGTCGCGCCGTCGGCCGGGGCGCAGGACTCGAGAACCGCGGACGAGATGCACTCGACCCCGCCGGCGACGCCCGTGCGCACGTCGCGCGCGCCTCGGCCGATGTCCACCTACGGTGGGGGCGTCGCGAGCGCGGGGGCTTCGGCTGCCGCAATGCAGAACCGCTCGTTCTCGGTACCGCCGGGCGAGCACCGCGCGGACGCGCCGTTCGCGGACTCCTCGTACGCCCGGCCACCGCTGACGCCGACGCGGAGCTTGAGCCTGCTCACGACGCTCGGCCAGATGCACGGCGCAACCCCTCCTCCTCCGGCGTCGACGTCCCAAGCGTACGCGCAACAGCAGCCGCCGCACGGCCAATTCTTCTCCGTGACGCCGGATACGGCGCGACCGCCGGCGTCGGACCAGGCCGCGCTGTCGTTCCTCGATCTGCACTACTATGGCGGGTCGGCCGCGCAGGCGAGCTTGGACGCGCTCGTGGAGCTGCTCGACGGTCACGCGGCGGGACACACGCGGCAGGGCCAGGCGCTCGACCTCGCGCGCTCGTCGTCGGCCGCGTCGCTGAAGCCTGGCGGGAATTCTTTTGGCGGGCGGACGCCGCAGCTGCGGCCGGCGAGCGTGGCACCGGCTAACGGGGTGGGTACCGTCACGCCCGCGCGATTGCACACGCACCATCGCGGGATGAGCGCCGTCGCGCCGCAGGATCTGGTACTCAACGCTGGGAACGATAACAAGCGAAAGCGTATGAGTTGGGATGGGATGAGCGCGTAGGGGTGGTTTCGGCAGTTTCTTCAGCTTCTCGTTTCCTTCTGGCCTGCTCTGCTTGGTGACGCATCGTTTGGATTTCTTTCTCTTTCATTCTCCTCCCTCATGGAACCGATTGCATCCTCTGTCCGATTTCTCTTCGTCATCATCACCACTGGACCAAGCCTGTTTCTTTCTTCCATGCGAATCGCGTTCCTAGCATGTATATATATGCACACAGAATCACACGAAACCGAACTAATCGTCGATCGACGACATCGCGAAGATTGTCATCGATTTTGTGACTGGCCTTCATAGACGAATTGATGTGTCAGTACGAATGACCGGGTGCCATGACCCGTATGTCAGCGTGGAAGCAGTGAGAACTAAACCTGGGTTCTCCTGGGTTGCGCTTTCCCTCTTAAGCTGGTCTCCGACTCTCAGTCTCTGCAATAAATAGGCCCTGCGAGCCATTTGGAGCGTCGGCATTGGAACGTCTCCGCTAACGTCGTCGCGAGAACACCCTTATCTCCACTCGCCTCCTTCTTTAATACTGGTCTGCGGCGACTCCGATCTCCCTTGATCCATATTCTTCCACTCCTCTTCATCCCAGCCAAAACAATGTTGGCTAGTGCACAAAACCAAGAGACTTTCAAGGGTTCCGATGCAGAGCCTGCGTATACCCTCCCGGACGCCTCCGCCGTAACGCTGGTGAAGGAGGACCTGTACGATGCGGACTCCATCGACCCGATATACCGCGACAAAGCGCGGCTAATTAGTCGCGCTATGCAGGATATAGGTATGGGCAAGTATCAGGTAATTCGGATCGCCTGTCGTATCCTCCTTACTGGCGTTGATATGGTTCTTGCTCGGTGCAGTGGTGGCTCTTCTGCGTCGCAGGTTTCGGGTGGTTCGCGGATAGTGTTTGGCCGGTACGTCTCATCCCTGCTGTCCATATCAAGATATGGGGAAATGACTTGGGGGCCATCTGCAGCTCATGGCGGGTCTTATCCTCTCTCCCGTCGTCAGCGAGTTCGACCTCGGCTCACACGGACCCTTCCTCTCCCTTGCCATCAATATTGGCCTCCTTGTTGGCGCGATATTCTGGGGCGTAGGATGCGACATATGGGGCCGAAGGTTCGTGGCGGCCCTCCCCTGAATTTTTTCCCCTGCTTTTTCGCTGAGTATATGCGTGTGCAGGTGGTCGTTCAACCTGACCCTCCTCGTCGCCGGCATCTTCGGATTGGCGGCGGGCGGTTCGCCCAACTTCGTCACGCTCGCGTCAGTCACTGCGGTGCTCGGCATCGGCGTAGGCGGCAACATGCCCGTCGATTCCGCCGTATTCCTAGGTTCGTTATTATGCCTCGTCTACGCCGCAAGTCCACCAACGCGGAGCAACAGACTTCGTTCCTGCGCCCCACCAGTACCTCCTCACGCTCATGTCGATCTGGTGGTCGATCGGCCAGCTCCTCGCCAGCCTGGTACGGCTCCTGCTCCACATCATATCACCTCCCATCCATGTATCTTGACCCGTTTCCTAGGTCGCCTGGCCCCTCATCGCCAACTTCTCCTGCCCACTCGACGCGCCCGCCGGCACCTGCACCCGGCACGCCAACATGGGCTGGCGCTACCTGATGTTCACGCTCTCGGCGCTCATGCTCCTCCTCTGGGCGCTCCGCTTCTTCGCCTTCCCGCTCTTCGAGTCGCCGCGCTACCTCGTCGGCAAGGGGCGCGACGCGGAGGCCGTCGCCGTCGTTCGGAAGGTTGCCGCGTTCAACGGGCGTCCTGAGGGCGCGGTGAGCTTGGACGAGGACCAGCTCCGCGCGGTGGACGAGAAGGCGGGAGGTCAGGTGGGAGGAGGGGCGTTATTAGCGCAGGGCTCGGATTTTAGCGTCGGGCATGTGAAGGCGCTGTTCAAGACGCGCAGGATGGCGTGGTCGACGACGTTGCTCATTTTTCTGTGGGGCATCATCGGGCTCGCCTCCACGCTGTACAACAGCTTCCTGCCCTTCTTGTACGTCTTTTCTATTGTTCCAACTTTCTCATCGTGGATCGTGCTGAACTAGAAATTGCAAAACAGGCTAGCGAGCCGCGGCGCCAAATTCGGCGACAGCTCGTACTTCATCACCTACCGCAACGTGAGCCAGCTCCCGTGTACTCCTCTACCATGCCCCGCTTCCTAATCTCCTCCCGTCGACAGCAAGTGATCCTCGCCATCATCGGCGTCCCCGGCGCGTTCCTCGCCGCTTACGCCGTCGACCACCCGCTGACCGGCCGCCGCGGCACGCTCGCGATCTCCTCCGGCAAGTCCTCTGTATTCATTCCTCGGTGGTTGGGCATTATTCAACGACCCGCCGCGAAACGTAGGGCTCACCGGCGTGTTTTTGTTCGGGAGCACGACCGCAAGGACGAGCAACGCGCTGCTCGGGTGGAATTGCGCGTACGCGTTCAATAGCAACGTAAGTCTCGGTGTATGCTATCTGGAATTGTTTTGCAGGAAAGCTGATGCAGTGATTTGTTCATCTGGGCGTACAGATCATGTACGGCGTGTTGTATGCGTGAGTGACGTTCTGCCCGTTCGTACCGCAAGATGCTCATCGTGAGTTCATGGACAGGATGTCTCCAGAGATTTTCCCTGCTAAGGATCGCGGGACGGGCAACGCCCTCACTTCCACCGCGACGCGTGTCTTCGGCGTGATGGTGAGCCTCTCACTGCTGCCTGCTACACGTATCACGAACTGATCTTTGTCGTTGCATAGGCTCCCATCATCGCCCTTTACGCCAACCTCGACACCCCTGTCCCTGTGTACGTCAGCGGGGCATTGATCATGCTCGCAGGTCTGCTCTCCCTTGCGCTCCCGTACGAGCCGAGAGGCAAGGCGTCGTTATAGCAACGTTCAGGGATAACCCACCCACCGAACGAAACGAAAGGAAGATCGGAAGGACATTCACATGGAATGAATGGCATAAGGTATACGTATCTACGACTGAAACTCGATTGACTGTACGATTGCTTTGCTGGAATAACGTGCTTTTCGTGGATATAGAATATGTATCGTGTGACGCAAAGTCAATGCACTGATACCCACACCTGACAATCAGGCTTTTCGTCGAAGACAACTACATTTCATGCAGGCCTGGGCTCCTTAGCTGACCTTCTTGGAACTCGTGGCCGCTTCTCGTTCGCGTTTTTCGCGCCTCCTCTTCACGTCCCAATTGTATACTCGCGCAGTGTTGACCTGATCAAGGACGAATGGATCAGCGATGTTTATGCAGGCAGGGGCGCGGCAGCGGCTCGCCTCCATAACGGTGATCTGCTCTCGTATGAACTCCAGGTCTTCTTCGGTATTGGACAATGTCGTCTGTGCGGTATCAAGCTTCGATCGTAGGAGTTCGATTGCCTGTGGTATTTTGTAGGACAGCATCACGTTTGCCTGCGGTGGACCTGCAAATCAGCCACGGACGTGAACAGGAGCGCAAGGGTTTCCGTACACCTAGCCAAAGATACACGGTGTCCGTGTCCTCCAGCTCCGCCTCGGCAAAGAGCGTGTCGTTCAGCTCGAACGTCGTTTTCAGCGGCTTGGTCGCGGCGGTCGTCGATCCTTCGTCGTCGTCGAGATCATCCTCGTCATCGCCCTTCGAGCCGCCTTCCTGACGCGCGCCCGGACATCATTTTCCCTCCTTTCTGCACGCCTCCTACCCTTCGAGCGAAGGACTCACCCGCCTCTCCTGCAGGAACTCGACCATGCTCAGCGTCTTCTTGATATCCGGTATCTTGTCCTCTAAACTGCGCTTCCGTTGTTGCAGGTTCGCGTCCATGTAACGATACTTCCTACCAAACGCGTGCGATCAGTATTATATAACCTTGGGCCCCGTCCTCACGCGCGGATGCAACGGATCTCGGGGACGCATGTCGGGCGCGAGGGAGGAATTCTGGCTCACGCAAGGGCGTCTTGGATTTGCTTCAGCGCGGTTTCGACATCTCCGTCGGCCCCGCCAACGTGCTGCTCTACGTCTGCCTACGAACGCGAATGGGTGAGCGTTACCGGTGATAGATGCCTCCTAATGTCGAAGTACTACGGCGAAAACGTACAATGAAAGGAGCTTTCGGGATCCCTCTTGGGTTCTTCTCGGAGGACAATTCCATTTTTTCTCAGACAACGTATTAGATGCGCGGTATCGAACAGACGGGGGCGTAAGATGTGACGGTGATCGAAGAGGAAAGACGTGTGTCGACGAGCAGGGCGGAAGGTTGTCGACTTTGTGGGCGTCGAGATTGAGGTAAGATAAGGTTAGGGGCAGCGATGGCTCCCGGTCGGAATTGCCAGGATGTTATTCTGTACGACATTGTGCACAGTATGAATACAACAATAATATGGATAGAAGTCTAGCATAGAGGAGGTTTCTACGAGGTGGTAGGCAGCATTCTGGGGGGGATTAGGTATTGTGGATGATACGATATGGTTGTGGTGACGGGACGTTGGGGCGTTCAGACACTGGGCTGTGATGGCACGCAGTCCTGGCCGTCAGCAGACTTGACGTAACCGCTGGCACATTGATCTGAGGGATGAAGACGTTGAGATATGGATCAATACCGTGAGAGCGTGCCGGGGACCGAAGTACTAACCGATGATGCACCGGCCCTTCATGCAGCTGACGCCGTCGGCGTGGGAGATGGCGCTGCAGTCGCGGCCTCCGTCGCCGAGCGCCTCGCCGTTGACGACGCACCCGCCGCAGGACTCGAGGTCGTGTTGGACGTCGACGCACTCGTAGCCTTTGATCTTGCTCTCGACGAAGATGGGGCAGCTCTGCCAATCGCGCGCGCAGCGGCGGTCCGGAGAGTCGTCGAGGACGGTCATGTCGCGACGCATCTGGGAGGCCTGCGGGGCGGGGGCGCGAGCGCGCATCTGCGAAACCTGGGGCGCCGGAGCGCGGGCGCGCATTTGCGAGACTTGAGGTGCCGGGGCGCGAGCGCGCATCTGGGAAACTTGCGGCGCCGGGGCGCGGGCACGCATCTGCGAGACTTGAGGCGCCGGAGCGCGCGCGCGCATTTGGGGAGAGGTCTGAGGAGAGCGAGCTTGTACGGGGGTGGCGCGCTCGCGGAGGTCCTTCATCTGCGCCTGCTTGAGCGTGGCGGCGTCGACGTGCGGGATCGACAAGAGGACGGTGGCGACGAGGGCCCACATCGTGAGGGCGCGGAGGAGGGTGAAAGACATCGTGAGTCGGGAGTCGTTAGGGAGGACGAGATGGAGAACACTTTGGGCCGATAATGCGATGGTAGGGTGCGAGTACTGGGTCGGGCAGCATGCCACTTTTATATGCCACCCTTTCCTGCGTCATTCCGCCGTTATGACCTCGAGCCGAAAACCGAAGTCGTCAAGTTCGGAATCGTAGGCGGAGCGCGGATATGATCGAGTCGTCAATGATCGGTCCGACGGGGTATGGCCTTGGTGTGCGCTCGGGGGGGAGACCGCAGTTTCTTCAACCGTGGGGTACGAGGTAGGTATAGTCTCCGTGCGGCTTGATAGCTCGACGTTCTCAGATGTTGGCACAGCGCGTGTCGAGTTCTAACGTCCATTGCGTTATTGGCCGTGAATACTCTATTGATGTTAGCCCATTTGGGTGGAACATTCGTGGTGGACACAAGTTGTGAGGGAGGGCACACGGATGCAACGATACGAAGAGAAAGTCAGAAGCAGAGGGGAAGCTTGAGAAGAGGTCGCCACGGCCCACTTTGCACCAAAGGTCGCGTGCCCTCCTGTCTTACCTCGTCTTGGCATTTTCAGAACTCTACGCTACCCACTGACTCATATTGAGCCTTGCTGTCCGTTAACGTGCAATACTGTCCTTTAACGACGATATATTCTAGCAAACCGCTTGGGGACAGGGGACATGCCGTAAGTTCAGACCCGTGGGAAGCTCATAAACTGACGTCAGTAAGAGTTTCAACTCCCACGGTCAGTAAACTTCGGTATGGGATCCCTCCCTCGACGCTGACGACTTCAGCCCAATCCACCCAATTCCCAGCACCGTTCTCATGCGACTCCACGCCTCGGATCCGGACGCAGAAATCAAATTGCTCGTCTATAATACGGATAAGCTCGGCACCTGTTCGGAATGCTTCATTACTCGCCTTGGATCGACGCCTACTGGTCCTTACTTGTACTGGCGGGATCACGATGCTCTGCACGACCTGATCTATACGGAAGTTAGCTTCACGCATACGTGACATACTTACGGACGACCACCTCCGCCTTACGGGCGCTGTCGCTATTATTGATATCCAGGTCCATCTTCGGCGGAAGCTTCTTGGTCCATCTGCATCTTCGGCGGATCGGGCTCTGTCTCCGCCTTCGCGTTTCCCAGTCGGCCAGGCCCCGTGGAGCGCCGCGCGCAGAGGAATCCGCCACATCCCTGTGCACTTGTGATTGTATTGAAAATGGAATGGGTGCCCTTACGTCGTCCGTTGATAAGGTCGACTCCGTCGACGCTGCCGCTCCGTCTTCGAACGGCGTACCCACGTCCTCTAACCCCCCCTCTTCTCCCCGAATCGCATCCGTTGGGAGACCGTAGACGATGTCGTCCGACGACAACCACAGCAACCCAAAGGCGCCGCCGGAGAATGCCGACGCGGCGCTGCTCGCGACGCTCGGCTACAAGCAGGAGTTCAAGCGCGCGTTCCACCCCGTCGAGCTCTTCGGCGTCGGCTTTTCCATCATCGGGCTCTTGCCCAGCATCGCGTGCGTCTCGCCCTCGCATCTTCTCCCCTTGTCGCGTCAAAAACAGCTGAAAACCACGCAGGTCGGTGCTCGTGTACGCTATCCCAAACGGAGGACCGGTGGCGATGGTTTGGGGCGTGCGTACTTCAACATATTCCGGTTCACGTTACGTTGCTCGGAATCCTGACTGAATGTTTGTCATGTTCAGTGGGCTGCGACGACGCCGTTCCTAGTCATCATCGGCCTCGCCCTCGGCGAGCTCGGCTCGTCCATGCCCACCTCGGGCGGTCTCTACTACTGGACGCACTCGTACGCGAGCCCGAGATGGCGCAACGTGCTCGCGTGGGTCGTCGGATGTGCGTCCCCATCTACTCCTTTCCGTTACCCCCCTCCCGCTCACGTCGACGCTCGCGCCCGGCAGATGCGAACACCATGGGCAACGTCGCCGGACTGGCGGGAATCGACTGGGGCTGCGCGGTGCAGATAAGCGTGAGTGTCCATCTGCGCACCCCGAGCTCACCTCCGACTCGCTATCTGGGTCGACCCTGACGCTGAAACTGTATAACTGTATACGCAGGCCGCCGCGAGCATCGGGAGCAACATGAGCTTCAGCGCGACCACCGCCCAGACCTTGTACGCGTCCACGCACGCTCTCGTTCGTACAAAAGTCTGATCGCGCAGCACAGCGGGATTTACGCCGCCATCCTCTTCTCGCACGCCATCATCGGCAGCACCGCGACGCGCGTCATCGCGAGGCTGCAGTGGCTTTACATCGTACTGAACGTCCTGTGAGCGCTCTCTCCCTCGGCTCGCAGAAGACTTGACCATGTCCGTTCGTGGTGGCTGACTCCTTGTTTGTCGACCAGGCTCGTGCTGGGGATCATCATCGCCGTCCCCGCGGCGACGCCGAAAGAGTTCCACAACAGCGCGAGCTACGCCTTCGGCGGGTTCACCAACTGTACGTCCCCTCCCTCCCTCCCTCCCTTCCTTCACCTAGCCCTCCGCAGCAAGACCAACTGATCACTCACACGCGCCCCAACAGTCAACGGCTGGCCGGACGGCTTCGCCTTCATCCTCTCCTTCCTCGCCCCGCTCTGGACCATCGGCGGCTTCGACGCGGCGATCCACATCTCGGAGGAGGCCTCCAACGCCGCCGTCGCCGTCCCCTGGGCGATCGTCTCCGCCGTCGGCATCGCGTGCGCGCTCGGCTGGGGTGCGTAAAAATACGCCGACTTGGAAAGCCACGCTCCCCGCCCCCCTTTTTTTCAATCGTTTTTATTATTATTATTATGATTGTATTTTTGAAACCTGATCCGCCGTGGGTCGCCCTCGCATAGTGATCAACGTCGTGCTCGCGTTTTATATGGGCACGGATATGGCGAGCTTGCTCGACAGCCCGATCGAGCAGCCGATGGCGGCCGTGAGTGGTCGGCGTTTCTACGCCCGCCCCTCGCCCTTCGCTGACCTTCAACCTCTTCCCCTCCCTGCGCAGATCTTCTTCAATTGCTTCGGGCAAAAGGGCACGCTCGCGATCTGGGCCATCATCATCGCAGTGCAGTGAGTGCAGTGTCCCCCGCCCCCGCGCCCCTCGTGTCTCCCGGAAAATTCTGACCCGAACGTTCGGCGTATAAGGTTCATGATGGGCACGAGCATCGTACGTGTCTCCCCCCTCCCCTCCCCTCCAAATCATTCAGAGACCCGAGAAGAAATCTGACGGCCTCCTCGCCAGCTCGTCGCCGCCTCGCGCCAGACGTTCGCCTTCTCCCGCGACGGCGCCCTCCCCTTCTCGCGCGTGCTGTACCGGATCAACCCCACCACGCGCACGCCCATCAACTGCGTCTGGTGAGCACGCACCCCCCCCCTCCCTTCCCACCCTCACCTCCTTCCTCCGCATTCTCGGCATCTTACCCTCTTATTTTTTATTTTATTTTGCCCGCTAGGTTCGCCGCGCTCCTCGCGCTCCTGCTCGGCCTGCTCGCCTTCGAGGGCGGCGTCGCGATCAGCGCCGTCTTCGCGCTCGCCGTCGTCGGGCAGTACATCGCCTACACCGTCCCCATCGCCAGCCGCTTCCTCTTCGCGCGCGACGCCTTCCGCCCCGGACCGTTCTACCTCGGCCGATTCGTGCGTACCCGTTCGCCTCCCCCCCTCCGCCCCTCTTTCCTCTCTTCCCTGTATTGGAACCTTTTCTTTTTTGACTCTTACTTTTTTGGGGTTATATAGAGCGCGCCGGTCGGGATTATAGCCGTGCTCTGGATGGTGTTCAGCATCGCCATCCTCCTCTTCCCGACCTCGCCCCACCCCGCGGCGTCGGACATGAACTACACCGTCGCCGTCTCCGGCGGCGTCGTCGCGCTCTCGCTCGTGTACTACTATTTCCCCGTGTACGGCGGCAAGCACTGGTTCACGGGACCCGTGAGGAACGTCGCGGTGGGTGGCGGAGGAGCAGGAGCGAGCGAGGTCGCGACGGTGGAAGGGGAGGAGGACTCGGAGGGCCCGAGGAAGAGCGCCGGGCCTGAGAGCGGCGGCGCGGATGTGGAGAAGCGGCGGCTTGCGGAGAGGTTGTATCAAGTGTGATTGAGGGGGCGTCGAGAACGCGTGCGTGGTTTGTACTGTAAGCTTTGTCGCGTGGATTTCAAAAAAAAAAAACGAAGCTTTCGAACGAACATGGTTGTGGTCGCGAGCATCCGAAGGGGTTGTGCCCATTGTACTCTATGCCGTATCTTACGGAACGCGCGCCGCTGGCTATGAGTAGATCCCATTCGTCGTGGTCTATTGGTACATACACGAGTCCCTCGGATCCATTATCAGTAGTTCTCGACCATAACGCGCATGTAGTCTCCGCCGACCTTGCCGGCCTCCACCTCGAGTGCCTTCTCCAGCGTCTGTCATACAACCCATCAGCCACCCCCTTCTCGATAACCCACAGTCGGGTAAGCAACGCGCGAAACTCACCTCGTTCACGGCGAGGTACGCCTTCACCAGTTCCTCGCCCAACACCTCGGCCACCGCCTTGTCCGCCCTCAACCTCTCCCTCGCTTCCCCCGCGCTCCTCGGCACCCGCTCCCTCACGCCCTTCCCCTCCCTCTCCTCCTCGCTCATCTCGCTCGCCGGCCGCTCCCCACAGTCCCCCACCTCCAGCTCCGCCCCCCGCGCGCCGACGCCGAGCACCGCCGCCAGCGCGAGATACGGGTTCGCCGTGCCGTCCACGAGCTTGAGCTCGAAGTGGTGGTTCCCCGGCCCGGCGCCGCAGAGCCGGACGGGCGCCTCGCGGTTGTCGGTGCCCCAGGAGACCCAGGTGCCGCCGGACCAGACGCCGTCCTGGACGCGGGCGTAGGACGCGGGCGTGGGCAGGGTGAGCGCGGCGAGCGCGGGGAAGTGCGAGAGGACGGCGCCGAGGAAGGCGCGTTCGGCGGCGTTGAGCGTCGGCGCGGGCGCGGTGCCCGACGGCGCGGAGGGCGTCGCGGTGTGCACCGAGATGTGGGCGTGCGCGGCGCTACCGCCTGGAAGAAGGGAGGGAGGAGGGGGAAGGGGGGGAAGGGTAGAATGCGTCAGCGCCGAGCGGGGGGAAGGGAATGGCAGGCGGACGCGCACGCACAGGAGTCGTTGAACACGCGCGGGGCGAGCGTGGCGCGCAGGCCGTGCGAGGCGGCGACGTTGAAGATCGTCTCGCGCGTGAAGACGAGGGCGTCGGCGGCCTCGAGGGGCGTGAGTGGGCCGGTGACGACCTCGAACTGCGGGAAGCGGCGGGTGAGCGATGTGTACGAGGATTAGAGGCATGGTGGAGGGGGTTTCGCGCACCTGTCCGGGCGCGGCCTCGGCGTGGAACATCTGGAGCTCGATCCCCGCTTCGTGCAGCGTCTCGGCAATGTCGTTGAGCACCTTTTGTTCCACGGATCCAGAGGGGAGCGCGCGCGAGACGGACCTATGAGCGGCGGGGATCCCGGGTCAGACAAAGGAGGGATGTGCTGAGAATAACATGGAAGCACGAGAGAAGGGAGGTAGGCAGTAGAGAACTCACCATCCCGCATCGTTCACGGCCGTAATGGGGTCGGTCGACTTGAGGAGGATAAACTCGGTCTCGAAGCCGACGAGGAACGTGAGCCCCTGCGCGGACGCTTGGCTGTGCAAAGACGATGAGCCAGGACGACGTGGGTAAAAATAAAAGTGAACGCACTCGCACACCCGCTTGAGGACCCCGCGAGGGCAGAGCGGCAGGCCGAGCCCGGGCGTCCCAGTCTTGGGGCCCGGGAACGCGCTCGGGACGGGCGTCTTGTGCTCGAAGAAGCCGAAGACGGTCGCCGTGTCCTGCCGCCAGACCGCGTAAGCGTACGTCTTCCCCTCCAGCGGCAGAGTGCATACCTCGGTGTAGGTCGCGACGCGGAGCGTGTCCATGTCCGGCGTATAGAGGATCTCACCGACCGCGCCGAATCCCTCGGGAACATTGAGGAAGACGAGGCCGACGGCGAGCGTCGTGGTCGTGATACCTGCGCGCAACGTGGGTTGTCAACTGCGTCGTGAAAACGCGCATATAGGGGGGGTTGGGTTTGAACTCACCGGGGCGTTTGCTCGCGAGGACCTTCTCGAAGTATCGGATGGGCAGGACGCGGTACCGGACGATGTTGGCGAGATCTACCCAGGTGAGGCGCACGTAGCGATAGCCGTGGGTTTCGAGCGCTGTCAGCGCCGGCGCCGTCCAGAGCTTGACCTGCTCCGCGGGCGTGTAGGTCACGCCGTACGTGTCTACGGACGACTGTGGCATGGTCCTAACGGTTTTCCTGACGTTCAGACGCGGTTGGACGTATCGGGGGATGTGTTAGGTGGACGTGGGGGAGAAGATGCGATGGTAGGCTCTGTGGGCGTAAAGCCGGCATCAGCAAGGCTTATCCCGCGAAGATAACGGGGATAAAACGATCAGGACGCTTCTTTGAATCGTGACGTGTATATCCAGAAGGCCGACGTAGTGTTCGATCTTGACTTTACTTACCGAAAGCTGGGCGAGGTTATAATGTCGCAGCCCGGACTGGGCTGTGCGTCGTCGGGCGATCTACCTCAGACGCGCGGTGAGCGCGATCTCCGAGCGAACAGGTCGACGGTTCGCGGTCTATTCGAAGCAAGCTGAAAGGACGTGTTGATGTTCCTATCGCAAGGCCCTCGGGCGGGGACAAGGAGGGGGCCGGGGGAGATTATTGCTGTTCAATTGCCATCGCGTTGCGGGCCGCTGCGGCTCGCATGGCCGTAATTCGGTGCTTTGACACGACTACCGATGTCCGCACGGGCGCTCTGCTGTTCAGACGGCGTTCGAATCTGCTTTTTTCAAGAAGGAGAAGAGGGCGAAAGTGACGGCGCATAACGATTGGACTGGTTGTTGATGTCAATGCAGGCTCGCCATATATCAGAAACAGGCGCAGTGTATCCGTACCGCCGGTGCGCGTGACTGGGCCTGACTGGGCGCATTACTTACGGGTCAAAGGACGGCGCAGTAGATATCCATAAACATGTCAACGATGGCATGAAACATTGGACGAATAACTCGTAGTTCCGAGATCATGTACGGATTGGGTACTATGCACCAAGGATAGCAGAATGAGGAGATATACAACCGGCATACATACGGATACATCGATAGTGTTCATTACAGCTAGGCATACAATAATACATAACGCGTGCACCACGTCCAAAGATTCGTCACGATGTACCACCAGCACATTCCATCCGACCGTGACCTAGCGCCGCCCCCCCTCTCAGCGCACCGATTCCGACTCGAGCCACAGCGCGAGCTGCTCCACGATCTTCTTCGCGCTCAGCTCGAGCTTCTCGCCCTTCACGCGGGGCACCTCCACGATCGTCCGTTTCCGCCCTCCAGAGTAGAGCAGCAGGCCGACGTTCCTCGGCGAGAACGAGATCGACAGCGCGGCGAACGGGATCGGGGCGATCGCCGCCGCCGCCGCCGCCGCCCCGGCCCTTCCCTTCCCTTTCCCCTTCGCATGCGCATGCGCATGCGCGGTGACGGGCGTGCTCGGCGCCGACGAGTAGTCCGGCGGGCCGGCGGGGACGGGGAGGGCGACGACGCCGGCTTTGACGCCGTACTGGCGGACGAGGTCCTCGAGCCTGGCGCGGGGCTGCATCATGTCGAACAGGTCCTTGAAGCTCTCTTCGCGCTCGAGGTGGAGCTCGGTGTCGTCCGCCCAGACGTCCTCGCGGACCTTGAGCGCGATGAAGAGGTCGAGCACCGTCGTCTCGCGCTGGAGCGCGCCGAGCGGGAAGGGGTCGGACGTGCACGGCGGCCGGATGAGCGAGTTGTAGGCGGGGAGGTAGGTCGAGCGCAGGACGTGCATGCACGCTGGCGATAGATATATATCACGATGACGTAAACAAAACAAAAAAAAAGCGAAAGGGGGGCGAGTCGATACCGTTAGCTCGGTCGAAGGAAAGTGGTGCGATGCGGGGGTGCGGGAGGGGTGCTCACCGACGTAGAGCGCCCGGTTGACGAGCCGGAGGGAGGTGGAGAGCCAGTAGAGCGTCTTGCGCTGCCGCTCGAGCCGGCCTTCGTTCACGTCCGGCGACTGCGGGAAGGTGAAGTGCACGATGTTGAGCAGGATGGACGGCGGGAGCTCTTCGAACGTCAGCGGTGGGTCGCGCCGGTGTTCGGGGAACGGCGGGGGTTGCTGCGACGCCGCCGCCGCCGCTGCTGCCCTTCCTCCATCGGGGTAGTACGGCGGTGGGGGCGGGAGCGGGTACTGCAGCATCGTCTTCTCGTCGAGCACGACCATGTCGGGAGATCTTCGATGGGCACGGGCGTTGCGGGGTTCTTATCCAAGTGCGATTTCTCCCTGCGATAAACGTATAGCGCAACCGTCTTCTCCGTTCTCCGGCCGATACGAGAGTATTTCGAGAAGTTGGGCCCGACCGCAGAGAACTCGTGATGAAGGCGCAGGGACGCTGCGGAGAAACGGGATCGCGGTTACGAGGTGTGTGTGCGTTCTGCGTCAGTGCCAGAGCCGGGAGGGCTTCCGATGAAGATTCGCACAAGCGCTGCGCGTGGGTGCTGCGGGTGACTGTGCGACCGAATTTTATACTCAGCGTTCGGTGATGGAAAAGAGATTGAGATGGCGGACAAAGCAGTGATCCTTAGAGTACAATAAGATGTAGTAGGACTACGCGGGCCCCTCGAGGATGATGAGAACGATGTTGTATCATGTCCGGTGGTCGTGGGCGCTAAAGAGAGGCAATTAGGCGCCTGCTCGCGTGCCATCTATCCACGTGACGAGTTAGCGCAGAGCCCGTGTGTCTCTGCCACCTGCGCTTGCACGAAAACCCGAAAATCGTCGGCTCAAGCCCGTTCTCTGGGCCCTGCTCGATCTACCAGACACCCTTGATGTTGTCAGCTTCACTCCGGCGCGCAGCGGCACGTAGATGCGTTGATACGGCGACGTTGCGCTTCCGTGGCTTGTCCTCGTCGACTTGCGTGCGCGCTGGATTTGGTTTGCGCACGAACCGCACATCCCAGCAAGGCGACGGCAACAAACACAACAGCAACAGCTACGCGACCGAAAGGTTTTTCAAGGACGACTTGCCGCACAGCGAGGAGCTCGAAAGGTCCGTCAGCCAACGGTTCGGGCTCGGGGCGAAACGGGCGACGTCGGGCAGGGACGAAGTCCAGAGGGACTTCCGGTCGGGCCGGCGTCGCGATACGCGCGAGGGCGGCGCTCGCGAGCGCGTGGTAGATGACAGTCCCATCGCCAAGCACGAAGCGACGCTCTTCCTCGCCAACCTGCCCTGGAAGACGACCGAAGACGAGCTCCGCGAGTTCTTCGGCGAGGACAAGGTGGCGGACGTGAAGTTGGGTACGTTGACCGTCCTCCCACTCCCCCTCTCTTACCATATATGCGCGCACGTTCTGGGGTCTGACCGTACACCTTCGTATTTGCAGCGGTCCACGGGAACGGGTTGCCAGCCGGCACGGCGCACGTCCAATTCGCCTCCGTGGACGACGCGCGCAACGTCTTGGACGAGCATCGTAACTCGCAGATATATTTGGGAGGGCGCGGCCTCACCGTCCTGTGGGCGGTCTCCAAGGACCGGGTCCTGCCCCAGATCTCGACGGTGTTCATCGGCGCGCTCCCCTCCGGAACGACGGAGGACGATCTGCGCCGGCACATCGGATTCCTCTCCTCCCCAAGCACCGACATCAGCCACGTGCACGTTCGTAAGTATCCCCCCCCTCTCTCCCTCCCCAGCCCTTCTACCCACTCGCTCACATGCCATGTTCTTTTCTTCTCTCTCAAGGTGACTTGCAAGATGGCTCGGCGTCGTATGCCTACGTTACGTTCTCTTCCCAGGAGCAAGCCGACGCTTTCGTCCAAGCGCACAGAACGCAATCTCCCGTAGAAGTCGGCGGCAAACGTGCGGCGGTGTTCTACAAGCCGACCGCGAGTGTCATGGCTCGCCGACGCGCGATGGAGCACATGCCGCCGAGCCCGACGCTCTTCGTCGGCAACCTCAGCTTCCAAGCCGAAGAGGAAGACGTGCAGGACCTCTTCGAAGACTTCGGCGTCGTCGAGTCCGTCACGCTCGGTACGTCTCCCCCCCCTCTCCTCTCTCTCCCTCTCTCTCTCTGGCTCGGCTCGGTGTCACCAGCAAGGCTGACCCCCCGGCTGCGTCTAGGTCGCGGTAAGGACGGCCGGATGGCCGGCTTCGCGCACGTCGAGTTCAAGTCGATCGAGGACGCCCTGCGCGCGATGGAGCGGCACCAAGAGAGCCCCCTGGCCCACGCCGAGCGCACCCTCACCTTGGACTGGGCGCACCGCCCGAGCTGGTCGCCCCAGACCACGCCCGACGCGCACTACATGCGCAACGCGAACCCGCCCACCAACACCCTCTTCTTGGGCAACCTGCCGTTCAACGGCACCGTGGCCGACCTCGAGGGCATGATGCGGAACGTCGGAGACGCGCCGACGCCGAAGGAGGTCCGAATCGGTGGGTTACAATCTTTTTTTCCCTTGGTACACGGACGAGGGAAAGGGCTGATGGATGACGGTGTTTTGTTGTCAGCGATGTCGCCGGACGGCAGTTCGCGGGGGTTCGGGCATATGAAGTTCGATTCGGTGGAGGAGGCGCAGCGGGCGAAGGCGGCGCTCGAGGCCGAGCGCGCCGTGCTCGGCGGTCGCCGGCTCGTGGTCGATTTTGCGCCCGAGCGCGAGCATGTCAAGAGGCCCGTGCTCGTTATATCCGGATGGGAGGGATCGCGGGAGCGGCTCGAGGAGATCTTCGAGGAGTTCAAGCAGGATATCACGACGTACCTGCTGAGGAGCGCGGACCAAGGTTCGTTCGCGTCGGGGCTTCGCTCCTTTTTTGTTTTTTCTGCGTGTGCGCTCTGGTCTGATTTCGCGGCCATGGGTGCTCCTAGATGGCGGCAAATGGAAGGCGCCTGCGGAGGCGAAGAAGCAGGAGGCGTTTGTTTACTTCAAGGACGTCGGCAGCGCGGAGCGCGCGAGGAAGGCGCTCAATCAAACCGAAATCGCGCCCGGGGAGGTGCTCCATATCGGCGTCCCGAAGTCGTATCCGAACCCGAACCGGGTATCGAACACGAGGAACAAACGCGGTAAGCCGCGTTACGGGCTGAGTTCACGCGAGTGAGAAAAAAAAAACCCCGTTTTTCTGTGGCGTTCGGATATTGGGGGGGATGCCGCGGTAAGTGGGTGTTGTTCCAGCTTGCTGCCTGGATGTTTTCTGATCGTCTTCAAGGTTTGACATCCTTGGGCTTATCAGGGCGCCTCGCACTTGCTATACCATATGCTTTGTCATAATCTCTACAGTGCAATGTAATATCCTCGACCATGGGACATATATGCACTGCGCTACCTCACCGTATTTTGCTCGTCTTAGCCCAAGTCCAGGACACTCTCTTCGTACACAGCTTGGTATCTGGTACCGGTGAGGCCTCGGATTGCTCAGCATCAGGCCTTACAAGCTGACCGTCACCAGGCCGCCCAGATTTTCGCGTGTCGGAGGATGCCGACTATGACAGATCCACCTGTTTTTCTGCCCCCGCATTCCGAAGACGGCATCTCGTCTTCTATGCCTCGTATCAAGGTTTCTTCCGGGGGCGCATGCAGGCTCTATACGCGCACTATCAGTTCGCTGCGCTTGCTATGCGGGGGTACCATGACCTCACGACCCGGACCGCGCGCTCCGGCGTAGGTTCTCGCGTCACTTGACCCCCCACCCAACCTTTTGGCCATGGTGTTCTTCAGAGCCCCGTCCTGCCGCCTTCCACGATGATGGGAAGAAAAAGAGAATGCGGGGTACGTATATATACCCCGCATCATATGGTTCTGTTTAGTCGTCGACCTGCGTCGGGAAGCGACGTTCTCTCGTCTGACGATAACCCTATTCGCCCCGTCCGTACGACGACAAGGTCAGAATGTGGACGATGCCTGTGAGAGGGAAATGGCTCGTGTGGGCTATAACAGGTTCGCTTGAAGCGTTGAGGATATGCTGGTCGTCCGGAGTGCTGAGGCTCGCCCTCTTACAGCCTGTTGCTGCCAAGGGTTCCTCCTGTTGGGTTACGATCAAGGTGTCATGTCGGGCATCGTGAGTTCATGCCATGTGTCCTTGTGTTCGGACTCGCACGCCGTCGTCGTCGTCGCCGCGCCCGGTCTAGCGTTGATTCAACGTCGTAGATTGGGGCAGATAACCAGTTCGGACGAGACTTTGGCCACCCCGACGCAACTGACCAAGGCTTCATTGTGCGTTCCGATTCCTTCGTCGATACGAGTGGCTGATTATGGACGTAGGTCGCGAGCTATGTGAGTTCTCGCGAAACGTTCGGTTAGCGCTAGCGTTCACCAGCGTTCATCCTCACTCAGGATATAGGATGTGTTGTTGGCAGTTTGATCATATTCGTCTGGGGTGAAACCATAGGTCGAAAGCGGAGCATCATGTCAGGGGCCTCTATCATGTTGGTCGGAACGGTAAGTCGCTGCTTTTCGCCGGCAGCTATGTTGCACTCACATCTGCGACAGGCTATCCTCACCAGCTCAACTACTCGTGCCCAGCTGTATGTCGGGCGAATAGTGACTGGCATCGTACGTATATAGCAACCTTGTTGCCGATCATGCCCATGCTGAACTATAATTCCTCAGGGAAACGGGTTCAACAGCTCGAGCATCCCAGTCTACCAGAGCGAAACGTGTGGAGGACATATACGCGGCGCTCTCGTGTGCCTCAATTCGACGATAACTATCCTCGGGCTCGTCATTGTGAGCGTTCTGTCGCTAGTTGAGAGCCCAAACTGATCATCTGTACAGGCGTATTGGGTAAGCCTTTCTATCATTGTGCAATTGCGAGATCCGTGATGTTCGCTAGTTAGACTATGGCATGTCATTTGTAGAAGGGCCATCGCAATGGCGTCTCCCAATTGGTGCGCGATGTTCCGTTTTTGAAAACGTTCGCGCCGTGTACTCACGGTGATGTAGGATTTCAGGCTGTATTCGCATTATGCTTGCTTTTGCAAGGTAATAGCGGGTCGTCTCTGCCTTTCTTGAAGCAATCGACTGAACGATCTTAGCAACGGTTCTACCGGATTCTCCGCGCTGGCTGATGGCGCACGACAAAGAGGAGGAAGCTACTCGTATTATCGCGTAAGCTCGTCTGCGATCGCTCGCAGTCATTCATCTGACACTTGCGCTTCCTGTATTCAGTGCACTCCTCGACAAGGACCACCTTGACGATCCCGAGGTCCTTGAGATGAAGAAGGAGATCGAGGTCTCGCTAGCTCAGGAGAGCTCTGGCGGTGAGCAGCATTGACGATGATAGCCTGGGAATTAACTCACGAATGATGAATGTCGAATAGGTCCCTTCCGCTACTCGGAACTTCTTGATACCGGAAGGATCGGCAACTTGCGTCGCATCTGCCTTGCAATCGGCATAAACGTCATGCAACAATTTACAGGGTCAGTGGCATGTCGTTGCTTGGCACGCGAGACTTACGCTCTCCCCTAGGTCTAATATGATCAAGTATGGATCATGCTCACTCAACATTATGCCCTGGCTCATGACCAACGATGCCTAGCTATCTTGCTCCAGTTGTGTACCAGAACACCATGGGACTTTCGCGGAATCTCTCCTTACTACTGGGAGGTGCAACTTCGTGCACGTATTTAGTAGCAAGTTTCATTCCGCTATGGACCGTGGACCGATATGGTCGCCGTACGCTCCTCATGGTCAGTGCGACGGGACTTTCGTTCTGCTTCGTCATGGCGGCGATTTTCCTCTCCATCGGCACCAAAGGGACCGCATTCGCGGCTACCGCGATGGTCTTCATATTCCAGATCTTTCTTGGAATCGGCTTCCTGCCAATCGTACGTGGATTACATGGAATCAAACTATCTATGTCTCACCTCTTGCACCATGCAGCCCTGGCTCTATCCTGCGGAGGTGCGAATGCTCGGAGAAGTGCGAGTTTCGATGATACTAAGCTGTCACCTGTCAGGTTGCAACGACTCGCATCCGCGCTCGAGCGTCAGCCATATCTTCGGCAATCAATTGGGCCTGCGTTTTTGCGGTCGTAGAAATGACCCCACCCGCCATACAGAACATTAGCTGGTGCGTCAACCCAGTCATTCACGCCTCGCCAAATTAAGAGTCCACAGGCGCGTCTTCATAATCTTCGCTGTGTTCAACGCGCTATGGTATGTCCTCAAGAAAGCATTACCTCATGCAGTTCTGACTTGCTCGCTAGGGTGCCGCTTGTGTATATCTTCTTCCCTGAGACGAAGGGACTCGAACTAGAGGTTCGTATCGATTTCGTTCAACTCGTGTACCTCCGAGTCGCTCACGCTGAACGGTTTAGGACGTGGACCATCTCTTTGATAAGGTACGGAAACTGTCGTGAGGTTCACTACTCTAGTCCACTGACGGAATAACGTGTCAATAGGGCGGATTGACTGGTGGCGTATGGAGCAGTCCCGGAGGACGTACTGTGGAAAGACATGCGATCTTCAAGGACATGGAGAAGAGTCCCACTGAAATTCGCGAGGAATCGGTCAAGGAGTGAAGCATATTCTCATAGCTAGATTTACCCTGCATCAAGATAAGCAATATGCGGCGATATATGTATGGCGTGACCAAATTTAGATCCTCAGTCCTCGGCGCGAAACACTTTGCCACAGAAGGAGTGATACTATGATCATCTCGCAGTCGTGGTGCCATGCCCCAGCCGATTTGTTACTCATAATATGACACGCGCTGACAATGGTCTAGATCGCTGCATCTGTTGATGTGATGTTCCACACAGTGGAACATGTGCCTACGCCCCGCGAAGGCTCTCATACACATTTCAGGTATGTTTACCCAGGTTCAAGTCACGGATACCTCGCCCCGATGGGCGCACCTGGAATCCATGCAGAAGGATGCGAAGAGACGCCGCTACTATCACACCCTTCGGGCATTCGCCACAGAAGGTCGTCGGGGGCTTGGTGGTATTCGTCTCTCGCAAGAGTATATGACAGCTCCTGAGGCCGGAAACTACCCCCTTGCGGCTCAGGGAAAACCCATGGCGGAGAGATGTGAGAGCATCTGTTCGTATCGAATGTTTCACAGGGGCCTATGGGCTGATCAGTCAATGCATCTGCTTCTATCCAGGTATAGAGCCTCACCTGTCTTTGCTCTGCGTGGGTGGTGCGCGTCGTTGGCTGAGGGTGTCGACGTCCCACCTGGCAGCGGGTCACTGTTGCGCCTCAGAGAGGTCCGCCTACCACTGTCGCTCGATGTCTTATCATGAATCGATCAGTGCGTCGATTCAAAATGATGAAGAGGTTCAGCTCACTATCACGCGGGAGCATAGGTCTCTGGCACCCTTTTTGAACGCTCGTGCCTCCACAAACGATCGAATCTGCCCGAGATGATGCGTGTTGCTCTCTTCAACCACCCTGTTATGTTCGTGCCATAGCCTATCAATGATAATGAGTCCGCTGAATAAATCCTGGATTAAGTGACAAACTTTGCTGCATCATCGAGATGCTGCAGAACTACGTGATGTTCGAGATACTCCCGGGATCGTTCGAGCTCTGCCGTCGCGCTAAAGAGGTGCCTCCGGCCCTCGTCAAGCTGATGTTTGGCCGTGATGTCATGAAGAGCTTGCGCTGCCTTTGCCCCAGACTCTGCCAGAGTAGCCACTGCCACAAAAGTTTCAATGCCAGCCATTGGATAGGAATGCGAGCCGCGAGTATCGAATTGCCACTGGCTGACTCGCTGTTTTATACTGCCATCGAATACACCGGCAAATAGGGTACGGCAGTCGGTGATAGCATGGCCATGACGCCCATACGCCAATATTGCTGTGTCAAGTCAGTGCGTCTGAACTTTGTCAGTACGGATACCTTAACGATCCCGGGCATTGGTGGTCGCCGATTGTTCCACGCTGAGCTTTGGCTATGATGGGCGCTTGCAAACGGCACGTGTAGTCGCATCTGACAAGATGCCAGCAAAATGCGGTGATTGCGATCACATCTCATTGTCCTCGCCCGGAACACGACTAGAACACGCGTTTACAGCGAGGTTGGGTGAATGCTGGCTGTTTACAGCGCTGCATGATGCCTTCTCGTACTCATGCAGATAATCTATAGTAACCGGTACCATCTATCATAGCACGGGGCTGTTTTAAGTCCTTTGCGGGTACTGTGCAGGGGAGGGGGGCGACGAGGGTCAGAATACCGTGCGTGGAAGGCGAGGCTACCGTCGCGATGCTTCTACGTGCGCTTCCCCGGATCATTTGACCCATCTAATACCGTTCATTAGAGAACGCATTTTTGGAATCAGGTATAGTTTACTCACCAGCGGGTAGCCGCATGGCCAGGCTACGAAGAGCATCCCGACGACCTTTATCCCTGGAAACCTTACGAATCGTTAGCCATGCGGGTGAGTTGTCCGCAATAGTCCCGAAGACCAACCTGGACGCGAATGAGCCGCGCTTGTGCATTCTTCTTCAGAGCGCGAGCCTCTTCAAAGCCGGAAAGCTTTCCGAGAAGCCCATTGCGAGAAACATCCTCGACGCGTACAGACTCCTCCTGTAATCTATAGAAATCGCGGGTCCTGTGATAAGAGAGGCTCCGTGACCGTCATGCAGGGAACCACACCTCAAGGCTTCGCTGCGATGCTGGATGAGCTCATCCTCGTCCAAGAATCCTTCAGCTGCTTGTAGTTCAGTGGCGATAGTTTCAATCACTTCGCGCGCACGAGAGAGCTGCTGGGCGGTCGTCAAGCAAGAAGTCATGCTGTGGTATGTGCCTCGAGTTCCAGTTGTTCTGGGTCGTGTTACCTCACGATATCTTGGCCCTGTTTTTATAACCCTTGCCAGAGCGCCATCCATGTCGCTTAGAGTTTGCCCTGGTATCCAGTTTCCGCTGATTACGGCTTAAAACAGCCTGTACCTCCAGCTGAGCGCCCCGAACAGCCAGGAGAAGTCGGTAGTTGAGCAAGACCGTCCACTCGTCTTCGCAAAGGCGCCGGGGCGGGATGTATGGGCACAGCCTTATGGGAACAAGTCAATTCTCAGAGACGCTCAACTCTGATCAGTGCACACATACCTTAGCACCGACGCAGGAGCATACCTCATTGTCACAAGAGAGTTAGAAGCTCGCTATGCCGTCGGGTTGGGACGTCATGGCCCTTCATGAGAATCACCGATCAAGGCCATGATGTCGAGGCTTCAGCACAGCGAAGTTCACCGCCTTTCTGCGGTCGATGCGAAGCCAACCTCACGGTAAACACGTGTTCATGAAAGTCGTATGCATAGACGCCTAGGAACCTGCCAGAACGAGGTGCGGGACCCAATAATGTAACGTCATTCGACCCTGCTTCATGTCCGACGCCAATTCGGAGAAGACGCGTTTGGCACCCTCCGGGATAAGATTTGACACGACACCTGCCGAAAATCAGAAGCTATTTCATGCGACGGCATTTGGCATGGCACATACCTTCGGATACGGCTCTTGCGCAAGGCGCTTACTAGTCATGAAAAACATTAGGCCGCTGCCTGGCTGTCCGTAAAGACTTCTGATGCAGATGGTTGTCCCCCGTCGTCCATCGGATTCACGGCGTCTGGAGACTGCTCAACGTGAGCTCGATGCGAAGGTCTATTGTGAAGATTCTCGGGCGCTCCGATACCGGCGGTTGATGTAGGGCTCCTTTCCCTCGAACGAGTGCCTACAGTTGGGGGATAGCCCTGCCCTAAGTCGCTCGGTTCTTCACCCTGTGCAGATGCAGTCTGAACAGTACACGGGATCACGGTGTATATAACAGGTAATCCTGCGAAAGAACACGTTATATGGATGTCAAAAATCGGACTACAACGTTAACCGACCTACTTCTGCCTCCCCCAATGATCTGCGCTCGAGCGCTCTTGCCATCGATAAGTGACTTGAGGTCTAATCCCAGGTCAATTATACCGTGCATGGAAGCATGTTCGGAGTACAGACGAATACTAGTGCATGATGCGCATGCGCCCTTTTCACTAAACGGCGTGCATCGCGAATTGTGCGGATGGCGCCTAACGGCCCATTGGATTGCATGAGCACTTCCTCGTGATCTTCCCATAGCCTATATAGTTAGGTCCGTTATGGAGCTTGATCCTTGAAACAGCCAGCTAACTCACTTGTCCGCTCGGTCGATGTGCCTAAAAAGAACTGAGCGGTCCATATACTTCCCTCCCACTTCCAGTTCGTCGGTGGCTAGAGAGAGTGTTTTGCGCGCTTGTTCAAGATGATGAGCTGGACTAATTGTGCCCAACAGGCGTTTCGCATTGACGACCAAGCAGCACGGACGTTTTGTAATGTCAGAGGAAGAAGTCATGTCAGCGGACCCTGTACGGATAGAAAGAGCGACAGACGGGTGCTATATAGGAACATAATTTTGGCCTCTCATGCAGTTAAAGGAACCTAGATGACTTCGACCCTTGCATTAGCTCCTGGTGATGTATGTAGTATGATGCCAACAATTCACCTACGAACAATCTCCACCTGCGTCGTGGCTCATCGTAACACGCGACAGAAGTCGATGCGAAGCCAGTGGAGCCGTATACACGACTCAATGGCGAGGCCTAGTTGGATCATTTGGCTTCTGTGGAAATGGAGAACAGTGCGTTTTCCTTGTGGACAACCGATCGTGAGTCGCGACGCTTGGGATCCTTTGACTTTCGTGCTCGTAGCGTAGTGTCCGCCCGGGCATTCCCGGGTACCTGTCCTGCTACATCAAAGGCTGTACACTACTGATTTGATGCGAGGTGTTTCGAGAATTCATAGTTACATAGCGACGCTGGATGACTATCTGTTGGTCGAGAGCTGCAAGGGCAACCTGCGACGGAGGCTCCAGGGGAGGAGGATCACGTGATCGACCCATGATTGGCACATGACTGCGTGGTTGAACCGCGATCGGCTTCACGCCACAAGCTCTTCCTGACCTCCTTAACGGTGCACCTCGCTCCTCTGTGTAACCCCCAAGTCAACTATCATGGTATGCCCTGTGAATTGACGCGCTGTTTGCACCACTAACCTTCAGCTTGATCATTAGTCTGTGAAACCTGCAGTACTCCGTCGACTCATGCGTGAAATTTCCGATTTGAAGTCGAGTCCACCGGAGGGTATTCGCATCATCACCAACGAGGACAACCTATGCGACGTGACGGGTATAATTCAGGGACCTGGTAAGCTCTTTGTTACGTTGCTTCTCCAATTGCTCGGCTCATGTTGGCTTGATCCGCGTTTCTAGAGGGCACCCCCTATGCAGGAGGTTATTTCAGAATCAAGTTCCACTTTACGGAGGAGTTTCCGGCGGCGCCTCCGAAATGTGCGCTCAATTAGTTCAGAAGCTTGCTCATGCCCTGAACCCCTCCCGCGCAGGCCGCATGCTCACCAAGATCTTTCATCCCAACGTCTCCACTGCTGGCGAGATTTGCGTGAACACCCTGAAGAAGGATTGGCAATCCTCATACGGGATCGCACACATCCTCGTCGTGGTCAAGTGCCTCTTGATCCATCCGAACCCGGAATCAGCCTTGGACGAAGAGGCCGGCAAGCTTCTCCTCGAGGACTACAATCGATTTGCCGAACACGCGCAAATGATCACTAGCGTACATGCGACCCCTAGGGTACGTTATATGACACCGCGATACCAGTGCACTTCTGATGCATAGCTATAGACGACCCCGCCGGAGTTCGCCTCGACCTCTGGCGCCTCGGCGTCATCCGCCTATACAAAGCACACCTCGCCTACCCCTTCACAATCAAGCTCCACTCCATCGGTCGTGTATCCTTCCACATCACCGCCTTCAACGCATAAGTCGGTAGGGGATGCAGAGAATGCCAACCTGCCGATCGTCATCCCGTTATCCGGCAAGCCTGCATCTTCGGATAAGATTTCCACTTCGCTCTTCGGTGATAAGACAACGGACAAGGACAGGCATCCGAGCCCGTCGCCGTTGAGCACGGCTGATGGGAACGTGGCATCCGCGGCAATCTCAACTGCTACCGTGCCAGCTGCGTCAATACCGGCGAAGGCGATCAAGCGAACCGCAGGCGGAGCAGCAGGTACGGACAAGAGGAAGAAGGCGCTTAAGAGATTATAGCCTCGGGGATTAAATGGGGCGGACTGCGTTATTGTTTTCGCCTTGGATCATGCTGTCTTCTCCGTGTTCTCCGTAGGAGCATGCGTTTACTGTTGTTACAATATCGGATGATTGTCCTCAGGCGCTCTGTCGTCGCGAGGCGAGTCCTTCAAACCGACACGCTGGACAGGCATGTCCATAACGCGCATGAAACTGCACGGATCTAACACGCGCACTGCATGGTGATGAACGCCAAGATAGAAGCTTTGCTCAACGGATTCCAACTTCTGTTTGTCTGTGTTAATTGTCCTACCCAGGGGTTAGATGCTTTCATTACCGGTTGGACCGCTCGATGAATCTCTTCATGCCGGCCGCCGCTATGAGAAGGTCTCCTGACCACGTTCCATGCCCGCTGCTTGGTACGGCCCACGCAAGTCTTTCTCACCCAAAATGCTACTGAGACCTTGACAGGATCAAGGGACCGGTTTTCCCTGGGATTTCCTCGGACGCACCCTTAATATCAACGCAAATGTTTGTGCGTCGCTCATTCCAACTGCTATATCGCCATCTAGCATTCTTCCAAACGTGTGCCTAGATTCCTGCTCTTTTGCCTCGTGATTTCGTATCATCAACGGCTTCTTGGATCCACTTTCGTGCCAGCTTGCCGTCAATCGCGCTGATTCTTCCGTAAGTTCCATTCCAATGCACGCTACCTGAAGCGCCATGACCGGTAATGAACATACCCTGGCGACGTGCAATGCACGCGCGTTGGGTGTTGTTGTACACACAGAGACGGAAGAAGCTTCTTATGGTATTGTCATCGTCCTTTATCGTCCGTAGAAACTTCTTGGCTCACTTGTAGGTCTTGCGGTGGAGGAACAAAAGATCGTTAAGCCGGATACAAGCCGTCGCATGTTCTCCCGGTACTGGGAAGATCACGAAAGACTCAATACAAACCTGCTAGGCAGAGTAGGCGCGCATTGTCATTCTGGGCACCAGTACGTGCTCTCAAGGCGGTGCGATGTCACTGAATTCTGAGTCCATTCAGGTCAGCACGGGAGACATCCGTCGGAGCGGCGCTGATATTTGTCCGCTTCCTCGCGCTGGTTGGAGGAAACCGCGTGGCCGCACGCTGGCTTACTAGTATTTGAGCCCGACAAAACGAGTGAGGCCTCCTGGTCAGCCATCTTTCTCGCGCCGCCATGACGTCTACACCCACTGTTCTACCGGCTGGACTGGCAAGAATCCGTCAGCAGATGGGTCCGTACGTCCCGGGTCAACTTTCCACTGGCGAGAAATTTTGGCGCGATCATTTCCGGTAAATCGTCTTTTTTGCAGTATTTTCAGAAAGCTCCTACTGAAAACGCAGTCAGCTGGCTTCATGAGCGTGGTTACAAGCTGAGGCCTCGCTATCATCCAAATTGGGAGCCGTCATGGAAAAAAGAAGGGCGAAAGGACAACACATACGTCGATGTCGATAAATACGCGGACGGCATATCGTTGACGGTACCTCTACCGAATACAGCTACCTAACTCCATCTTACGTGCTGGTCTAGTATGTTACTGCTATAGATGCAGTGCGCCTACGCGACAATCGACAAGTTTACCTGAAGCGGGTCTTCTGGAATACCCATCCTCATGAGGTTACGATCAGCCAGCTCTTTTCGAACAGTCGGATGCAGGCGGATGCGCGAAATCACTGTGTACCGATCTCAGAAACACTTGACCTCCCAGAAGGCAACGGATCGATCCTTGTTATGCCATTCCTACGACCTTTTGACGACCCGCCATTCTTGACCGTCGGAGAAGCCATCGACTGCATACAGCAACTGTTCGAAGTAAGTGCATTGGCATTAATTCGAAACACTGTCCTTACGCGGATATCGTTACGCAGGGCATCGCATTTATGCACGAGAAGGGTTACGCCCATAGGTGAGTGCCGCAGAGCGATATAATTGATGATCGGGCTGACGATTCGCAGGGATTGCACGGCCAACAATATCATGTTCGATCCTAGAGAAATTTTTCCGCGCCTCTATCATCCTGTAAAGATACACCGAAACATGGAGCTGACCGGCTCCGCGAAGTACTCGACACGAACACTTCACCCTCCCCGATATTACTTCATCGACTTGGGCCTCACAGGCTACTACGGCTCTCCAACCCACCCACCACTAGTCGACCAGATATGGGGCGGAGACAAGACTGTGCCAGAGTTCCAGAGGTCGTCAAACCCATGCGATCCTTTTGCGACAGACGTGTACTATATTGGAAATGTAGTTCGCACGCGATTGCTTCAGGTACGTAAAAAGCGGAGGATGGTCAACCTTATTTGCGTTCTCATCGTGTTTTCTCTAGCGATACAAGGGTCTGGAGTTCTTAGAATCGTTGGTTGCTCGAATGGTAGATGGGGCTCCACAAAAGCGCCCGCTGATGAGCGCGATCGTGAACGAATTCAACGGAATCCGGCGGAACTTGTCAAGATCTCGGTTGCAATCGCGATTACGTCGTCACAATGAATTCGCTGTGGCCGCTGCATGGAGGCAATGCGTACATCTTGTGTGCAGGGTGCGATACGTCTTACGGCGTGTCGGGCCGATAGGCGGAGAATCGATCGTAACGAAACCGGTGAAGAAATCTTTCACGATACCAACCCCTAAGTTTGTACCTTGCGCTCTATGACTATCTTACGCTAACTACGCGCAGACCTTCAAAACGGGCGAGATCTAACAATAAGAGCAGAACTATAGGTTAGTAAGGATATATGATCATGTAGAGCCGGGAGATATGGGTAATAAGTGTCGCCCTACTTATGTACGCGTGTTATGATTGCATTACGTCACTCACCTTGCGCAGCAGTGCGTAAATTGAGCTGGGTCTCAACCTTGACAAAACACCCCTTCCTCAGCATATCGTTCTCGCGGAACATGTGTCGTTGTAACACGCGTCTTAGGGCAGTTCCGTTTTGAGAAGCTTCATAGCCGCTTGATAATGATCCAGCGCATATAACCGGGTCTTGCGTCATCTTCGCGTGCTTTCGAAACCTCGATCACTTGACTGCTCGGAATGTTCTCTCGTCCGTCCCACATCGAAACCATGAGGTGCTGGATGATGCTGGGCTGTGCGCTACCACCGCCTACGAACCTTGTATCCTGCGATCTACATATATGTCCAGCCCCTTCGAAGGTGACTTGTCACTGAACCCAGATACATTTCCATTACTTCCTGTGATCCTTTGACATGGAGATTGCGACGGGTGCAACAGCACTGGTTGCTGGTGCTTACAAGACAGGATCTACAATCCATAATCTCTCGTCGCGCAAATTTCTTGCAAGAGGTCAACAGTACATCGCAAGAGGAACAGACGAGCTGGAACGTTCGTTTGATGTGATTGATTCGGATGTTGTACATCAGCATTTGGAGGACGTGTTGAAGTATGCCACCGCTCAATTCCAGCGTAGCCCGCCTCTTGGCATCTGATATTGATAACCAGGTTACAACAAGAAGAACAACGTGTAGCTCACAGGCGCTCCTCTCATCCGCATGTAGGGCCCATCATTGCTCTTCCAGGTGCCATTAGATTTCAGCGGCACGCGGAGAAGTTTTCCGCGCGAGTGAATGTTAGTGATCTAGTCGTATGTGATATTGTCGATTTTGATTGTCATAAAATAGGTAACATCGAATGCGGCCCGGAGGAATGATCTTCACCACAGGAATTTACGCCGGAGAGGCAACTCCTACCCGAATTACGCTCCCATCATGAGCGAAGCGATGATGCAGACACCTGATAGCATCCTCGACGAAGGAGGGCAAGTCTTGCTGTCTCAGCGACGCGTGATGTCCGCGGGTCCTGCCATCTATGGTGAGAGTTCTCCGTGTATCACATTCACCGAGTCCTGAATTATTCCCTCAGAAGAACGGCCTCTGACGCATGAGGCCCTCGGTGGTAAGGCGGCAACATTTTTTAAAACTTGGGTGGTTGAAATAACACCCCGAAGGATACATGCATGAAAACTACTACGACTGTCCGCAATGTGGTATGTTAATCTCAACAGCTTCACCGCCGATTATGGTGTTCATCTGCATGTTGTTTTATAGGTACTAGCGGTAGTCCGTGCACCCATCTGCTAGGAGGTAAACTCACCCAACATGCTAAGAGGCGTGTTTGATATAATTTTCAGCTACAGAGAGCGACGAATGGAGCAGGTCTTCGAGTCCCACGTTGTACAGCGAGTGCTACACAATTCCCAAGCCAGTTATTTTCAGTGAGTGTTTGGGACAATTTTTTGAGGGTTCTGCGTTTGATATATCACAATAAATCCCAAGCGCCAGATGGGTACCCGTTTTCGGCTCCTGCTGCGAGCGAAGTAGCGTGATACGCCTACGAAGCCCGTCTATGACGCGACGGACGACGTCGGAGCCGCTATGCTATCCCATTGTGTGCTTTATTGACCTACCGAACAACATGCATGCGCAGGATCGCGTAGGGGTATGCTCCAAATCGCTTCCATCAGTTTCCACACAGTAAGTATTAACATGCACATACGATGTTCCAATACACAACCAGCATATCATACGTAAAGTCGCTTGGTATCAGCGTGGGTTTTTCTCTCAGAAGCTCGTCGGGCCCTCCATTTAGCGTCATCAAGATCGCGCGGTGATTATAGTTACAGCGACACTTCTTCACGCAAATTGAGCAAGCGCCCCTCCATCCCCCCTTCAACCATAACCACCTGGCCCGTGATATGGCCCGAGATAGTATTGGACGATAATATGACGATGTGATTGGCTACGTCTCGGGGCATGGCGACTTTCTTCAACGGTGTCCTAGGTATATGTGAAGATAAGCAGGTGCATAGATAGGCAATGTATGGTCTGAACTGACGTAGCGAGAGCACGATAGACAACACTACCGTCTTTCAGTGCTTCTTCGGCCATGGGAGTTCTGACCCAGCCAGGAGCTACGGTGTTAACCCGTGCTCGAGGTGCGATCTTCACGATCTCGTTCTTGAGCGAAAGCGTGAGGCCATACATCATCGCTGTAAAAATATCATCGCGACCGAGCACGACGCCGGAGCAGAAGGAAGTTTCCCACCACTCTTCGATGCTTCCAATTTGAGACGGTACCATCGTCAATCGAGCATATCGAGATGTGATCTTGGGATGTGCGCAGATTACTGACCTGCGTAGTCGGCGTGCTCGGCCTCGCCATATTTTCCAGCAGTACTACCAATGAGAATCACTGACGCCTGTTCCTTGACTTCATCGCTGGCCGCGTCAAGAGTACGTAAGTACTCTCGCAGAATCAGGAAACTTGACGTGAGGTTGGCACTTATAGTCCTGTTCCACTGCTCGAGCGTCATATCCTTCATTGGCACGGACTGAGAGACGTATATGGCGTGGTTGACGACGAGAACTTGAACAGGTCCGTAGCGAATGGATGCATCATTGATCAGTCGAGCAACGTCGGACTCGGAGGTTAAATTCGCCTGTTCAGCAGCGATGCGTGGAGAATACGCATCGAGCAGGGGTTCGAGAGTTATTGCATTGGAGTTGTAATGCGCTGTGACCCGCGCTCCTTGATCTGCAGTTCGTTTGCGATAAGAGAGAACTCAATGCGAAAAACGTTGCATGGTAGTTTCACCAAGGAATAGTTTTGTCGTCTCGAGGCCTATACCGCCGCTCGCACCTATCAGGTTCGTCAGTGGTAAACATCAAGGATGAAATCATCGACACGACCTGTAACCAACACGTGCACGTCCTTCAAGCCCAAGTCCATGACTTACTACGGGCTTATGTTGCGCGGTATTGTGGTGGATGAAGTTCAAAGACCAGGTAAAAATCTATGAGTCAATTCAGTACTGCGCATCGAGGCACTTCCACAATCTAATCTAAGAGCACCGGCGATCTCCGAAGCTGACCCAGTCTCTCCCTCAGAGCGACTCTTTGAGTTCCTCCGTCACAGACGGTAGCTCACATATATCATAGACATACGGCGATTACAAAAGAAGCAGACATGTCCTGCCCCGCTTGGTACAATCACCAAGATGCAGAAAAAGGTTGACATTTACCGAGCGCGCAATGCGGACCAGCCGGTGCTCGACTCCCGCAGGACGATATACAAATTTCAATCTGCCAGCGCAGCAAGGTAGCTCTGCAGGAGAATCATCAGGAAAGTCATACAGAAATTCCTCATCACACACCTCTCTTTCTCCTAGGAAGTCGATATACGCCAGCGAGACCGCAACCCAGAAGCTGGTTTCCACACCCAGTTCCTTCACCCCCGCCTCGTCGATAGCAAGAAGTCCACTGAACCGATATACCGTCAATGTCGGCGTCAGATCCGTCAATGTGACTAATGGTTCGGGTAATTCTTGAGTTTGAGGTTGCGGTCGTAGAGGTTGTTGAGGTAGAGTGGGCGATGAAAACGAGGGAGAACTAAGAGCGACAGATGAGGGAATGGGAGCGACTTGGAGAGGCGGGAGAGGGGTGAGCGAGAAGGAGAGTGAGTTTGAGGGTGCATTGCTGGCAACTAACGACCAGACTCGAGACCACCATGACGCAGGTGGAGGTGATGCAGACAAATGGGCGGTACTACCCTCCGGTGCCAGAAGAAACTGAGTTATCTGCGTGTTCGCTGCCGGTGCTGGCCGAGAGGATGTTCGTCGAGAGATACGGCGGGAAGATGGTCCGTTTGACACACCGGCGAGGTCACCACCATTCGTGGATGATGATGATGATGCAGAAGCGGAGCCCAGGGAGGCAAGTTTGGCTTTGACTTGCTCAGGAGACGGCGGGCTGACGGAGATGTCCGGTGTGGCCATTGCCGGTGGCGTCGGAGGGTATGAGTGTGATGATTGCTGGCTGTCCATTGAAACCTTCGGGGTCATGGCTGGCGACATCGCCGTAGGGGACAAGATAGGAGAGAGCGGAGAGGATGGTGATGGCCTGTTCGTGCGACAAGCCACGGTAAGCGCCGTGTCGACGAAGTAGGGAGACGTGCGCGGGATGGGAAGTAATGGGATAAAGACATTAGGCGGAAAAGACGGCGAGCGGATGCGGGTGTACCAGCCGCGTTTCGGGCGGTGTATAGTCCACAACAGAGTCGAGGTTGCGTTATCCTACAACATAACGAGTTAGAGGTAACAGGTAAGAGATGGAGCTCAGTGTAACGGACAACGCACGTAAACATTCTCCACTATTTCAGTGTCGGATAGGAACCTTTCCTTACGTAGGAACATCCCAATGAGTTCTACATGGCCCATGACGAATCGAATGCTACGGCTTACTTACCTTGTACCATATAACCGCCCCTGAGCGTTCTTCTTGTACATTGATACGTAAGTCGGATATTACATCGGAACTACACAGTCTGGTCATCCAGCACGCCTTGCATGGGTACACCAGACCAACCTTTGTATCATGTACTTCGTGAGATGCCGTCTAGGGTTTGATTGCATTCTTGCGAAACCAGCTAATGACCTCCGGCGTAGGATGGAAGGTGAGGGTATATGCGTGAAAACTTGAGTATATGCTAAGCAGCCAGTTGATTCGGAGACAGCGGAGAGGTCGTGGCAGAAACGAACGCGGTTTGACCGTGCGCCATCACAGTCGCGTTCGACTTCACCGAAGCGCCCCTGAACGCGTTCTATGCCTCCTGGTCCGCTCCTCAACGCGCGATGCGTTATTCACGCTGCTGCTAATAATTCGACACTCTTTACGCGTCTTCGGTCCAGCCAATTTACACCCACGAAACGCCATGGATCAGCACAGCGCACAAGTCGACGAGACTCTGAGGACGAGGATTTAGAGGCAGAGGCCGCCATCCGCCGCATTCCTCGCGATGTAACTCCTCAGAACGGAGAGGCTTCCGTAGCATCAAAACCTCAAAAAGACAGGAGAATGGAGTCTACAGAAGCTACGGACGTCACATCTCCCGGGAACGCCCCGTTCGTACCTTCCGACGCCGCTCCTTTGCCGGCGGTAGCTTCGAGCGAGCCAGACCCAGCTTTAAGAACCGTAAGAGTAGGTTCAATTGGACCTGCTGGGAGGAGTGCACGCTCATTTTTTCCTGTTGCAGGCAAATGGACTTCCTTGGTCCGATCCTATAACAACGACGCCTCGCCATCTCCAATCTTCCTCGGTACCTTCGTCCCGGCTTGGACGTCTTTTCCATTATGGAGGTATGGACACAGTGAAGTCACCATACTTCGTATATGAGACTGAGCAATGCGCAGGTCTGGCAACTTCGCTCGGATATGGAGCTGCATCCGAGTTCCTTCGGCGAACCGCATCCGGCAGCGACCAAGGGCACAGTGGGAACCTCCTCATGACTGAGGCCAACGTTACCCGACTCGTGTCAAAACTGAGTCAGATGCGGGGTGCAGCACTGAAGATCGGGCAATTCCTCAGTATTCAAGGTCCTTCCCGCCCTATATACCGCACATATACGCGAGATGACCGAAGACAAATACACCCACAGACACGCATCTTCTTCCACCTCAAGTTGAAGAGATTTTCCGTCGAGTCCAGGACGGTGCTCATTATATGCCTGACTGGCAACTGGAGGTACGTATTTGGGGTCTCCTATCCACCTCGCTGATTCTCGATCGCCAGCAAGTCATGTCCTCTTCCCTGGGCTCCAACTGGAACACCCATTTTGCCTCATTCACTCGCATTCCTTTCGCTGCAGCCTCAATCGGTCAAGTCCATATGGCCACCCTCTCAGCCTCCTCTTCTCCTACCGGTCGCGAGGAGGAAGTAGCCGTCAAAGTCCAATATCCCAACGTTGGAGCGTCCGTAGCCAGCGACCTTGGATACGTCAAGATGATGTTGAACGCCGGTGGTTTGCTGCCCAAAGGTCTATTTTTGGATCGCACCATTGAGGTGCACGCTGTTCTATTTGCATAGCAATTTCGAGGGAGGCTAATACTGCGGACAGGTGATGAAGCACGAACTGTTCGACGAGACAAGGTACACTCGTGAAGCCCACTTCCTCAGGCTGTTTGGCTCGCCCGAGTTCCTCGGAAATGATGCTCGCTACAAGGTGCCGTGGGTATGGGACGGCAGCACAGATGAGGTCTTGGTGATGGAAAGGGTCCGGGGACAAAGCGTCGGCGGCAACATTGTTGACAAGCTGACGCAGAAAGATAGGGATTATGTGGGTGCCGTACTTATGTCGTGGTCGATAGTGACAATGACGCGTTCACGGTTGCAGATTGCGGCGAGGATAATCGAGCTGTGCCTGAAGGAGCTGTTCACCTTCCGCGTGATGCAAACGGACCCGAATTGGACCAACTTCCTATGGAACAAGGAGACCCGGCAGGTAGGCCATCCTCTCGTTCTCCTCTCGATCGTTGCATCGTACTTGAACTGTTGCGCTTCGCAGATCGAGTTGGTCGACTTCGGAGCGACGCGCGAGTACAGCAAAGAGTTCATAGATCGATGGCTTCATCTCTTGCAAGCAGCCGCTACCGAGGACAGGGAAGCGTGCATCGAGTGGAGTCTTAAGTTGGGCTACCTCACCGGCGAGGAGAACGAGGTAGCGATAACTTCTCGTACTTGCATGCTGGCTCACTGACGATCCACAACCAGGTCATGCTGGACGCACATGTGCACTCCATGCAGCTCCTCGCGACGCCCTTCAAGGCTTCCACGCTGCAACCTTTTTCATTCGGACCTGGTTCGCACTGGGCAGAGATCACTAAGGAGATCCGCGCGCAAATTCCGGTTATGATCCAGAATCGCTTGACGCCTCCACCAAGAGAAACATACAGCCTCAATCGGTACGCTCATCGCATATGCTTCCCCTGTTCTGAAACAAAGTGACGAATGGCCGTTCAGTAAACTGAGCGGGGCCTTCCTCCTAGCTTCAAGGTTGAGTGCGACTGTCGACTGCAAGGCGCTCTGGGACGCGGTGACGAATGGATATCAGTTCACTTCCTAACTCTTGTAGTGGAACTTGATACGAGAAACGGATTCGATGTTAGAGTACGATTCCTTGTGGAATCATTGCCTATGAGTGGCCCACTAGATCGAGGTGCATATGCTACAAAATGGGCGTTGAAGCCTCCAGTATTGTATAATGTAAGGTAGGGAACCATGGATGTAACAAAGGTTCGTTGAGCAGGCCGTCTAAGAAGCGTTGAAGCGTCGTTCGTCATTCTTTGTAGCAAGTGGGCTCAAGGCCGTAGCAATCGGGATCTTCAGAGCTCTTTCTTTGATTCATCAGCCTCCTTCTTGGTGACACGTTGAGAGTAGATCATGTCCGTGAACGGTCTATCAAGGTTTTGATTAGACCGCTGCTTAGGAGAGTGGTATACAGTACACACCCTTCAAATCGAAGCGCAATGAGGTATACGATATACACGTACACAGTGATCAGTAGTCCGGCCGGGCGTTCCATCCTGGACAACTCTTCGTCAGCGATTTATCCTCGTGGCGGAAGGGCGAAACATACCACAAAGCCGTTGCGGCGAAGCACATGGTGCTACCAACATACATCGGGTCACGGAGTACGTTAAACGGGAAGCCCTCGACGCGGTGGTCCATGAGAATGCCGAAGTAGTCCCCGAGGAATGTTCCGGTTATTCCCAGCGCCCATGTCGATGTAATTACGAACGTCTGGCCGAGGGCGAACAGTGCGGTTGGAATCACGGTGTCCAGCGGCTCAGGAAGTATTTTGACCCGAGGTTGTTCGAAGAGCGCTTTCTGGTACCTACATAAATGGTCAACCGGTGCCATATAGCCAGGTATGATGGCATACATACAAGTGGTCCCGCAGTATCCCGGCGGTGAATATGCACAAAGCAAGGAAGTAGCATCCGTATCGTGCGTTGCCCCCAAAAATTCGCGTTATGGTCTTGTTATGGAACTCTGCGCAGAGCAGTGCAATTCTTGTGAGCTGGCAGCTCAATCCGCCTTCAGATCTCGCGAAGCCTCACCATTTCGCGCGATGATATTCCACGCCGTCGGATTGAATGCTATAGTTAAAATTGAGACGAGTAGAGACCGCTTGGAAGTGTCGATGATAGAAGACAGTGTATCCATCCTTAAGCTCGCTGGTCGACGTCACTGACAAAACTTAATGGACCAGGATAAGAATATCAATATCACGTGGCGAATTGTATGCTGCTTTCACACCCCGTTAACACCTTTGCTTCGATATCCCCATACTTCGCTGGCTTGCATGTATCCAATTCTGTCTCCTTTCAGCTACTGGCCATCTCTATGGAGTCTGCATATCCCTCCTGACATGGGCGGGTATAGTGCTGCAGTCATCACTTGAGGGCGGAAGATCCGGAGCTGCATGAACTCTGGTGATTCGGCTCGTTGTCTCCACCAGTTGTCCGCATTACTGCCTTTGGTGTTCTTATCACGTACGTGCTTCTGGCTGAGAAAAGGAGCATGTCTATCTTTCGACAGCTCGTTGTTTCTTGGCTCTTTGGTTGTGACTGTGAAACCTCGGACATCGCAGGGATAACTTATATTGTGCGATCGATAACGCGCCATTTTCAACTGCGCAGAAGAGTGAATGGCTTCAGGGAACACCCCGCGACGTACATGTGTACTATCGTAGATCAAATGTCGTGAGTACCAATGATTCGCGAACGTCCGCATGACAATGAGGGCAATGCGGACTAACTCTGTACAACGCTTTGCGTTCAATCTGTACGCCGAGAAGTCGGGTCCGGAAATACTCACAATCGCTCCAAACCTTAAGGTGAACCATATAAACTGTCCCAGTTCACAGCGGCACGTCGTCCAATAACCACATGATGACTAGCTCCAGTGAACATACTCCGGTTTCTCCCCCAGCTCGCACAAACGCCTTCCCCTATAATGGCTCCAGCCCACGCGCCCGACTCGCAAGGGGTCTTAAAGAGGCGAAGAATGCCACCGAGGAGTTGGAGAGGTGCAACCCCTACATGGATCGCCAATCGGTCCATCAATTCCTCGACCAGGCGGACAAGTCAGAGCCATCTCTTGCGTTCCGCTACTGGCTAACTACACGGCTCAGTCTTTGTGATGACAGGCTTGCGGAGCTTCACCAAACGGTGTCGAAGAGGTCGAAACGGTTCTTGGGCCAATGGCTTGCAAGACCGGCTTCCCGAGAATATGAACACAAGGCACAGGAGTATTTCCGCCAGGTGTATGTGGGTGTTGTCGTTTGTGCTGTTCAAGTAACGCAGCAATAATGGCAATAATCTTCGAACAAAAGACAGCGAGTCATGTGGTGATGATGAATGCTCTTCGGGAGCGAGGTGAGCTGCATACACTGGCTTTTTCGCTGGTCCAAATCACAGGGACACCTCTGCATGTAGCTCCCCAACAAGGCGGCAGCTCTTCTCCGCGTATGTACCCACTCGATACTGTTTTTTCCTCTTTTAATCTGCCGTCAAGCGCCGCCGCATACCAGTGGCTCATTCGCCTCGCCCTACGGCGGGCGTCCAGGTGTGACGGCGCAGTCGACCCCCAATATGAACGGCAGGGGCGACATTCGCAATTCCCCGCTCACGCGCATCGCACAATCGAGTTCGACAACGTTGGCCAGTCTACCAGAGGCCGATGCGAATGTGGAGAATGTGGCCGCTAGCGCGACAAATTGTGCGAAGCTCGAATTATCGGAGACTGAGGGTTAGGTCCCCCAATCGAATTACTTTGGTGCCATCATGGGAATGGGGCGCGTTGATGATTTCCAACACTGACATATTACCCTGCATAAACTACCGAACATTCTCGATTCAGTTATATGCCACTTGTACGATCCGCGCGTCTCTAAACCCGCACAGTTCACGCGAACTGGACTTGAGAACCGGACGGTGATTATCGTGGCTCCACAGAGCATGCCATGGGAGAGAATTGCGGACACCCGCAACACTCCTTATCCCCGCATCAAAACCTTGCTCTACGGGCAGGCCGACCATGAGACAGGCTTGTACTTCCGATAGAAGTGCGGGTAGCCTGCTGCGATAAAGCACTTTGGCTGTGTGAACCCGCGTTCAATGGGATGCTTCCTTCAAGCTTCTATATCGCCATGAGTCACAACACGAGTTCACGTTGCGGGCGCTTACCGGTGCAAAACCTTGCCGTGCCACATTGGGCCGAAACGTGCGCATCGAGAACATCGTTAGTTCTCGGCGTTCGGAATCACCCGCGGCATGGTGAAGTGAAATTTACTGCGCCATCACGGCGAGGCTGTTAGCGTCCTGTCAACGGTTCAAGACTTGCACAGGATCGGGACATGACCATTTTGTACGCGACAGCCCGGATCGCATTGCTGTCTGTCGAGGGCCCGCATGTCCTCTCATGCTCACGTCGCGAAACGTTGCAAACCGTGATGCTGTGTCTCTCCGGCGGATCGCCCTACGCACCCGGTTCGGGGCCGTCGTTTACGAGCGACTATGGCAAATAAGATCCTCTTTGTCGATGCGAGCGGCGCCGGCTTGCCCGGTGACGTCCGAGCTAGTCGACATGGCGGTGGCTATCGGCAGTACGACGCCATTGTCTGCGCAATAGCGCTTCGCAAGCTGTGTGTTCACAGAGCTGAACTGCACAGATCTTAGCCTCATATATAATGCGTCTCGCATGTCAAGCTTACCGTACCTATTGCTTTCCCCGATACCACACCACTGGCATCACTCATGGAGGCATTGAAACGGAATCTTCAGACAGGGATGGAGCTGTTGCGAGACATCTTCGACGAGCTTGAGCGCTTAACAAATCCCAACAACCCGGATATCCTCCGGAGATATATTGCCGACGCAGATAGGTGTGTCGAGTGACTTGGCTGGCTGAGATGGTATCTGACGCCATGATTTCAGTCTTCAAGCAGAACATGACAAGTTGACGAAAGAAATCAGCGGGGCGGGGATTTTAAAGGCCATCTGGGTTCACAACGAGACGCTAAAGTTCAAGAATCGTGCAGCGGAACTCCAGGAAAACGTGAAGGTACCGGGATCTGGCATGCATGACGGGACTCGACTAACTCGCAAATGTCCAGATGTATTGCGACGAGGAAAGGAGACTAGCATTGCGTATCGCGAACGGTGCTGTCTTCCAACCTAGTAGCGTGAGTTCAACGGACATTCACAGGAGTTTTATCATCTCACCTGGGTGTACAGCACGCTGCACCCCTCGATACTGCTTCTGCAACGGACTATTGCAGGTAATGGCCTTGAAGATGGGAACCCTGAGCAGCAACTGGCTCTTATGGGCTCGTGACCAGTCATCACTCTGATGATTCGCGAGTGAGGAGCAGGAGCCACCGGGCCAAGGTTGAAGATGGCGTGGCGGTAGTGTAGAAGATCAGGCAGATATCGTTGAATCGTGTGATACAGTTGTAGCGATATGATCGGGGCAGAATATCTTGGGTAGGGCAGGAGTAATACTTACATAACGACTTGTACTACGCCACCGTGGCGCACGTAATAAGCAGGCGCTTGATCCCAGACGTCGACGGAGCTCGTGCGCATGTATCGAAACGCTGGGGTTGGACTAGAATTCGACGCTTGACCATGAGGCTGCGATCTTGTCTTACCCTGACGTCGTCGACCTTCGGATCTCCGATGAAATCATCCTCGCCCTCTCTAGGCCATGTTCTGGGACGATCCAACATCGGATATGGAAGTTATTCCCAGACTGGGGTTTCATCGCTGCTCAGGACTGGCGCATACACGCGGACGACCCTTGCGACGCGTATACCAAGTTTCATTTCCGCCCGCAAGGCTTACATCCCATGAGGTTCTACCATGTTGCGCGGTGGAAGCATGAATCTCCTGAAGAGATGGATATCAACTGCCGGGTGCGCCAGGGGTTCCAGGGTCAGTTCCCGTGTGCCATAAGCATGAACTAAGCGCCCGTGGGTCTTGCAACCACGTGTAAGTCTGGGTGCAAATGGATATCTTCAGCGAGCTATATAACGCAGTGCGCCTCCGGTTACTCTACCTCCTTCTCTATACTACGTACTAATTCTGGTATCATCTTCCATGGCCGACGCCGCTAGTGCTGCTATTCAAATGGCGGCAGGTGCAATGCATGTAGCTCGCAAGCTCAACAGAAGTCTCAATCCGGAAGTACATCTTGAGAAAGCGCGTGTTGCAATCAAGGAGGCCACCGACGAACTCAAGCAGTACCGCGATTGCATTGATAATGTCGTTGCAGCCAGCTTTTATGATGCCGCCAATGAGTATGTACAGATCCGGTCTATAGTCAGTACCGTAACCAATTTATGAGCTGTAGACTATTATGCAACCAAGACCGAGTTATGAAGGACTGCAGACGACCTTTCGGAACATTCAAAATGTTGGCAGCTGCCCGGACGATCAAATCCAAGGCACGGCACCACCTGGCAAACGTGAAGGTGCCAAGTCCTACTCATTGACATGGAACGCTGGAGTTTCCTGAACGCGCTCTCGCATCATATAGAGTGCTAGCGCCATGGCTCAAGTGGATGCGGAGAGGCGGTCACTGCAAGCGCAGTGTGCGCAGGAGCCGAGTAGGTTTTCTCGTATTTGCAGTTGCTGCTGAATTGTTTCAAATCGGAGTGTGGATAGGTCGAGCCCGTGAACACAATCAACGCCTCCTCAGAACGGCAAACGAAGCAGTGTCAACGCCTTCGACGACCATCTCTGCAGCCGATGCCTCGGATCCTGCCATGGAAGCCCCGCCTTCAATATCTATGCCCGAGCCCAGCATCGCTGGGCGTACTGTCTCTTCCCCAAATTACACATCCGCTACTGAGAAGACGCCATCTTTCTTTGACAGGGAGGGGCGCCACCCTGCCCGAGGAACACGCGGTCGCGGTGGGAGGCGCGCATTTGTAATGTTAGCCATTTACGAGGAAACAAACGACGAAGAACAAGACTCGTGTTCTTGCAGCTGTGGTGACGAGAGGGCGTGCTACATATGCACTGGCATTCCAATCCTCCACCGTAACTGACGTGATATCACCCGCGATGCGTTTCTGTCTCGCGATCTGCGATCGCGCTGGAGCTGACAGGTACCTTGTTGTGCATGTACGAAACGGCGGTGCCGTCTTCTTTATTCAAGTTCGTGGACTAGTTGTACAATGCATGTATCAATCGTGTACATCACTGCGCTATGTAGCAATAGTCTTGGACAACAAAGGTCCACTATAGGCCACAACCGATACCTCAGACGGCAACGCTCCGCACGTTTCTAAGAGGTGGCGTCGACGTTGAATGGTACACAATCGACCTGCATATCAGATCCGACCATTAAGCAGTGATTCTTTGGCACCAGTTGCCAATCGCCCTTTTGATACGTCGTCGGCTCACTCGCAACAATTACATGCTCTCCATGTTCCTCCGCCGCTCGAATGTTCGCCAGGATCGAAGGCGATGCTCCGTCCGGATGACCGGGATACTTGCGGTTCAAGGTCACTCCCGCTCTGGTCGAGAAGTACAGGGAAGGCGGGTGCTCCGTGGGGTGGTTCCTGAATCGGATGGCCAGGAGTTGCGTCCCGTCCGTGACGGCGACGTTCAGGCTCGACGCGTTGAACTCTATGCCCTTCTTCGGCAGTGTTTGGTGTTGCACCGAGATGACGGTCGTGACAGCCTTCTCGAGAGCCGCCTTTACTTCCTCCAGCGAATGAGAGGCGTCCCAGGCAGCCGCGCCCTTTTCGCCGGCGAGATAGGTGAAGAACAGCGCCGCGAGGTGTTCGGAGTCGGTCGAACCCTTGATACGCTGCTCCGCGTCTTCGGACACATGCGCCAGCACCTCGCGCCGGATGGACGCGAAGTGCGCGACCTCGCCGTTGTGCATAAACGCGTAGCGACCAGCCGAGGTCTGTGCACCGTCGAACACGAAGGGGTGGTTGTTGAACTCGGAGACGACGGCAAACTCGGACGCCGCGCGTATATGCGCGAACACCGCCAGGGAGGACGTTTGGGCGCATACAGACTTGAAAACGGGGTCCGTGATGCTAGTTCTGGATGAGCGGGAGGATCTCTGTCATGACAGATAGGCGTACGGTTCCCGAACGATCCGATATTGAACGGGTCTTGGACCCTCCGAGTCTGTGAACTCCGATCGTGCCGTAGTGTACCTGCACAAGCATGAGATTGGCCAACCGGGAATCAGAGACGATTCCGACATACCATGCCACGCCCTAGGTCTTGTTATCAAGTGTGATCTATCATTCAGAACGGGTATGGCGCGCACCAAGCCATCGGTGTTGAACAACCTATTGCGCATCGCGATCTCCCTCTCCGTGGCTTTGGTGTCAGCATCAGGTTCGTAGTGCGTCAGATATGGCAGGTAATGGTCGTGAACTTGCTACTTGTGGAGATACGTTATCGCATGTCATGGTCATTCAGGCTATTTTGCGTACCTTGGTGATCGCATGGGCCGGGCGAATCAGAACGTCTTCCAGAAGACACGGCTCCGAGTTGGAGATGTATGCGAACCATCTGCACATGCTAGCAACTTATATCGATGTGGTTCGGTCGAACGGGAAGACAGCGGGGCCACGCCGCATGTCCATCTTATATATGGAGTCTCCAAACAGAGTTCTGCGACGTCACTGTATCAAATTTTGGACGAGTGATGATTCTCTAGTCCAAGTATTGCTCTTTATGAGTCGACAAGGCCGCAATGTTTTCAATTTCAGGACAAGAAAAGGATGTGGCATCGAGAGCTGGTAGAGTGGAAGCTCCAGGAGACAAGGCAGTTGGTTGACCAAGACCGCGTCTGCCCTGATCTACGTCATGTGCCATGTTCGGCTCTTTGCGGCCGAATTGATGGCCGATCTTCACCCATAAGAGCATCGTGAACAGTTCTAACGTCCATGACCATGGCCTTCGAGTGAGTGAGTATCGGAGCGCTCGAGGCCAAGAACCGTTCCGTCTATCCACGTACACAGCTCTTCGCAGGGAATCTCGAAGTCTACAGAAGCATGAAGACTATGATCTGCCAGAACTTCGCTATGGTCGTCGAAACCGAATCTACCGCGCTGCGTTGAGTCATCTCGGGCTTGCATTGCCATTCTGAATATAATCGGCCAAGGAGACCGCGAGACGTCGTGGTGTGGATGGTTGATCGTCAACGGCCGCGACACGCGCTCAGATGGCCAATCTACGGCTTCGAGGTGCAGCATCTGAACTTCTCGAGGAAGCGCTGGCTCGGCTGGTGAGAGAACTGTTCGGCCCTGTGACGACGTAAGCCCCCTCCCAAAGGGGTTGCATTCTTGTGCCATCACAACACCGAGTTCCTTTCTCGCAACCCGGGATCCTCGGAACGATGGCCCCTTTCCCACACGTCGTCTGCGGCTTCACTTTGTTCACAGGAATGAAAGCTTTTTAAAGCTTGCACAGGGGATTTCCGGGTATCCGGAACCATAGTCAGTCGGGGGAGTGTTTAAGCAAGAGACGGTTCCCCGGAGCAAGATCGCCCTTTAGCTCCCTACTCTTCCTCGGCGCGTCGCGGAGCAGCATGATCTCACATATTCCGAACGAACTCTGGGACCGCATCATTGACTTCCTTCACAATGAACCCGCCGCTCTCCGCTCAAGCTCGCTTACATGTCGAGACTGGGTCGCAGCCAGCCAATTCCACCTATTCCCGAGTACCGTCGATCTACGGGGAGAAAATACACGGACCAGACGATTCGAATTCGTCATGAAGGCTTCGCCGCATTTAACGCGGTACATCCAATCTTTGAAGCTTGATGCGGCATCTACCCCGTGGGTGACCCTAGCGACGGTTGAACTACCGCGGGTGACCGAGCTCCTGCTGGATGGTTTGTCCTGCAAATTACCATCGACAACGCTGGCCTGCACTCGATGGCTGACGCGACTGCCTGCCTTGCGCACACTAATTCTCTTCCGGGTAACTTTCACCCGCTCGGCTTTCCTCGACGTAATCTCGACCCTCCCGCTGTTACACCGCCTAGACGTTGTTAATGCGGATGTCGAGCACTGGGACGAGGAACGACATACGCCCCCACATCAGTTCACCAGCGCCCTGCAGGAACTCCATCTTTCCGGCTTCGGAACTGCGGAGATTCTGGGGACATTGGCAGAGCTTTGCGCGAACGCGGGCATACAGCTTACAGAGCTCCATTCCGGCTCTTGCGAGACAGCCGCAGATCTCTTGGCCCTGAACGAGATCATGCGGCTTAATCCGTCGCTACGACACCTCGAAGTCTATCTGCTGTATTCTGCAGAAGATGCAGGTTCGTCATGCCAACGTGTGTGTCTAAACCCGTCCTGACATACCCAACTTAGGCCCCCTTGATTTATCTCGCAACATGGCTCTAGAGGGCCTAGTCGTCGAGTTAGAGATGGTGTCCGCATCCGTCGACGCTCTAATGGGCGTTGCGGAGTCGTTGGAGCAGATCGCGTTCCCTCATCTCCAAAACATTCACATCGTCCTCAACCTCTTCTCATCGAGGAGCGATATCTGGACGGCGAAGTGGTGGAAGATGCTGGGTGATGTGTTGAAGGACCCCTGTTTCGACAAGCTCGAGGTGTTGGACATCACCTTCCACGGTCACAAACCGCCGGAGGTCGTCCCGGAGGAGGACCTGTCCACCCTCGCGACCAAGCAGCTGGACTTCCTATCCAAGCGCGGCGTCGAAATATCCCTCGAGTCGGACGGAACATGAACCCGACCGGTTGTTGGGCCGGTAGATACACGCGTTGGGCCCTGAACAGTGCAGTTTCGAGGGTGCTAGATTCACGATGGATGGACTTTGGGCTGCCAGGGTAGTGCATTCGGTACGACGATTCCTGAGAGCGTGGCACACCTCGCCGCGGTCCCGGTGTTCGTTTCTCAAGGGCGCAAGGGTCTCACGTGGGGAACGATAGCGGCGCAGAGAAGGCACGTACCAAATATGGTAGCACCACCTGCTTTGGCAAACATAGATAGCTTAGAGTGCGCCCGGATACCATTTGCTGTTGTCAATATTTATTCTACCTAGGTTTATCTCTCGGTGAATTGTGCTGCGAGCCGGCGCTGCGCAGGTTGCAACGCGATCGAGCACAGCGCGTTGGAAGGCTAGTCGTAGTGCTGCGGTAAACACGAAGAGACAGCATTTGATGACGATGTAATTCCATCCTAGACCACGACGCCCGCAAAGAGGATCGTATATGAATGTGATCTACAGAACAACGTACGTCCGCCGGTTTTAGAACACCAGACCTTGCTTCATCCGAGTTGACCTCACGTTCAACCAAACTGAACCGAGCTGACAACCCTACGGGTCTCGTTACGCTCCAGCACCCAACCTGGCCCGCTCCAGATTCTCCGACGCACATGCAAGCGTCAGGGGCAGCAAGACGGCATTCTTGATGACATATGGTTCCGGTGGGTGCATTACGGAAGGCGGAAGCCGGATATTTCCCAGTGCACCCTGGGGCAGGCACGCCAATGCCGTCAAGCAAAGAGAGTCCGTCCGTCCTCGTTGCAACTTTGGGACATTATGCCGAGCTAAGTTCCGTCATCTCCACTCTTCTGTAGCGAACGCCGGGCGCTCGACACGTCCGATTTCGTCCATGATCGTGAATGGTTCTGGGGTAATCGTCCCCCCCCTCCGCCACACGAAAATCTCTATCAGAGAACGCGAAGCCGGCCCAGAATAGCGTCGAACGCTGTCCGAGCGTCGTCGCTCTCGGGAGGACCTCTCTGAGACAGGTTAGCACTTGCCCGACACTCCAGCCCCCGCTTCTGACGCTCTGGACAAAGCTCTCGAGTGACGCCGCAAATGCCTCATCCTGACAGACGAACCGCAGTGGAGCACCGGCAAGGGACGCGGCTGCCCACTGTATGACCGTTTTGATCTGCGGGTCTCCGCCGAAGGCGCCGCAGCCCCATAGGCCTGTGGAGATGTGACGGTACGGGCCTGGAGCGCTGTCGTAGGAGGAGAAGGCGGTGGCGCACTTGCTCAGCTCGCGGTCGATGTGGCCAGGGAGGAGATCGCGGACGCGTCGCCCGTAGTCCTCCTGGTCTAGCTCGAGTGCGTCCATGAAGAGCATCGTCCCGTGCGTCCAGTCAGAACTCGCTCCATTCACCTCCCCGTCTGGGCCGAGACCCGGATCGACCCAGGCACTCCTGCCATACCCGACGATGTTCACCATCGCCTCCGCCCCGCGTATGACGAGAACATCCGCGTCGCCCAACGGCGGCGTAAACAGGACCGCCGGACAGGCTTCCGGACTGGACCCCACCTACACCTCCTCCTGCGTCCCGCCGCATCCGAACCCGATGAACCGATTTGCGGAAATCACGGCGGCGCCGCCATCGAGCCCGAGGAATCGCGAATGGGTAGTCGCCTCGGCTGTGCGACAGACTTCCAAACCTGTGAACGGCTCGCGCGATGCGTACAGACTGTCGGGTGGCGTATGATCGGTGAAAAGGGCGAAGGTTATAGACCGTTCGTCGATAGACGCGGCCATAATCGCAGGGTCCCCAGCCGCGATGCGTTCAAAGTGTCGCCATAATGCGGACAGGTATGCATGGACGGCGCCAGAATGGGGCTGATTGGAGTGGTACCAGATATCGAAGGCGGGCGATCGCCCTCCCGACTCCATCCATGGCGACGGCCGGAACGTGCAGAAGAACTGGTGCACGACGAGGCAAGCTACCTGTCGACCAGAGAAGGTATGTTTCGAGGACAGAGTGCCTAAAAAGGGGATTTTGTCGCGTCCATGAAATAACACGGGCATTTCCAGCGCCAAGGCAACCAGCGCGCGCCACGTAGTCGAACAGAATCGGCGTTCGTCATCGGGGCTCGAACAAACGTGAGCCTTAAGGCCATCCAGATCCTCGTGGCCTGACACACGCAGGGTCAAAGAGATCGTTTGTAGCGGTCGATGACATCGTCAGCGGATACGACCGGTTCTTGTAGGATAACTTCAAGTACGCTCCAGAACGGCACCTCGGCCTCGTCAGAGTCGACGAGGCTGAAGCGATCCTGACAAAGGAGCGATGAGCAAGAAGACAGGACGATGCTCATCTGGTGCCTTCTCGACAAATTGGCTGATGGAATCTCGAGGTCAAGGCGCAAGGCGGTCCCTCGTCAGAGAATATTCTGCCAAATCGGGCCAGCAATCGTCCCAATATGGGCGAGATGTTCCCGCGCCCGTCACGGTAGATATAACAAGCCAGGCTATCTCCTAATCGGACATCGTAAACCGTATGACACTCAACATCATGTCATGATCAATGTCCAACCCTCTGACCCCCTATAAATCCCCCCCTATAAATCCGGTTCAAGAACGACAATAGGCACCCCAGTCGCTCACCACCGTCTACCGTTCATCCTCCGAAATGGCCCCCAAGGTTGCTATCGTCATCTACACGCTCTACGGCCATGTTGCCAAGCGTAAGCACACACATTCGCTGGACGATGGACGCGCAATGCTAATTTAGGGGAACCTAACAGTCGCCGAGACTGTCAAGGCCGGCGTCGAGGCTGCTGGCGGTTCCGCTCAGATCTTCCAGTACGCTGCGAGCATGCAAAATATCAAACACCTTCACTGATGCGCTTACGCCTTACAGGGTCCCTGAGACTCTCCCCCAGGAGATACTGACTCTTATGCACGCTCCGGCCAAGCCCGACTACGAGGTCATCACCCCCGACAAACTCGCCACCTTCGACGCGTTCCTGTTCGGAATCCCCACTCGTTACGGTAACTTCCCCGGGCAGTGGAAGGCATTCTGGGACGCCACCGGCCAGCTCTGGGCGCAGGGCAAGCTCGCGGGCAAGTTCGCGGGCGTGTTCGTCTCCACCTCTTCCCCCGGTGGTGGACAGGAGTCGACGGCCATCGGTAAGTCTGATCGCACAATTTTCTGGTTTCACGTTGCGCCCCGTGATTACAGCAAGCATAGATGACTGACGCTGTCATCTCCAGCCGCCATGTCGACCCTCGCCCATCACGGCCTGATCTACGTGCCCCTTGGTTACAAGTACACCTTCGCGCAGCTCACCAACCTCTCCGAGGTTCACGGCGGCTCCCCTTGGGGCGCTGGCACTTTCTCGGGCGGAGACGGCTCGCGTCAGCCTACCCCCCTCGAGCTGGAGATTGCGCAGATCCAGGGCAAGACCTTCTACGAGCTCGTCTCCAAGGTTCAGTTTTAGAGCATCGACGTAACGTCGTTTCGCTAGACGGACTGGGATTCCGAACCCTGTAGACATCAATTTTGTCGTGTATCAAATAAACCTTGTGGACTATACGGGGAGCTTCGATTGCGCGATGAGTGTTCAGAGTTGCGCTGCATGAACCTGACACGTCTTGGCGTGAAATGGACGTTTTCCGGCGATAATTCTCGCAACCAATCAAGGCAAAAAGCATGCGTGAAGCGTACAGGCAACAATGGGTGTATTACGCACTGAGGAAGAGGTTCATCATATTGATTGCAAGCATAACTGAACACGACATACGGGCAAACGTGCCGATCTCCGGTATTCGTACACTAGGTGAGAAAGCCCTTCTTACTTCTTCTTCTTCGCGGGTTTCTTCTTCTTGGTGCCGCCTCCCGCCGGTGCACCACCCGCACCTGGGGCTGCGCTGGACGCTGCTGCTGCGGCCAGGACCGGCGTCCCTTCCCTCTCCGTCTCCGCTGCACCCGGTGCCGACGTCGTCGGCGCGGGTTGATGTCGGACGTTCTGCATCTTGGTCATGAGAGACAGATTGAGGGCCTCGAAACGGTTGAGGAAGATGGAGGATTGCGTTTTGAACTTGATGCACTGTCATCGGAGCGATCGGACGTTGAGTGCAATGATGTGAGGACGGTATGAGGGTAACATACCGATGTGTCATCGGTGATCTTGAGGACAAGCCTGCCCTCCAACGCCCTCCATTTTACACAGTAGCGCGCCTGCCAGAACGCTTGGTATGAGCGAGATCAAAAGCCGCGCATAACGAGGACATAGGCGTTGACCAAGAAAGCGTACTTTTTCAGGAGATTTGGTGTAGAGCTCTTCAGCGGCTTCTTGGAACTGGTGCCAGGACGAGATGTACACCATCCTCCCGGACGATCAGTATGGTCACTATCGCCAGTCAGTGGTGAAGGCACGCGGCCGCTGTGGCGCGCTTTGGCGAGGGACAAGGGACGGGAATAGACGGGGGTCCGGGCGGTTCCCCGCACGAGTGGCGGACCCCTGTAGTTGTTCTCATGACCATGTCGTCAGTATGGTCCGCGGTCGGTTCTCGTCGGGTTTTGTCTGCACGTCCTCTTCCGGTCTTTACTCGCCTATTTTTCTTGTTCTAAAGGGTAGGCTTTGTCAACATGTCGACTCCCCCTGCACAAAGGAAACGTGGGTTCAAGGTTAAGAGCGTCTGTCCAGAGAGACGCGGCTGAACGATTGTGTGGGGTTAGCTCTGCCGTTCATTGCAAACTTCACCGCCGGCGCCATCGCTGGTATCTCTGAGATCTTGACCTTCTATCCTCTCGGTGCACCATTTTCTAATAATCGATCGAGGTGCATGTTGCTGACACCGATATTATATAGATGTGGTATGTACTACACGTGCGAACGTCGGCTATGCTCAGACAACCCGGCGCGTAGGTCAAAACGCGACTGCAACTCGAGAAAGGCAAGGCGCAGCATGGGCTGGTAGGAACCTTCAAGACGATCATTAAGGAGGAGGGGTATGCAAATGTCGCATCTTCTCGGTCACACGGCTCTGATTTCGCTATGTTTCTCCAGTGTCGGTCGGCTTTATCGAGGTACATCCATCTTCATGCCATGGACACACTCATCTGTACTCATCTACGACGCGTCCAGGTCTTGTCCCTCCGCTGCTCATGGAGGCCCCCAAGCGCGCGACCAAATTGTGCGTCCCTTGCCCAACCCGCATCAATTCCGCAAACACCCGCGTCGAGTTACTCACGCTCGTGATTCTTGTCTAGTGCCGCGAACGACTTTTGGGGAAAGACGTACCTGCAACTCACCGGTGGCACCAAAATGACGCAGAGCCTGTCGGTGCTCACCGGGTGTACTGCGGGCGCGACGGAAAGTTTCGTCGTGGTGCCGTTCGAGCTCGTAAAAATCCGGTATGCCTGCTCTCAATGTGTGTTTGAACGAGGGGCTTACTGTACTGGGATGGCGGTATGATGAAGGTTGCAGGACAAGAGCAGTACGTACGCGGGTCCTTGGGACGTTGTGAGGCAAATCGTCAAGGCAGAAGGCCCGTTAGGTCTGTATGCTGGTATGGAAGCGACTTTTTGGAGGTGAATGAGACTTGCTGGTTTGGTGCATGTACTGCGATGATAATGTTCGTTTCAGGCACGTGTGGTGGAACGGAGGGTTTTTCGGTTCGATATATCAAGTAAGGGCGTTGTTGCCCAAGGCAGAGGTACGACCCTCGTCCTCGTAAAGCATAGAGAACACACTGACCGCGGGACCGTGCAGAGCAAATCGGGCGAGATGCTGCACAACTTCGCATCAGGTTCAGTAGGCGGTTTCATTGGCACCGTCATCAACACTCCGTGAGTCCTTCCGAACTCGTAACTATCTCTATGGTTTAATATAAGCTATGATTCTGCAGGTTTGACGTTGTCAAGTCGCGTATACAAAACACTAGGAAGGTTCCGGGCGTTACCCCCAAGTATAACTGGACATACCCTGCGTACGTCTCCTTGCCCCTCTTTCGTCCTCTGCGTCCTTCTCGTTCTCATGACGCTTACGTACTTTTGCCCACTCGCGCAGATTGGTGACCGTGTTCAGAGAGGAGGGCTTCGCGGCGCTTTACAAGGGTTTCGTACCCAAAGTCCTTCGGCTCGGTCCTGGTGGTGGTGTACTCCTTCTCGTGGTGGAGGCTACACTTGTCATTTTCCGTCAAGGTGAGCTGATTATCATCACCGAATTTGGTCGTTCCCCTTATTCCCCTCGCCTCAGCTCTGGGTCCTCCTTATGTATAGACGGGTGTTTCACCAATCCATAACGGACGCATGTTGGTGATATGTCGACGAGGGCTAGATATCGTAGAAATACATAGGATGAATGGTTGCAGGCTATATGAACTAATGTATTCATATCGCTTCAACATTTGGTGCATAAATCTTTGCAAACACACAAACTCTGATTGGGTCGGAGCGAGCGCTGGAGGCGCTAGGTTTTTTCCCTGCTCACGTGCAGCATCCAATGTTTCGGCACGTCGCGCGGGGCGCGGCGCGACACGGTTGTGGGCGGCGTCCATGGACCATAACGCATCTTCTATCGAGGACAGGACAGCGCCCGACGCGCCTCAAGCGGGGCGTCATCTTGACCTCATCCTGTTTCAATATGATGAACACCGGTGCTGCGCGCGCTCTCAATCGCATGCCTCGGTCGCTCGTTCGGTGGTAATTATCAGTCATAACGTTGACCTCACATTGACGGCGCTGAGTGCTCGAAGAGCACTTAATATCTACCGACACGATATCATAGTTCCACTCAGGTCAAGATTTCGACATAGTTTCGTTCCAATTCATGACCGAAAACTCGCAAGGTGAATAAATAAAAGAATTTGCCGAGATCTCACGCGAAGACAGCACCCACCATAGGGATTTCTCTGGAAAAACGTGAAAAGACTTGCGAACCTTCGCCGCCATCGGACGATATAGCAAACCTCGGATTTCAGCATGTTGACTTCCACCCCAAAAGATCGGTTCACATTACGGTGTGAAGGAACGTTTTTCACCTAGAAGGCATTTATTGTGCGTATCGTATCCTGCTACCCAGCCCAGGCACGCGGTGGAGTTCTTAACGTCACTCAGATACAGCTCCCCCCGCAACTAGGCGCGGTCTCGCACCTGATAGCACCCGTTGGAGGTGCAAAGTGAGTTCGACATGTGCTTTCCCCTTAACTTACGCGGTGTTTCGTCTCTATTTCCGAACGCATGTACTTATGCATCTGTCTGGCTCATCTCGTCAGATCCATGGATCTCATGCCGTACGCAGTGCCTCATCATGCGGTGCGGGGTACCGAGTATCCGCGCGCACAACTCGGATGGGGCGCGAGCTAAGGTAAATGGCTGCGAGACGCAGCTCCGTCCGCCGTTGCCACTGTCTTCTCTTCGGGTCTCGCATGACTGAACTCGGCCTCAGTTCGGACCGCTTTGTGTTGCAGACGGCGTTGTGCTGATACTTCCCCTTTTTGAACGCAGCTTCTCGTCATGCGACATGGCACCCCACCGATGCATGTCTGCCGAATCTCCGCAATCCGCGGCTCGGTAAATAGAATCCTCTCGTATCGTGCCGGACGGATGCAAGCTCGTTCTGCTATCAATCCGGATGGACGTTCCATACCGGCACATCATCATGTTTTCGCCCGCTTCTCCGTCCATATCACACGTGAAGCTCATCGAACCCGACACGAAAATGAGTTGAGCCGGTTCTCTCGACGCTCGACTCACGTACGCCATCATCAACCTTGTGCCGGACGAATTCTCTTCCATGTCGGTTGGAAGCGGATTATATCTGCGAACCGGCAGGGTCACCTCGGACTCCTGCGTTGAATGGCTACCTCTGGCGCTGGGCCCCGGCCATAGCGAAATTATACGCTGCCCGCTCTGCACGCCCGCCCCTGCACACTGTCCATTCTTAAGATCGCCCGGTAACACCGCAGCTTCTGTACCCAAGCTGTCGCTGGTGCGTGGCTCGAGTGGCTCGTGGCCTTCACAGCCTTTCACATACCTCCAGGCCGCGCCGGCATGGCATTTTCGCTCAGTATATGGTCACCACCCGGTACTGGTCGACGCCCGGTGACCTCAAGGTATTGTGCTTATTCCAGGAAATAATCTATCTCTACGTAATACGCATGTCGTAGAACTTCAAGCGATACCATGGTGTCAGTAGTGACGGGTATTTGTAATGACAAGGTATGGCTCAAAACTGTACGCAGCGTGTGCTAAGCCACAGCTCACCTTTCTGTCGTTCTCAGTGGAAGTGTTTTCACAGAGTCGAAAGAGAACTTGAACACGCGGCGTACACAATTTGCCGTTCGTGCCCGCATGATCTGAGACAGAGGCAATGCGTTAAAGACCAATCAATGCAACTTGTCTGGTCCCGGGTACATATGTTTCCTCGAGCTGACCGAAGTCTATATGCTTGATAGGACACAATTTCAACGGTCTCACGGCGACGATGTCTCACCAACTCTATACTATAAAGCTTCTTACTCTGATCACTTTCCCGGGAAATTCAGTCCTCTCACGAGATACTTATACCCATGTCCCAAGCCGTGCCTCCGGAGCTGTATACTATCCGACACTCGTGAGTGTTTCTATACATAATGCCGCATGAACATCGGGTCATACGCGTGCGCTCTCTCGCATTGTCCATGCCTAAAACGCGGTGCTACCGTGGGACCGCATACGGCGTGAGGATTTCACCCCCTCACCTCCGTGGCACAGAGACAGGGAAGACGAAGGGCAACTGGAGATACGGCATTGCTCTCATTTCATCAGCGCTCACCACTAGGATAAGGATAGCCGTGGTCGGTGTTCTTCACGTCCGAAATGTCGCTTCACCTTCTAATCTCGGGTTCAGGGTGAACAGGGTGTCTACAGTTTCACTACGGCCTCAGTACCGGGACAAAGCGCCTTGTTCCAGACGTGGTAATAGCATGCGCTGATCCGTGTCTCATTACGAACACCACACCGAGAAGACGCACGTCACCAGAACCCGTTTTTGCGGTGAATTTCTCACTCCTGAATAGGACGTGCTAACCTTGCAGGTGCGAACTTCAATCTCAATATTTCTCTGATACACCGTATATACTAGCTCGATGCTGCGAAAGGGGACTCTTGGCATCTCAAGTTATTGACAACTGTATTCGATAGGATTAATTGATTCAGAGACTGCATGCGAGGGCCCGAACTTCCTCCCGTAACGTGTGATCATGCGCTGCCGACGTTCGCCACCATGCTCGGCAGGCAGCCGATATAGATTCTTCTCGATGAGTGAACTGATCTACGAGTCCGCTGCGCCTCATGACGGACATAAAGGTGGCGGCTTCGTTTGTGATATGAGCGTCCATGCGACCATACATTCCCACGTTCGGTTCTTTCTCGCGCACCTAACGCAGCGTCGCGATGAAGGATGCTTTCTGGGACTTACTGCCTCTTGTCCTGGCCAACCTGCATGACGAATATCATTCTCTTTGCATGTGCTCGCGAGTGAGCAAGGCATTCTCTGCAAATGCAGCATGCATGCTGTACTCGAGAGTGGTTTTCAGCCCGGCGCCAGCTGGCGTCACTCTTAGTTTACGACGCGATAAAGATGAATTCACGGTACGCATGGATGCCGTGATGCTTAATGTTGCAGGGCATTGACTCCGAAATTCAGCGATCTAGCGTCTTCAACTCCGCACGTTTGCCAAAGAACGCTTCTTATGTCCGGACATTGGAAATCTCAGGTACGTTCTGTTCATCACTTGGACGGCACGGTATTCAATTGTACGAGCAGGTAATCTTCAGACGCGACCTCCTCCATTCTATGAGCTGGAAAGAGTACTGAGTGACGCTTTCCCGCTGTTCGTGAACCTGGAGGAAGTGTTTTTCTTACCGTCGGCATTCCATGTGGACGTTTTCTGCGGTGCCCTGGTAACTCTGCCCAACATGAGAAATCTCCGGAGACTTTCTGTCAACTCCTCATGCACGAAGGAGACTTATGTCGCATCCCTAGTGAAGATAACGGGCTTGCATTACCTGACGATTCAGGACCCCTCGCGTGCCGTGCTCCAGGAACTACCCGAGTGGTTGCGCAGTATGCAGGGCACTCTTACTGAGCTGCATTTGACGGTACGTACAGAGCTCACAGGGACCTATTACATCGGCTCGCTGCCTGCTTAACTTGGACCAAGGGCAACTGTGGATCCGTCACCCCGGGCGTACTGCGCATGATTCTCCCCCACATCAGGCTGATCACATCGTTCTCTCTCGGTGTCTCATTCTCGTTGGCAAGCAGCGACGTATTCGCGACATTGGGCGGACTGAAAGAGCTGGTATCAGTGCAATTGCATTATTATTTGGTGCGCTGAGCATTCTCTCTCGCCTCGTGGCCGTCGCGGTCAGGGACTGATTTACCCAACGTTGTTTGCAGCAACTTCGTCTTCCGGACGGGGCGTTGCAGCTACCACAGTTGAAGACGCTGATAGTTCAACACGTCGCTCTCTCGGACCAATCTAACTTCGACAAGCTTGACGAATACATCACTCGCCTCGTCAGTTCGACGGTCTCTCTTAAAACGCTCTCAATAAGCTATGATCACGATTACATGGACTACGAAACCTGCGACGAACCGCATCACGATGTATTAGTCGAATATCTCGCGGAAAATCATACAAGCCTCCAACATCTACATATTTGCAGCGGGTCTTTTGACTTCTATGACCCATTGGCAAAGGACATGCTCGAACGCTGCGAGGCTCTCGAGTCTCTGGCGGTGTGGGTTGACTTCAGAGATCTGGTTCGTCGTTTTCCGCTGCTCAGCGTCCCTGTAGGCTAGGGGTTGATATTTTCGTAGGATATGTTTCCCAGTATGCTGGAGCCACTAAGATATCTTCGTGAATTGCGCATCAAGGTTGTGCCTGATGCAGATTTGTCAGACGATGATGAGAGGCCATACTCCGAGGAGACAATTGCACTCGGTATCGCTCGCGGAGTGCCGCAAATTCACTGCTTACAGGTGAACACTAATCACTGGCATGTAAGCTGTGAATCTCTTACTCTGCACGCTCTGTCTCAATCTCGTCGCAGGCGAACCGCACCATTTCGACCGAGGTTGAGTTGGAATCGGTGGAGAAGAGGGTGCTTCCGTGGCGAAGACAGTAGATATGCTCAAATATATAACGAGTTGGGCTGATAAAGATGCAGTTATCGCTCTATCTCCAACTATGTTAGCTGGCCAGGAACTAGTCAGGGAGGTATTATTAGTCGGAGGCCTTCCGTCCTGGGTTATGGCTATGGCGAGCCTCCGCTTCAGACTCCGACTCCGGTTCAGGCACAGCTATTCCACGTGATCTCTTGCGGTTACTCCTGCTCGCCGAGCGCCCTCTGAGTCTCCTGCCTGCGTTCAGCCGATAGCTTCTCGCCTAGCTGACACTGTACACGCTGACGACACGTTAAATCCTACCCGCGGCGTTTAAAATCCAAAATATTCAGCATGGACGTCCCAAAGACCAACAAGTCAGTGTAGCTGGCGACTCGAGAATGAACCATCAACGCTTACCGTGTCGCGTCAGGAGACGCAAGATCACGGACAAGTCCGTACCGCAATCCTTGCTGAACAACCCGGCATTTGCGGAGGACTCTAAGATGTATCAAGACTTGGCCGAGATGGAGCGCCGGCTTGATTGGACCGTGTCGAGGAAGAAGGTCGAGGTCCAGGATGCGCTGGGGCGGACTATGACGGTGCGTACTTTCTTGAATCACCCGTCCTATATGATCATGCGTGATATGTGAATGATAATTGAGCTATAGATAAACCGCACGCTGCGGCTGTTCTTATCGCATACGGTGTCAGGTCAGACATGGCAGACTGGCGTGGATGCCCCTACACCAAACTTCGAGACCGGAGAAGGCATACCTGCTTGGCAATTCAAATTGGAAGGTCGGTTGTTGGAGGTACGTTTGGGCTGCCACTGTGATTGATTCAGCAGCTCATGTCGACATGAATCACAGATACCCGGCGTAAAGAGCAAGCACCAGCCACCGCCCCGCAAGTTCACTACATTCATCAAACACCTCATAATTGAGCTCGAACGGGACCCCAGTGTCTATCCAGATGGTAACATAGTCGAAGTCCGTACAAGCCAGAATGTCTCAACGGCACGCTGACGAGGTGATGCGGATTAGTGGCACCGTCAAGCGAACAACGTGAACAATCCCCAGGCTCAGCTCGATGGCTTTACTATACGGCGAACCGGCGATCAGCCGACGAGAATCAGGGTCGTGCTTCATTTGACACAGGAGCCGGAGGTGTTCAAGGTGCACCCGGAACTCGGTGCGGTTTCGACATCCTTATCTTCCGAAGGGCATTGATGCTTACTACTCGTCATATAGGCGATATCTTGGGTATCAAGGAAGAATCTCGTGTCGGCGTGTTGCAGACGCTTTGGAACTACATCAAGATACAGGGATTGCAAGACAAAGTCGACCGTAGGATGATCAGGGCAGATGATAAGCTGAAACCGGTTCGTCCGACGCCCGCTCGCTGTTGCCTCGCCTCAAATCTGATAGCTTCACGCAGATTTTCGGTGCAGATACAGTGCCATTCCAGCAGCTCCCCGAGATAGCTATGCGGTTCCTCCTTCCGGCGGATCCCATCATCCTGCACTACACGCTGAACCCGAGCGTGCTACCTCCTGAAAAGCCTCAGGTGAACATTAGCATCTGACTATTGTCGCGACGGCTCGTTAATATGTACCGCTTTTCATAGGCTTGGGATGTAGAGGTGAAGACTGACGACGTCGGCCTCAAAAGTCGCATGAATCATGTCTTGGTAGGATTGAGCACTGAGAGCGCCAAAGACCTACAGAAACTCGACGACGAGGTGCGGCAGACACGTCCTAATCGTTCCTTCTTTGCCATATCGCCCGGATTGAATATTGGAGGCTGATGCCTTCCTACCTTTCGACAGATTGCCTTGCACGCGCAATCATTACACAACTCCCACATCAAGCGAACGTTCTTGCACCAGTTCGCTCGTGACCCCGCCGCGTTTATCCAGCGCTGGATTGAGTCGCAGTCCAAGGATCTTGAGAGCATGCTAGGCAGCGGACCCACAGAAGGTAACATCCACTGCTTCTCCCACAGCGTCGTTGGAGATCGCATAAACTAATTGACGACGCAGGTTCAACTGTACGTCAAGAAGACCTGAGGCGAAGCGAATTTTTCAGGTTGCCATGGGTGGAGGAGGCGGTTGCTATCCAGGAGGGACATCGTTTGGCAACAAAATCGTGATAGAGTATTCTTGTTCTCGTATGGCAGAGGTTTCTTGTATTGTCTCACTAGTTTTTGCATGCGCATGCTCGTATATCCAGTACGTCAGGTTGGTGATAGCCTCATGGCCGGTGCACTCCTGTCCAAAAAGCTACGTCGAAAACACGCAAAAGCAACCAAACACGTTTCTTTGCCCCTTCGCAGCCGTCACCGAGCTACCCGATAGGATCTCGCTTGGAGTTTGATCATATCGAACCATCGAACCACCTGGTGAAATGCGGGACCTGATGGCGTGGCGCTGGGCCGCTGGCCTGAGCACGTCTCCCACCTTCGTTCTACTCGCCAACATTCAAGGCGTATGATATGGCGAGCAAGCAAGTACGTTATCGTTCTTACATGGGTGTTGCGAAGGGTTATTGAAGTATTGCTGCGATTTGCTTGGGCTACTAGTTGGGCAAGTTACGACAGGTACGTGGAAGTTGAGCCTTGTAAGAGGACCGGGACGCTGACTCTTCTTGCATTGACTCTCAGTGGGCGGGCGAGGTCATCTCATCGAGGGAGAAAACGGTCGCGACGGATGAGTTCAAAGAGCTCGAGCACGATGTGGAGTTACGCAGGGAGAGTTTGATGCGGTGAGCTGATCACCACCTTGCCGAACGTCGAGCAGGGCTGATCGAAAGGGATAGGCTCCATATCGCAGCAGAAGACTTCAAGCATTCGCTCGCGAAGAAGAAAGATTCGGATGCTATGGACGCTGGGGAAAAGATCACAAGGATTGATGCGCTCGGTATCGTCATGATCAAGAATGGCGAGGAATACGGCGAAGAGTCTGGATACGGCACGTCTGGCTTGCGCTCGCGCTCTATCGCGGAGTTAAATGAAAGGCTCTTCATGCAGGGTCGGCGTTGATCAAGCTTGGTCGAGCACATTGCAAAATTGCGACTCTGCAAGAAGCATTCGCGCTCACATTGCAGGACACGTTTCTTTCCGCCATGCAACGATACGGCGAGGATATCAAGGCTTACGATGTCCAAAGGAAGAAGCTGGACAGTCGCAGGCAAGTGACCGGACGTCAATACGCTTGTATGGGTGATTCTTAGTCGAGTGCAGGCTGAGCTACGATGCTGCCGTGAGCAAGGTGGAACATCTGAAGAAGAACAAGAAAACTAAGGAGAAAGACTTGCAGGATGCAGAGGAGGAACTCGAGATGGCCAAACAGCGTTTGTGAGCCCCGAACGGCCATCACGATGTCTCGTGGCTTACCATATACGTCTGCAGTGAGGAAACCTCCGAAGACGTCCATGCAAGGATGTACGCGATTCAAGAGAATGAACTGAGCCAGTTGAAAGATCTCGGTTCGTTCCTTGACGCGGAACTTAGCTTCGTCAATCAGTACGCAGAAATTTTGCGCGACGTTAAGTCTGACTGGGTCGATGAGTGTGTCTTGCTCTAACAGTGGGACATCAGCCCGTATACTGACCAGGTGCATCCAGGCACGACCTCAGTAAGCGACCCAGACCCCATGGCCCCACTCACTCCTTCACGCGAGAGGAAGATGACCTGAAGAGGTTCGGGTCGGTCAAATCGACGAAGTCTACTCGCCATCGCTCTACCCCGCCCTCAGATGCCGAGACCGAGTCGGATAACGCAGATGTCGGTCGCAAATCTGTAAGCCGCAAACCGTCGATGGCGCGCCGTAAATCGAACATGTCTATGAAGAGTCGCCAATCGGAGAAGGAGAAGGACGAGAGCCGTTCGCATTCGCGTACTCCTTCAAAGTCTGGACGCAAGCGTACGGACAGTTCCGCTACAGCGAATGGCAATTCTTCCACTGCGCAGGCTGAACATGAGGCTGCGAGTTCCAAGAGGCGTAGTATTGCGGGGTGGATGAGCTCCATCGGACGTACCAAAGCGAAGGATTCATTCTCTACTCTCCAGGGCCAACATCCAGATGACGCGAGCGAGGACGAGGACGAGGACGAAGCGCCGAAGCGTCCCCCAAGCTCGCTGTCGAACAAGTCGTCCAAATCTGCAAAGAGCAAATCTAAGACAAGCGACTCCCCCCGTATTGCCTCTCGCTCTCTCCTACAGAAGCGGGTGAAGGCCTTGTACGATTTCTCGGGGTCATCGGACGAGCTCAGCTTCAGGGTCGGGGACGAGATCGTCGTGCTGAACGAGGTGCTAGAAGAATGGTGGATGGGCGAGATGGACGGAAAGACGGGCCTATTCCCATCCACATATACGGAGGTCATTCAGGCACCGACGTCGTCGAAGGCGCCGCCTCTGCCAAGGCGCCCTAGGGCGAGTTCCAGACCACCTACTCTCGCTTCCACACCTCGTTTCAATGCCACGCATCCTGCAGACACGGACAGCTACCTCACGAGCGACGCAGACGATGATCATCCCTTCGGCGACCACATGCTGGTCAGTCACGCCAGGACGCCTGTTTACAACACCTTCGGCGATGCCGACAGCGCTCTCAGTAGCGCCGCGGAGGACGGAGAAGAGGAGGAACGAGGATTGATGAAGAAGCATGATAGTCCATGGGCCGAATCGGAATCTACGATCAGTCGTAAGACCCCTGCCCCACGGATTCCTCTGCGCCGAGGAACGGAGGTCGGCAGCTCGAACAGCCTGGGGAAGAAGGCACCACCTCCACCCCCGCCACGCCGGGCCAACTCCAGTTTCCAATCCTCGGCCTCGTCTTTATCAGCGACGTCGCAGGAGAAACGAAGCAACACGTTCTTGACGTCACACTCGAGCGCCTCGACGTCCAGCCAATCGTCATTATCTGCCTTAGCCGCTGCCACCAGTGGGGGACATGCTGAATCGCCGTTCGGTGAAACTGTGGGTTCATGGTCAGGCCCATGTAAGGATTTCAAGCAAAACCCGTTCAAGCCTCGCGGCATGTGCAGCAACTGTTTCCAGATGCACGAATGATGTCTGCCATCCTTCATATACCCTGATATTGTCTCATACCGGAACTCACCTACCATCTTACGACTATATATTCAACACGATGTACCATATGCATAGATTGGACAGACAACTCAGGAGAACTTGCAACGTACAATCGACGGGCCTTTACCGAAACAAAGCCGTCCCGCGCTCCTACAGTGGGTCACCGGTCGTTTAGACGCCAAATCTTGTGCTGCCTCCTGACTCCCTCACCCAATACCTTCCCTCCCAAGAACTTGTCGCGTCAAAGATATATGCCTTAAAATACCCTATGAATTTTTTCGAGTCAGTATTCTTCTTCAAAAAAAACTCCAGGAGCCATGGAAAGCGTGGGAATGATTTTGACCGTTATTACTCGTTTAGACAGGGTCCCACGGTCACTTTCCCTTGATAACGGATGTTACTGCGGTAATGTGGGAAACAGATGGCACTGCCACTTAGTGCAGCTTGCCAGGCCATGAGAAGAATGCAACACCATCCCTGCAATGAAGAGAAATCCAGTGGACACAGGAACAAGCACAGTATCACTTGGAATCCCAGACAGTCACCCAGTCCGAGTTTTATATTGATAGAGCTAGTTTTCATGGCACAAGAGATGGAGGAAAATTGGTGTCACATAGTCACAGCCTTGTTTGCGATTTTTCATGTTTGGGATAGAAACCCTACTGCTCTAAAAACTACACAGAGACGTCAAAATATACTACTTCCACCTCCATAAAAAGTTTGAGGAGCAACGGAACAGTGAATGTTGAGAAAAAGGCCACTGTCTAAAGGAGAGGTGGTGTCTAGAAGACCGGTGACCCACTGTACCTGGTGCCTGCCGATTCCCGAATGCGACAGCCAGTCCCGTGACTGCTCGGCACCGTCGTGTGACGCAGCGCGTGAGTCACGCACAATGGGCAAATGAGCGCGTCGGCGCGTCTCTTTCCCACGCTGCGTGTCTCCAACCCCTATTCCACCCCCACGACGATGCGCGTTGGGCGGTCCGTTCGGCAGGACACCATCGCCTGCGCTCGGCACTCAAAAAATCAGGAGAGTAGTCTTATATCCGTTGAGAACCTCCTTCAAATTTTGCAACATGCCGCCATAGCAGAAGACACCAACAATCCGTGTGGCGTTCGTCACCGAGTAGAGGATCCAACGCCGGTGGGAACGAAACGTGCCCGTTCGCCTGATGATGAACACCAAGAACCTCCGACCAAACGCCAGAAACCTTCCGAGCCAAGCTTGGACGGGTCGTTGACGCCAGAACCTGAAGACACAGAGCGGCATCCAGAGCCAGAACCGGAACCGGCCCGGTTTCCTGTGTGGCGTAACACGTTCTCCGTCCAGAGCCTTCTCTGCCTTCCCGAGCAACAAAAGCTGCCAGAAACACAGAAACGGACTCGAGCCTCCGCACGCAAATCCCAAGCCGCTGCTGCCGCTGTCAGCTGCTGCGAGCGGGAGACAAAATTGCGCGACTGGCTCGTGGAGCACTCACGGGATGTGCCGACTCGTTATGACCTCGGACCTGTCGTTTTCGCCGTCAAGGAAGACGGCTCCGGGCTCTCTGCAAATACCGAGGACGAAGAAGTTCGCCACATTGTCGATCTCGACAACCTAGAAGAAGACCCCACGTTTGACCCGGACGCGTATGGGCTCAGACCCTCTAACAAAGCTGTTGGCGGCCTCCTCGGCGAGCTGAGCAAGGCCATCAAGACTCACCGGGCTGAGCGAGCAGGCCGTTTCTACCTTGTCGTCCCTCCTTCTCTTGCCTCGTCGAATGAGGACAATACCTTGCAGTTCGAACTTGAGGTGGAGGTTATCCTGTCCCTCATTCCCGATGCGATCCCGCCGGACAGGAACGCTTACCGAGTACGGCCTATGGACATCGACGAGCCCATGCGGCCCTTTGTCACCCGTTTCTTCCATAAACCGGGTCGCCCCGCAGCCTACGATGATCGAACGAGCATCTCGTTCTTCTACTCGATCCTCGGCGCCGCTCCGCCGCTCGCCAAACTCGAGCTCGAAGAGTCTCTTCAGCCGCCTGCGCTTTTACCTACGCTTCTACCTTTTCAGCGTCGCAGCGTCGCCTGGCTCCTTTCCCGCGAAGGCAAAGCTCTCGCGGCCGACGGATCCATCGTCGAGAGCGTTAACGACGACTCCCAGTTACCCCTCTTTTGGTCAATGCTTGACTCCCCTGCAGGACCGGTCTACGCCAACCGTATCACCGGGGAGCTTCTTACCTCTCGGCCTGAGTACACGCCGTGCCTCGGCGGGATGCTTGCGGAAGAGCCCGGCCTCGGCAAGACGCTCGAGAGCATCGCGCTCGTGCTGCTCAACCCGGCACCTCCGGAGCGGACGCCCGAGGTGGGCTACTGGGACGAGGATGCGCGCTTGGAGGTGAAAGAAGTGCGGACGACGCTGATCGTGACGCCGCCGTCGCTTGCCCAGCAGTGGATCGATGAGATCAAGAGGCACGCGCCGTCGCTCAAGGTTATGATGTACGAGGGATGGACGCACAAACCTACCATCGTCAACGATCCGGATGCTGTCGTCGAGACTGAGAAGAAGGGGAAGAAGGGGAAGAAGCCGGCGAAGGCAGCTAAGAAGGGGAAAGGCAAGGGCAAAGCTGCCGCCGCCGAACCCGTGGAGGATAGCCAGGCCGAGGGCTCATCGAAGACCGGTTTAGCTTCTGAGGGCTTCATCAACCTTGATGCGAGCGAGGACGAGCTTAAGGAATGGTGCCATTTCGCACACAAGTTCGACGTTGTGATCACGACGTACCCCGTCTTCCAGAAAGACCTTAACGTTGCACAGGCCCCGTACGAGCGTCCTCGGCGCATCACCGCGAGTTACGGCGAGTATGAGCAGCCCGAACGCCCAAGGAGTCCGCTCGTCAAGTGTGAGTGGTACCGCGTCCTCATGGATGAAGTCCAGATGATTGGCGGAGGGAGGGCAGAGTACGTCGCTTGACCGTTCATAGCTATGCTATCTGTGACTCATGCTCATCTTCTAGGGAAATGGTGTCCCTCATCCCTCGTCGGTCCTCATGGGCTGTATCAGGTACCCCTGCGCGCTCGCGCGTTGGCGATCTGATGCATTCGCTAAGGTATGGTCACTACATACCGTTCAACACGTTCGCCATGCTGATCTAGCATTTTATAGGTTCCTCCGCGTCCCGGAAGTATCATCTAAGCAGGTGTGGAACCGATTGCTGAAGCCGGGATATGTCAACGATTTCGTCACGCTCTTCCGCAAATACGCGATCAGGTTAGTTACCTTGCTTTATTGCCGAACCACCTTGGAGATCATTGACCGACTTCAACGTCTACAGGACAACGAAGTCAAGCGTGAAGAACGAGCTGACTATACCACAGCAGACTCGATACCTTGTCCCGATCAACCTTGGATCCATCGAGCAACATGTCAGTAATTCTCGTGAGACACTTATCGTATCCGAAAGTGACGACCCACTCCCAGGTCTATGATCAGAATTACCAAGAAGCCCTTGACGCATTGGGATTCGATGCCCGCGGCGTTGCGCTTGCCGAAGGCTGGGAGGTCGACGCGACCCTTCTCCGGACGTGGCTCCGTAAGTTGCGTGGGATAGCCACGCATCCGCAAGTTGGTCAGCTGCACGTCGTTGGCGACAAGTTGAACCAGCCTGGCGTCCTGAAGACCATGACGGAGGTCTTGGAGGTACGGATCTTATTTTGGCGTTAGCTGCAGCCTTGGGGTCTAACGAAGATGTAGAATATGCGCGATCTCAATTGGCGGGAAACCATGGATGAGCGCAAAAAGAAGGCACGTTTGAGCGCTATCGGCGACTCATCTCGTTCAGCAATGACTTTAGTGATAGGTCGATACAGCCGTTCGCTATGCGCGGCTCATCCAAGAAGCAGACAACCGACAGCGGTACCAGACCGCCCTCGAAACATTGGTGCAGGCTGAGCAGGATGCAAAGGCACTCGTCGACGACATAGAAGCTGCCATATCCCAGCACGATGCCGCAGGGGAAAAACTCAAGCAGGAGGCCGCGGCTTTGAGGGAGGTTCGCGGACAGAAACTCCCGGAGGAGCCGAGTAAAAAGGGCAAAGGCAAGGGCAAAGACAGGGACAGGGAACATGAAACAGAGTCCGAAATCGACGGCTCGATATACGAAGGCCTCCCGAAGACGCCAGCAGGCGAGGCGCACGCCGCCAAACGTCGAGGCATGGTCGCTAGGCTGAGGGAATGTCGCCTCTCGCTGCATCGCGTCAAATTTTTGCAGGGCGACGTCTACCATATCCTCGGCGAGGCCCAGTCAACGCAGGAAGATGCGGCGTACAAGGCGGCCGAGGAGCTCCGAAAGCTTCTGCTGAAGAGTGAGTGCTGCCCATGCATGCGCAATTACCCTCATCAATGACTCTCCGTTTTCAGCGACCGAAGAGCGCGCTCTAAAAGCTATGGAAGAGCTGGCTGAAGAGGATGACGATATCAGCGAAAAAGATTTGATGCTCGACGTACCGTACTTCGGAAAGGGAGGCATCCGATCTGCGGAGTTGGTGAGTTCGCGCATCTCCGATCCCAGTCTCGTCCCTCATTGATAAATGTCAATCCACAGCTGGAGGAAGGCAATGCGTTGGTTGAAGATGTCCTGAACAAGCAGGCCGCGCTGATGTGGGAGTGGCGGACGAAAATCCGTACGCTGCTGACCCAGAACCTGCTAAGCGGAGACGAGACAACCGGAGAGGAATACAGCAAATCACTCGATACCCAGCGCGAAGTCGAGTGCTACCTCCAAGCTTACTCGAACCTGCTCAGCGATCGCAGAGAGCTGCTGTATAACGAGCGCACCACCCTCGCCGCGCATCAGGGACGAGGAAAGCCGAAGCGCAAGACGAAGGCGGCGCGTCAGGCCGAGGAGGCTCGTGCCGCCCTCCAAACGCTCGAGTCCATGGGACTGCAGGCCGAAGACGAAGCGCTACAGCTCAAGCTCGAGCAAGAACGGGAAGACGTGAAGCTCGCTGCTAATGGCCGAGCACTCAAATCGATCCACATTGAGCTCGGGGGCGTCCTGACGCGTATCACCAGGGACCAGGACCCCGAACAGGTTATCGTGAAGAATGCAATTAACGCCACCCGCCGATTGATGTCCGCCCAGGGTATGTCGTGATTTGTGATCTGTCTCTCCGACTCCGAGCTGACTGCATCGATCGCCCAGAGGAGCTCTTGGGTAAGCTCGACGCGGACCTTGCGGTGTACAGGAGGACGTTCAACGAGCGTATCCTGTAAGCATAGCTTGTTGCTTCTACGGCATGATGCTCATTAATTTCCAATTTGCAGTTACTTCCGACAATTGCAGGAAATATCCGATTCGGTAAGGTTTGCATGTTGAGACACATGTGATGGTTTGCTAACTGCTGGACTTCCTAGGTTGTCGATGTTGAATGGGAAGGGCCGCTGGCCGAAGCTATACAAATATGTCAGGAGGAGCAGATGCGCGCAGACACGAAGGTGAAAGCTGGACGTGCCCGCCAACGTTACCTCGATCACCTGGCGCAGGACCAAGCGTCCGGAGACCGCGATCCGGAAGACAACACGTGCATCCTTTGCAGCTGCGACTTTACGCGAGGTTTTATGACGCATTGGTAAGGTCTCCATGTCCCCGAACCCGGCTCGGATCTGATGCTGACCTTCGCTTGCCCAGTGCGCATATATTCTGCGAGGTAATCCCCCTGTGTGTTGACTGCTTCGCCGCAGATGTCTGACGCGTAGCACGCAGGATTGCATGCAGCTCTGGCTTACTCGGAAAGACAGCAACCAATGCCCTGTTTGTCGGTCCGTCCCTCTCGTACATCGTCCCAAGGCGATAGATAGACTGAAGCTGTTGTGTCATTTATTCGCAGCGTGAGCATCAACGCCTCGGAATTAGAACCCTTCTTGCTTGGAGGGGCGCCCGAGGAGACCTCAGACCCGAAGGCGGATGCGGTTCCGTCGCCGCCCGAACCGGTACCCGTCTCGCGGCGCAAGATCGAGTACAACATGATTGACCCGACGCTGCTGGACGTGATCAACTCGGTTGAGGCGCTGGGGAGCTACGGATCGAAGATCCAGACGCTCGTGCGGCACCTGCACTACGTGCAGCTTACCGATCCGGGAGCGAAGAGGTGAGCGAGCGCCTTACCTTTGAGAATCTGAGGACCCTTATCGCCGTCCTCGACCCCAATTTTTACAGCATCGTATTCTCGGCGTGGGCCGACTCTTTATCCAGTCAGTGCAGCTTCCAGATCTCGCACCGAGGAGAATACTGACGTGTTCGCGGTACTTCAGTCTTGCAGCACGCGTTGAAGCATAATGGCATCCGCTGCCTGCGCATAGACCAGGCGAACGGCAGCAAGACCGCGATGAAGAAGTTCACGACCGACCCGGAGATCCTCGTTCTCCTCTTGCACGGGTAAGCCCTTCTCCCGCCGCCGCCTTCATATCCTCCAGGAAACCGACGCACATGATCGTTGTTGAATCCAGAGAACGCGAAAACGCTGGGCTGAACGTCACCTGCGCGTCGCGCGTGTTCTTGCTTGAGAGTGTCGTGAATCACTCGTTCGAGATCCAAGGTGGGTTCTTGATGTCACAATAGAGCGCGACAACGGGCGTTAATGTGCTATCCATACAGCTATTGCCCGCATCGACCGTATGGGTCAAACCAGGGCTACCGAAGGTGAGCATCTCCCGGACCTTTGCCGCCGGTGCCGCCCCACTGACGCGGTGCTCTCGGCCTCAGTGTATTGCTACTACGCCGAAAGTGCGTACCGATCTCTTTTCCTCCCGCATCTACGACCTTCGATCTGACCATGGTTTTGCAGAGACCGTAGAGAAGAACATCCTCGACCTCGCCGCGCGCCGCGGGCTCTCGCTCTACACGAAGGAAAACGCGCGCGGGACGCTGGACGTGACGCCGCTCGCGAACGCGGCGGTGAAGGAGGCCGAGTCGCTCACGCTCGCCAAGCGGGCGAACAAGCCGAAGGGCGGGCAGAAGGGCGATTTCGTGTTCAGGTGCGTGCTGTCTGCCCTACCTACCCCTTCTATCATCCCCCTGCCCTTTCCTGACGCGATGAACGTAGCGTGGACGACATGCTAGCGATCTTCTTCCCGCATATGTTCGAGGAGATCGAGTTTTTGTTGCCGGAGGAGGACCTGGAGACGCAGTCGCCGACTCGGTCCCAGTCCCAATCACAGTTCCAGTCCCAGTCTCAAGCTGGACCCAGCGGAAGTGGGCAGGGGAACGCGGTTGCGGGACCGTCTAGACTCGGATGAAAGGTATTAAGAGAGGGTCAACGATTATTTACAGTTCATTCTAGACGTTGTTGCTTTTTTCCATAGCTCATTGTTGTTGTGATTGGTGCATCGCTATATCGCTGTTGCTCGGATAGACTCGACATTTGACGCGTGTAGACGTCGGATTTGGCCATTATAATCTCGTTTATCTCTTTAGTATCTCTAGTATGTAGCTAGCTGGATTAATGCATTGGTCTGATTGCTGGAGATGTGGTGTGGTTGACAAAATAAGATACAATGTTGCGCGGGAGCATGTGTCGTTACGCGCGATGTGAGGCTGCGCTAAGGCGCTATGACCCCTCCTGCTTCTTCTTGATCTCGTCCAGTATGCTCTGAAGCACAACTTGTTCAGCACACGGATTTGTAGCAAAGTCTCATAGAAAGAGGGAGTATATGCGTTACCTTGACGCCCTCGCTCTCCCCGACGACGGCCTTGCCGTTCGTCCAGTCGACGACGATCGGCCACTTGAGCGCGGACGGGGTCGAGGACGCGGTCTTCACCAGCGCGTCCGGCGTCCTATTCATATATAACCACGCGCACGCGTTGGACCTTTCGGTCAGAACCGGGAAAACGGGTGAGAGGAGAGGGTTGCGCACGTGGGGGTGGGGGACCCTGCGCCGGCAGGATGGCTCGAGAGGAAGGTAGACAGGCCACCGTTCGCGGTGGAGGAGCCGCCGAGGTTGTAGTGCGTGAGCAGGGTGGTGATCTGGTCGGACGTCGGCGGGCGCTCGACGACCTGGAGGTCGAACTCGAGCGGTTTGCCTGGAGGGAGATAGAAAGGTCGTGTGAGAGAGCACGTACGGAAGGGAGAGACTCACCGTCCTTCGAATGGGGAGGGTAGGGATTGGAGAGCGCCGCTTGGAGGATCTGGAGGGCTTTTACGGAGGGCGGCGAGGACGGGTTGTGGCTACGGGTAACCGGGTTGGTACTCTCAGGGACTTCCGAGCGTCATCGCACCGACTCACAAGATGGAGACCTGGGGCTAACGTGGAAAAGGGGAGGTCAGTCATCCGGACAACGGAACGCGAATGTCGGAAGTAAGACGTACCAGTGAACGGGTGAATGACTTGAACATGGCGAGCAAGGACGAGGCGCAAGTCGAAGCAGACTCGTGTAAGTAGTAAGGCTCCAACCGTATACTATACATATATTGTCCATGGCGTATTTATACAGTTACGGTTATATACTGTATATATACTATATGTATACTGTATATATATGGTAACCTGGAGGCGCATATTACAACTACTCGTTAGCACCGTGTTTCTGACGCTTGCGTGGGGGGTCAGGGTTTTTCAGATCCAGTAATCCACTCTGAATCCAAACCTTCGTAAGGAGTGCTTTTTTGATCGTTTCCGCCTGCAGCGAGCTGCGAAGGTCAGAACAGATGTGTCGGGACTTCGAGAAGACACGCTCGACGGAGACACTGGTTGCCGGAATTGCAAGGTAATCTCTCGCCATACGAGAGAGAACAGGGAAGGTGTGTTGATTCATCTAAGCACCCCCATATAAGACAAACTTCTTTCAACATCAAGAATTGTGGGGACCGACCTTCCACCATTTAAGGGGTTCTTCCTGAGCGCATAGCTTCCCCTTGAGTTTGAAATATCGTTCCAGCTCTTCAACGGCATTGAAACGGGACTGAGCTGAGGGTGACCCCTCCATGTCTTCGTCTAGAATATCAAACACATCCGAGAGAACCGAAGCTCTTGAACTGGGTGCGGGTGACATACGCTTGCCCTCAGGTAGCGACTCTTGCTGGTGAACATCTTCCGACCTCAATTGCGCTTCGTAATTCTCCGCGATGTGTTGAACAAGAACTTCTGCCTTCAATGCCGCGTCACTATCATTGAGCTTCGAAAACCATTTTGAACGGTAATACGGATGAAGCACTGGAAAGAGTTAGGCCCATCGACAGCATCATTGGATTACTCCCAACATACCTGTTGCGATAGTATAGAGGCGATTTTTCTGGGCGAACCCATAATACTTCTTGAGCTTCTCCAAAGCGACAGTGGCTGCACGGCGAAATTTGTCGTTCATGCCAGTAGCTTCAGAGGTTGCGGTGAGGTGGTTGAACATAGTCAAGTATGTCGGCAATGCGAATGGCAAAGTGGGGACGGAAGCCAGAGACAAAAGCAAAGTAAGGTGCGCAAAAACCTGCACACCAGTCAGTACCAGCAGTGACATGTGAGAGTTTGCACACTCACCTCCAATATATCTGCAATATGTGAAAGTTCATCCCAGTCGTCATCTCCGAGGATTATGTCCCGTGTCTCCTTCGTTTCAATCACCCACTCATCAATAGGCTAAAGAACTTGTGAATCAGATACAAACCAATATGAAGGTATAATTATCTCACGTTGCGCAACTTCTGTGCTCGTCGGATCATTGCATGGGTGTAGTTCCACCGAGTACGAATATCCCGAACGACCATGAGCAAAATCACTTTCTTTTCTTCCTCAGTCTTCGCTTTGGCTAATTGGGTTGCTAAGGCGCGGAATCGGCTGCGCCGCTGAGGAGATGACACGATCTTGTTGCAAATTAGGCGTAACTATGAACCAGTTGTGAGATAAATACTGATCATGCCGAATCTGGCATACCTTCTTCAGAGCACTGGTTGCTTGCGATGCCTCTTGCTTGGCCATCTCTGCGGCGATGCCATCCAACTGCGCTCTTTCGGGTGCCGTTGGTTCATCTTTCTCTGCCCCTACCTTGGCCTCAGCCTCAAAGAACTGGAGCTCTTCGTCTTCCCCTTCATCGTAATGCAGAGGGGCGTCCGGATCTTCTTCATACCAGTCCATGCTGTCAGGATCATCCGCTTCATCGATTTCATGAAGGAATGACTGTACGACGAGATTGATTATGTGCGCGAGGCAACGGATATGGGAGTCGGTATTGATCGGGATGTTGTATTTTGACTCCAAGCATCGTCCAGCAGTCTTTACAAGAACATCGTTGACCGATGCATTGTCAGTTGTGAGACTAACAAAGTGCATCGATTGTTAGATGAAGTGCAATACAGAAAAGCTCTGAACTTATCTTAGTTCCACACCCCCTTGCTGAAAGACCGTCAACGAATGCTCTCCCAGCATATAAACCTTGATGTTGTTTATCCCGCAGTGGCTCGAAGTCTACGACCCGCTCCATTAGCCGCCATTCGTCATCTATAAAGGAGCCGACGGTGCACGAGAAGCTGTACACCATTTGGCGTGTCGTCCATGTGTCAGTCTGAAATGCGATTTTTGAAGACAATGTCTACGCGAGAAATTAGTATTGAATGCGGCCCATGTTGAGGAGGGGTCACACACCGAGAATTCGTGAACAACTTTACCATGGAGATCGTCATATATGCGGTTGAGCTCATTTCGTACTGTAGTGTCACTTGGGAGAGAATAGGGAATCTTGAGATACTGGAAAAGAGCACGGAGGATAGGAGATTCGCCTGTTGTCCAAGGCAGACTATCCTCTAAGATCCAGGCAGTGAAAATGCGCTTGAAGCCGTTGTATGAGGTTGGAATGGTGGGATTGAGCTCGCCCTCTCTGAGGAACTTTGCCATAATATCCCCCGCGGAACTATTCTTGATTTGGTTCTCAAGATTTGTTCCAGAAGGGTCACCATCCGCTGTTGCGCTTGGTCGCTTCCCTTTGCAGGTCTTAACGTGTCCCGCAAGATTATGAAGTGAAGGGAGAGATTCTTCATCGTCGAACGTGTCCTCGGAACCAACGGTGCGAACAACGGTGCGGATACTATTGAATTCATTTCAGCAAAGTTACGTGTTAGGGGCCACACCAAAACTCACTTCGGACAGTAGCGACACCGAAACTCCCACTTCAGCTCCTTCCCTTTAACAACGGCAACAGGATCGTGAAAGTGCTTGAGGCTGTGATTGGGGGGTCCCCGTCGTGCACCATGAGATTTCTCTTTTGCCTTGACAGCTCGAAGTGCCGAATCCCCATCTGATTCTTGGTCGGAACCTGAATCCGTACTATCGAGAACGATGCTCTTTCTTTTCTAAGGGTATGTATCAGTATGAATTCGAATTGGGCGAACAAATTCATATACCTGAGTGGGTTGTGATTGTGACTGCTTCGAAGCAGATTTTATACGCTTTGCACCGTCTCTCTTCCTCTGTAGCAACATCAGGAACATCGAGTTGCGCACAGAAATTGAACTTACCTTCTTCTGAATGGTGTTACCGTGATCGGTGTAAGACGTAACTTCCTCGCCATCCACATCAATAACCATACTCGGGCTACGCGGTTCCCGACGCGCCGGAGGGGGTTCATAGTCAGAGTCATGATTGTCCTCGTAGTTTTCGATAAATGCTAAACGAACGAGGATGAGAGACGATGAAACGAGAAGGAGAGAGATCTAACCAGGGACACCACTCGCTCCTGGTACAGTGATGGTCAAGCCAGACGATGTTGTCCTACATGTGTGACATTTGAGAGCTTTATCAGCGGATTCTAATAAAATACGCACCGTGTTACCACTTCTAGCTCCGCAATAATCTTGTCGAGCTTGGGCTCGACTACGATCCATGGCAGCGGAAGATGGCCTGACATAGTCTCTTGCAGGTACGACACGACCAGATCCATACCTAGTGCACCGCGGTGAATGGCTAAACGTCCGTTCTCGCGCTTATCTTCGCCGAATATCGCGTCAAATCGACGGTTGAATACCCTGAATATGTTGTCTTCATTGGCGTCGTTGAGTCCGGGCTGAATTGCGCCAAACTTCTCGGGTATCAGGTCCAAAGGTGTTGCCAGTGGTACAGACAGGGGAAGCTTAGCAGTGAGAGAAGCGATCAAGCGGACTTTGCTCTGGCACGCAGCCAGGTGCGGATCAGTCGGTGTAGACATGATGGATGCAGCTCGGGGGTAAGATCGACAGCTGTTTTTCATGCACATTTATACTCAAACGAACATACACCCACTACGTGAATAGCCGCTCAGTATTACAGCGTGCTCAACCAATGCGTACATTCCGAGCGGAAGCGATCTCTATCTCCATAATATCGTCATAGATATCTGCAGATTGTTCCAGTGTCGTAGTTCCGTGTTGTAATATAGGGAGGGAGCCGTGCAGCATGATACTAGCGGAACAGTAGCAATAGGATTGTTCAAGCGGAAGTGATCGATTCTTCGACGTAGTGCCGCATTTCCAGAGTCTAGCCCTCCAAATGCTGAGAGATCAGCATAGACAACTGCACGCAAGTTGGCATTGTGGAAGGCGAGAGCCAGCTACCAGTAGTAAGGGCGTCGTGCGCGGATTCGCGCACGACGCCTCAGAGTCACAGCCTCAAGCCACCGGCTACATCCTCCCGGTCACGGTAACCCCTGCAAACCGAACTGTATACGCAACCGTCTACCCTATATACATTAACCGTATACCGTAATCCCTGGTAGGTCTATATGTATACATAAACGTATATGGTATTTACCATATATACACAGTAGATAGAGGGTACGGTTGGAGCCTTAGTAAGTAGACTTGCACTCTACGCTCAGTTGGTTCTATGACGTCATGTATCCCGGTGCTAAGATACACTTATGGAAAGCAAGAGTGACCAGCTCATTTGCCGAGTTCATTTAGCTACTGGAAAAAAGGCGGGTGCCCCCCGCCTTCACCTTCGCTTGCATTGCCATTGCACGAGTAGATCGCATTAATATTCTTAAAAAAATAGTTTGACACGGTAAAAGCGCATCGCCACGAACTTAGCACCGCCACGGTTGCTGATGCTTACTAATCACCGGCATCCGAGATACCTGAGCTTGCTCAGGTAAAGCGAGGGCTGTGCAGTCACTGGGACCTCGGAGACCAGCTGTTTCAATGCATATACTGCAGTTATCAGTGTATGTACAGCATGAAGTCAAGGCCGTTCTGGACGTCCCCGGTTGGGTTGCTATTTCTGCTGACGACAATGCTATGGCAAGGCATAACCAGCATAAGCCATGCCGTGAGCAACAAATACTAGAGTTAGCTGTCTCAGCTGATATTCAATGTTCTTCCAGCTCCAGAAGAGCTCATACGAAAGCCAGCAGAGCTGTACTTCAATATTGGATACAACGACAACAAGATCATGGAGTTCCTTAGGGACCATTATGATGGGAACCTGTATGGATTAAGCTATGATATCTCTATCTACTTGCATTCAATCTTAATGTGTCCACAGCATCTACTCCCTGCGCAGGCTCAAAAAGCGCTGGGGATTACATGGGACTTGTCAACAGAAACACAACTTTGTAAGTATAGAAGCAGCCATCGCAGACATCCAACGAGCGCAGAGGGAATGAAGAAGCTCAAGTGGCTTCAGAACGGGATGCACGTATCCAGGTATGTGCATAGGCCCCAAGTGGTGAATGTTGCCCTGACTGATCTACGTCATTTAGAGCTTTGATTGTGGACTATCTTTGTATCCATGAACCACAAGCTGTGCATCAGTGTCAGGCGAGACGGTTCAAGCAGAAACAATTGTGGTCTGCAGGTCCCAACAATTGCTGGTCATGCAATCAACACGACAAATGGAAGTGGTTCGGGCTCTGGCTTCATATCTCTGTAGACCTCTGTACTGGTTACATCAATTGGCTTTGTATATGGTGGTGCAACCGCAACCACAAGCTTCTGGTTTCATACTACCTTGATCAGGTGAGGTCCATAGGAGGTGAGTGTTGCATTTCTCAATAATATCAAACTCTCATCCATACCTGTTTGAGTGTTCCCCTAGAGTGACCCTGGCCACGAGATTACTGGCATTGCTGCAGTTCAGACTGCTATTCAACAGCATCTCGATCCTTCCCTGGTGGGAACTATACAATACAGCTAGACAGGAAAGCCTGGCAATGTACGGTCAGAGATTGGATGGTCGATATTCAGGCGCAACTTTACAGAAGGGTTTGAGACCATTCTAGACAGAGGACTCCATGAGCAATGGTATGATCCTGATGACACCATCAGCGTGTACATTTTTTATGCTTGCTTACTTGCCAATAATATACTAAATGCAGCTGGAATTAGTCTCGTATTTTGCTGGCTGGTGATCCCATGGCTACAGGACGAAATCAACCAATGGGTCAAACTTTGCAACACTACATGCCCGTGCTGCTGTCGTGCACCAAATCTGTTTGGCGCTCGGACATAGCCAAAACACCCAAATTCACAACGTACTGTGATCACGTGATCAGAAAGTCGTGACGCGTAGACGCCATGCCCATAACACGCGTTCAGGAACAGGCAACCCCCACCATACTCACCAACTACCCAGTCAGTATGCAGGTGTTTAAAGCAATTGCCAAACATATATGGTGTAGTCTAACAAAATGGGCGAAGCCCTTCTCTGTCGATCCTCACCCACCCGAACGCACTCCGCTAGCCGATAACGAGACCACTGCGCTTCTCGCACAGGCCGAGAGGTCATCACTCCCTCAGTACATCAGGGTTCTGTTTCCGCAGCACCCCAAAAAGGTCAACCACATTGAGGTCCACATCACTACTACTGTCAAATTTGTACCAGAATACCAGACACGCCTGCCCAGAGCTTCTCCCTACCAGCCTATCGAGGCAGCCGACCTTTTCCTTCGTGCACCTCCTCTATGTTTGCAGTTCGTAGCACTCAACCCATGGCTACATGGTCCACAAATCTTCTTCCTACTCAACGGTCCTCCATTTGCTACCAACCTCCTGCAGCCCGGCAACGTAATATGATTACGTCTTATGTTTGGAAACAAGATAATGGTCGCTAGTGCCTGTATCTCTTACATCCTAGAAGAGAAGGTCAGAGACTACATCATCTATGTCACGCGGCTACACAAGAGATACCGCTCGCTCGACAATATCTTTGGGCAAATGGCCGACGCGTACTACCGTATCGCCACTTCAAGAAGCCGTATGCCCGTCGATTCAGGAGTAGGATACCTCATCGTTGTCGCCAAGTATGGCAATAATAAGCGCGAACCACAGCTTCCTCCCATCAAGAAGGAATATGGACCACTCCCCTTCGGCTGTCCTGTCGCCATCGCAAAACTAGTGGTTGCTACCAACGTCACTCTACATTTACAACGACACTCCCTTTCTCTCCTCCCTCTCAACGATCGACGCCTTCGCCCCAAAAACATACCCGTCAATATGACCCGCTCGTCCCTATTTATGGGTCACCCACGCTTATATCCCCTGATAGCCGACTATATCGAGGGGAAGGATAACACCGCTCAAGTAGATAGATCGCAAGTACCTCGTTTCAATCTCTCATATATCGCCTATTGCCACCTCGTTTATCAAGTAGATCGTTCGTTAGAACTAAAGAGTTGTATATGAACTGTCGTATATAGTTCGTTTCAGAAGTAACATAGCCACAGCCCAGTAGGTATAAGTACTGTCTTTGTAGTAGTAATGAGCAAGTACTCTTTTCCCCTCGAATCTGCCCCTTCCCTATAGTGCTAAGTTGCACTATATTCGTCTATCCACTGCAATAGTTGCAGTATCGTCATCTGCTTTATCTTCTCTTACATTCTCTGGAGCTCACTCGTGGAGCCCATCCTAATTTAGTCTTTGACCTTCCTATTTAGGTCATCCTCTCCATATCCTCTTCGCCTCTGGTACACAGCCATTCTACACAACACATTCCTCACCCGAACAAATCAGGCGATCTCCCGAGTCTCTCACAGACCCCGGAAACCTGAGTCTATTGTGTGTCCTTACACATTTATAGCACGACACCGCAACACAACCAAGCTCCTTCCCCATGGCATTCCCGAAATCATGATGCAACGACCAGATAAGTTTGGCATTAATGACTTCAAGGTATCACTTCAACATATCTGTGATTGATATAATGATCTCAACCTTGGTATAGGTTGTAGTCCCTCCACATATTTTTGACCAGGTGGAGACTCAACACACACCACCATTGGATCCCGTGTTTGAGCTGGTTCTGGCTCTCTTCAATGAACGTATTACACTCGTATACACTGTCCCGCCCCAAAAGTGTTTAGGTGCGGAACTGCCCGATTTGTAAGATCAGTAGGATAGAATTAGCTCAGTAAGCATAGTTATAATCATGTATCCAGATCACGCCCTGCTTACTACTCATGACTCAAGCATAGCGAGTCATCACAAACTTAGTCAGCCTTATGAGTCAGTATGACTCTAATGAGTCAGAACTCGACTTCGACGAGTCAGCACGACTCTAATGAGTCAGATGACTCTTATGAGTCAGCACATGACTCCAATGAGTCAGAAAGTGACTCAACAGGGAGCCGTGACTAGGAGCAGGCCAACTTCTGGAAAAGTATAAAATGTAGCCCCTCTAGCCCAAGAAAAAAAAAAGAAGTTCCCCCTACACGCACGCAGTCCGACAGAGCTCGTAAGCTCTCAGTTTTCTCTCAGACACTCCAATCAGGTCAAGAGTACCTGGTTTTAGTATTTCGACTCAGCACACAGCCACCAACAGCTATATTTGGTTTCCAACTCTCTCAGTCTCTGAACGTTCTCATTTTTACTTGGTTATTCTCTCTCAACACCTCAACACCTCACACGTACTATTAGCAGGAGCTAGTATTCAGAACCCAACCTTCCCACACCCTCACAACACTCTCACACTCACATCAAACACACCGATAAGCTTTATTGCTTGTCACATTCAAGTCAGATCAACTACTGGCCAAACTTATTGAGTAATCTCCGACTTAGATAGCCCGGGACTTCAAGACGGATATCATTGGGATCAAGTTAACTCACCCAGACTTACCAACTATCCCATCCATTTCTACTCACTCACATCCGTCAGACATGACAACGCAGAGATCAGACAGCCACCAATCACAGATCAGTCATCTTGAATAGTCTACTGCAACCTCCTGTCGTGTATCACAGCTCTGGCCTTCGATGACCCCATTTTCTCCAAACATCTACACCTGCCAGTCAGTGACGACTACGATAACAATAATGAAGAATACATAGTCAATGGTGCTTCTGTTGCGTATAGTGGTGAAGCTAGGGAGGGTGGTTGCTCCGATGCAGCTGACTACCCATATATAGACTTTACTGATGATGAGGATGAGGACAGTGAGGACATTGAACATGATTAAATAGTGCAGATGTATGCAGCATAGTGTCGTATACATTGCCTCAAAACCTTGGATCAAAGGTTGTGTGATTGTGACCACACCTCAAGGGTGGGTAAAAGCGAAGAAAAGACCGGAGCAAACAGGGCTTTTTCTCTGTTCTTACTGGCACATACAGTGACAGCAAAAGCAAACTCATATGGGGGATGGAACAGAAACTTTTGACTTTACTGCTACCAATGACAACCCTATACCCTGCGGCAAGTGCAAGGTAAACTTTCCCCAGGGCTGCTGCGCTACTATCGGGATACGAAGGGACAGCATGGTAGATTTCTATGCAAAGCATGTCAGGAATACTATAAGGATAAGAACAAGATATCAGGAGCCCATCAAGGTATTCCATCATTGTTCTACAGTTCCGATGTCTAAAGTTACATACCTACAAACTAGGTTCTAGGCTGAGCTCCCCAGCAGCTGCATCAGTGGCAAGTTTTTCACCAGAAATCAAGAAGCTCAATCATGCCGCATGACTACAGTGTATGTGTCACGGCTAACAGTCTTGCTTGTGTTGCACACCTAACCCCCTTTGGAGCAGACACTCCACGGAATGTCACACCCATCAGAAACCTTAACAACACAATGCTGCCTCCCCCGGTTCCTATCAATCGCGGCCCACTGCTTGGTATCCCTAGAGTTTTGGAATTGCTGGACTTATCTATCTTGACACGTCACGGTCCATCAACACCAGGATATCAGGACATACAAAATCTGTATGACGAGGCATGGAAGCAACTTTGAAATGCGGCATACAGTGACACTAACATGTTATGCGTAATAATCAAAGTGACACCTGAGACAATCGCAGTGCACGTTGCAGTGCTAGCCACAAAGCCTCCATCATTGCCTGCATTCAGAAACTGTGCATGCAAACAGACAGCCACGCACGGTTGACCAACCCCTATGTGCCACCTCCCAGCGCCACCATGCTGGGCAGGGAGAACACGAGATCATTATGCTTGATAATGGGTAAGTATAGCCATCATTATCTCTGTCCTGGAATTTCCTGACCATGCTCTGCAGTGCCCCAACATCGGTTTACAATGCCATAGGCCGGCACATCATCCATCACGGTCTTCACAGGCCATACAGTGCGACCGTGAATGCAGCTGTGATGGCTGCACCCAAGAGCCCTTGTGCAGCTTGAAACTGTATGTGTCTGCAAATTGCCCAGGGAGTCATGGCTGACTCTCTCAGTATGAGTACATGCTACACCGAGGATCCGTTCGAGTTCGTCTTCCTATTCTTCTAAGGTGCCATTCAGTGTTCTAGAACCTCTTCATCTCACAGGAACCGTGCATGTCAGCTGCCTATCTCCGGGATCAAGCTACTATTGATGCCCTTCGTGTTACCCTTGCACCTGTGCGCAAGGTGGTGGAAGGTATGAGCAGTCAGCATCTTTTGTCCCTTCTCTATAAGCGATCTCATACATTATAGACATCTTTAGGACAACCTTCCCAGACCTTTATGCCAAGTATGTCAAAGTCTTGGACGACCTCCTGCATAAACATCCCAACTCTGGTATTACTCCGCTGTTCCTGCCGTTCACATCCTTTTGCATGAACATTGGTGACATGGTTTGTGAGTGCCACAAGGACTGCAAGAATCTAGCTACCGGTCTCTGCTGCGTTATCCCATTCGGGAGTTTTGATCCCTCTGTAGAGGGTCACTTAGTCATTGAAGAGCTCAACATGGAATTCGAGGTAGCACCTGGCGTGCCAATCTTCTTCCCTTCAGCATTGTACACTCACTACAACACCGAGCTGATAAACTATGGTGTTCGTGGGTCTTTTGTTGCCTGGACTAGCGGAATGATCTTTCAATACGTGGACTTGAACTTCAGAGCAGTGAAGGATTTGTCAAAGCAGGAGGAGAAGGATTATAGAGTGTCGGTGAAGGCTAGGATTGATGCTGGCTTGGCACTGCTGATGTCTTAGTTTGTCCACGTGTATACCTTAGACTTATCTTCCTATGCCTAATGTCATCATCTGACAGTATTGCACGAACTGTAGTGCTAGTATATAGTCATACAGTTGCCTAGGGTCCCGGTCTATCTCAGTCAGGGATGACCTAGTTGAATCAGGAGAAAGAAATGGGCCACTTGAATGTATTCACATAAACAGAGAACTATGCTCTGTCCTTTTATCTGTACTGGAAATCTGTTCCCATGCTTATGGGGAAGTCACTGAATATGTCGTCGGTCTTCTGGGAGCGTCTTGTCGCTCTATCTTCTGGAAGCGTCTTGTCGCTTCAACATATCCAAATTCCTTTATCGTATGTCCTGGAGTGATACTTAGATCTATTGCCTAAGTCAACACTCAAAAGTGTCTTGTCGCTTTAACGTACCCTATTTCCTATATTGTATGTCCTGGAGTGATACTTAGATCTATTGCCTAAGTCAACACTCAAATGTCTTCTTAATCTTGCTCTTGCTGCTTAATACTAATAGAGACTGATCTACGGTCTCCTGTGATCAATCGTCGATTCTGGGTGAAAGTGAATTGATTCCCTCGGGCTCATATGCCCTCCTTTTATGCTAATTTGGCCATTTCCCCTCTATCCAATCAGATCACAGGCTTACTAAGCGCCTGCTGCGCTGCAGCATGCTTACTAATATCTGCAGTAAGCTTACTGATCTGCACAGCCTTGCAGCACAGCCCTGTGTTACCATAGCAATGTGTCTGAGTACCCACATATTCCCCTTTTCTGAGGTGTATCTAGACTACTCTGACCGTCTGATCCATGATATGTGATCATGATAGTGTAGTGAACAGTCAAATGTGTACATAAATAAAACTATTACACTACCCAAAAATATTTAAATACTAATGTGAGTCGTTTCTGAGTAATGAGAAAGAAACTGGCATAAGTAAGGATCGGCTACTATGATTGTAGTCACGCAAGTTGTACTCTATAGTAATTGTGAGTGGCTACCTATAGACTACATTCATGTTTCCCGCATGCATTCTACGTGTCTCGCACCTAACCACTTTAGGGGCAGGACAACGGACGCGATGGACGTGCAACGACCTCCGATGCATACTCGGTGCCATCTGACAAATCACAGACGGGTATGGCACCAAGCCCAGCACTGACCAACATCTCCAACCTGCATCAAGAGCAGGCTCCCAGCGCGGATGTCCCTGCGCAACCTGCGAAATCCAAGCGACGTCGCAAGCCTGCAGAAACCAGCGACACGGACTCGCAGAAGAAGGGGACAAGAACACCCGCAAGGGCGCCAAAGACACCCGGCAAGACCACGTTGAAGATTGAGATGAAGATGCCTGCGAAGGCAGCACCGAAGGGCCTCGGTGCAAAATCTGGCAAGAATGTACGCAAAGGCGGCGAGTCCGATGAGGACATCAAGGAGATGGACCCAGAGATGGCGAAGCGAGTGTTGGAGGGGATAGAGAGCAACTGGAGTGAGGAGGACATGAAGATACTTGTCGACTACATCTGCCGCGAGGATGTCTTCGAGGACTTCAAGCTCAAGAAGGATACACATGCCGTCAAGGTAGTTTTTGCTTTGCTTCTCAGCTTCCGTTGAGTCTCATTGCTCCACGCAGATTGCTCAGGATCTTTCGAATAACCGCAAGACAGCTACTCAAGTGAAGTCCTGGTGGAAATACCTTTTCCACAAGTACATCGCTGCATGGAGATTGGAAGAACATACCGGCAGTGGCGATGGCGACGAAAGCAGAATGGAGGCTCTTGGTAGTGACTTGGAGTCAAAGGTTGGCGTTAAGCTCCCGCTGTTGAAGAGTTCCAGCAGCCAATGGTCCCGCGAGACGCTGGAGGAATTCCGCGACTCATACATTTATATGTTATTGACACCGTGTAAGTTTCTTTTTAACTGCATTGCATTAACTGACCACTGTTCTAGTGCGCACGATCATCCTGAAGTGGTTCGTGATGATCCATTGAACGAGGCGACCTCACTCTCTGACAGCGAAGAATCGAGTATCCCCCCTTGCAAGCGTATTCATTGTGAGGGTTCGGAGGAAGATATGCTCAAGTCACTTGTAGACAGCATGAATGCTCAGACCAAGAGCAAGACCAAGCTTGAGGAGCGGGAGCTTCAGATACGCAAGGCACAGGCAAAGCACGAGGAAGAGCTTCATCAGATCCGTGTGCAAGAACTTGAGTTGCAGCAGTGGGTTAAGGTGAAAGAATTCCTTGAGTCACCTATCGCCGCTGTTCAGGAGTTCGGCAAGAGATTGGCTGCGCAGTTGGATAAGCATAAGGAGGGTGACCGTGAATGATCAACATAGTTCATCATGTTATAGCATTTTAATCCTTAATCACTTGTGAATTTCCATAGATTACTTTATTTCAATGTTTATCAATTGAGGAAAGCTCCCTATACATATCATCTCCTCTTCATGAGACCAAGAAGGTGCTTGCGCCGAAAGTGACCAGATCGATAGAGGTCGCTATCTGTCTCCTCTGCTACCTCATGCTGATGAAGTCAGTTGATGTGGCGAGCTACCCGAGGTGCCTCTCCCTCTTTCAGTCCCACAATCTTCATGGGATCATCCCCAATGGATGTCAGGATATTGTGCGAGACAAAAAGTGCTTCAATGGTCCTGTTGACTCGCCGGAGGTTGTGGCCAGGGATTAAACACAGATACTGAAATCGGCCCTTCAGTAGTCCAAAGGTGTGCTCAATCTTGATGCATATAGCAGACAGGTGCTGGTTCCAATGTTTCTGATGTTCAGATTCGTCAGAATCTGTTGTGAGATCAGGATCTGCAAATGGGCGGATGGTGTACATCGAGAGGGGATAACCTACAATTAACATTGTAAGCACAATAATGAAGATATCCAAAATATATGACATACCTTTGTCCACCATGATGAACTCTGTGTTCTCAAAATATTCTTCACGATGTTGCCATAGCCGGGACTGCTTGAATATGGTAGCATCGATAAGACATCCTGGCCAGCCAAGCTCATAGCTGGTTATGAAGTCTTCGTGGTCACATATGGCCTGAACTGAGAGCTACATAAATCAGCATTTGAGTGGTGTATTCACGTGGAGGTATGAAGACATTCACTGCATAGAACATTTTCCGACACCAGAATGACCATGGATTTCTCAGAGACCAATGAGCAAGCCTGAGAAGAGATCCATCTCCAATCCCAATACAACCAGGGAAGGTCTTGTCCTCCATCCACTGTTTGATTGTTGCCCGCCTCGCAGCATCTGGCCACTTGAGATACTGTGGCTTGAGACGGCGGAGTGCTTTGGACACACGGTCAAAGTATAGGAAGCTGCTACCTTCAGCTACCCCGATGATGTCGCCTATGGGTAGGGCTGTCAACCCGCCAACCTGCATGTAAAATGCGGCCATCTGAAACTTGACGGGACGCTGAGGCTGGCGAGGTGTGCTGGCAAAGACTGGATCACTTTCAATCAGGCCATGTATATGCCAGAATGCATCCCTAGACATGCTGTGTATTCGGAGCTGTAAGTTATCACATATACATCGAGACAGGATCTGTATTACCACATCCATATCCTGAATTGTTTCTCGCTAAACCCTTCTAAAAGCAAATTGAAGAATTCCTCTACTTGTGGAGCATTTGTCATGGCACGCCTCCAGTACCTGTCTTTCCCTGTTTCTCCGCATTCCCCACACACTCTTTTTACCCTTTCAGGTTTCCTAGGAGCTCCCAGACGCTCCTTCTATTCTTTTGGGCCTCCTAGGAGCTCCATACATTCTTCTATCCTTTCGGGTCTCCTAGGACCTCCGCACCTTGCGCGGCCTTCCTAGGCCATTCCACTGGTCACGTGCCGGGCACCCGAGGAGCCTCCCTCTCTCTCATTGGACCATCCCTCATGTTGCTGATGGATTACTCAGCTACTATATAGTCGCCTGTCGCACCAGGGAGCAACTCAGACTTGTTCTCTCAGTTGCTTCCCTGCCTTGTGTGACAGGTATGTGTATTCGTCTCGTATCTTTGTATATATGCTCAGTTGCTTCCCTGCCTTGTGCAAGAGCGTCTCCACCACCGTCCCGGGGGATCCGCACCGCTCCTAGGAGCTCCAGTGCGTACTCTGACAGCATTATATGGACCCCTTCTGCCCCATCTGCCATGACGTGGCTGATTCTGCTTGGTCTTGATCGTGAGTGCAAGCATGGCCTGCACATTCAGCTCGTCAACCTCATCCTCAGCTTCTGAGAAGAGATGGCACGTGACTGCAAGCATCCGCTTCCATAATGGCAGCCTGTGTTAGGATTTGAGCGGCGACGCCGCCACGGCAAGCCGGTGCGGTGACGCATATACCCGATGAGGCGCTGCGTGCCTCGTACCTATCTTTGTTCGGGCTCAGTATGGACTGTTGATCATCTGTAAATACCATCTCGCATTGTAACCGCGCTTCGCTCTTGCCCTATTCTCCCTCAGAGCGAAGCACATGAGTCACTCTCTATATTCCCTGTAGTTTCCCTTGCTGATGTACCGTAGTAATACCTACCGCTCTATTATCTAGGTACATCCAATATACTTGGCTCTTGCCCTATTCTCCCTCAGAGTGAAGCGCTAATACCTACCGCTCTATTATCTAGATGTTCCCTCTCGTCAAACGCTCATTATAGCTCCACTGTGACCTGCTCTTAACAGCCTGGTCTTGGTTTCTTTGGTGCGACGCGTGTGTAGGCGCCGTGTCCTTGCCATACCAGTGTACTTTGTGGCAGAGGATGCTCATTGATTGATAGCGAACACGATCCTCGTCGCGTTCATCGTGTTTGTCAATTTAAGCGGAGCTTAAATTGTCACTGCGCCGTCCGGCGGTGCCGACTCGAGCCACGTGGATATGGCAGATCCCATCAAACGTCTCACTCGCGAGCCTCTCGACTTGTTAACCCAGGCTTGTTATCCTCATTATTGAGTGAGGCTATTCCGTTACCATAAGTTCGTAATGCGGAACCCCGGCAGTGATAGGGCTCATTCAATTTTCAACAGGTCCCACGGGTCTTGCTAGTTGAATAAAATATCCTACACTCAAAGCACAGAAATTGCCGCCACAGATTCCAAGGCAATATACATACGACGAGAATCGTCAATTTAGATTTAGAGAGAGTGCCCCGAGTGTGAATCCGCTGCGCAGCACTTATCACACCTGTTGAAACTGAATGAGCCCTATCTTATTGCAGTCTCATCGAAATAATGGATATTCCAACCAACACCTTGCAACAATCTGAGCATGATACACGAGTCTAAGAGCACCAAGCCACATTCCTAATCATCGAACACATGCCCGTCCCACACATACCCCCTCCACTCGTTCACCCACCACCTCACCTCTCCCCCGCCCCCCGCCGCCCCGCCCCTCCCCTCCTCCTCATCCCTCACCACCTCCCCGGCCTCCTCCACCTCCCTCACCATCTCCACCACCAAGCCCAGCGGCACACCTCCTCCCCCTCCCCCTCCCCCTTCTCCCCCTTCCCCTTCCTCCTCCCTCGCGACCTCGACCGCCGTACGCGGCCCGGCGAGCGCGATCAAGCCCACGAGCCGCGCCGCGAACGCGGCGGGCGCGTACTCGGGCACGTGCAGGATGTGCACGCCGCGCGAGCCGAGCTTGCGGGCGCGGACGGGGGGCCGGGTGTGCGCGGGGAGGTGGGGGAGGACCTGGAGGAAGGTCGAGGGCGGGACGAGGGCTTGCGAATAGATGAACGAATCAGTGAATGAATAAAACGGAGAGACGAAGGGGGAAGAAACGTACCGACCCCGCGCGCGCGGTTCCACCCGCCCCATGCCTCGTCGAGGCCCATCACGCCCCGGCGCGCCATCAGACCGCCTCGTCCCCCTCGTCCGCCTCGTCCTTCTTTAGTACCGCCGCCTGCAGTACCGCCGCTGCCTTGGAGGACGCCGGCGAGCTCGCGCGCGAGCGCGTCGAGCCAGCGCCGCTCGTCTTGGACCATGTCGAGCGTGACGGGCGCGTGCGGGATCTGGAGCCCGAGCTGGGTGAGCGAGGAGCGGATGAAGGTCGCTTCTTCCGGTTCGATGATCGTCGTCGTCGTTGTATTTGCGGTCGCGGTCGTGGAGGAGGAAGGGGAGAGGGTGGTGGAGGAGGAAGTGAGCGCGGTGAGGCGGTCGTTGAGGTCGGCGGCGAGGGCGACCATGTCTTTGGCTTTGGCCATGAGCGCTTCGAGGTCGGCGAGGGCGGTGGTCATGCCCGTGGCGGTGTGGTGGGCGGAGGAGGAGACGGTGGTGAGCACGCCGTCTTTTTTTTTTGTGAGGGAGGGGGCGGAGGAGGAGGGGAGTGGGGGCCGTGTTTTTTGTTGTTTTTTTACGTCGTCAGCGGGTTCTGGATATGCAACGGCAAGGGGGGGAAGGATGAGAAAAAACGTACGGATGCCGGCGGCGGGTTGTTGCGATCCGGTCGGTTTTGGCTTGGAGAGCGCGGTGGACTGAGAAGTAAGCGAAGTTTCAGAAAGCGGAAGGATAGCGAGAGAGATGCGAGACTTTTATTTACCTCCCAGGCTTTGCCGGTGAGAGCCCGCTTGAGTGCGGCGTAGAAGGCGCGGTCGCCGCCCTTGCGGAAGGAGAGCTTGATCGAGCGCGTTTCTTCTTTGACCTGTGCGGAGGAGGAGGGGGGAGGCGGAGGCGTGGCGAGGCGAGAGGCCAGTGCGGACCGCATCGAGGAAGTCGAAGTCGGGCGGGAGGGTGGAGGAGGCAGGGGCGTGCCGCAGATCTCGCAGGCGCGCAGGGCGGGGTGGTTGAGGAAGGTGCAGGCCGGGCAGGACGTGGTCGTGGAGGAGGAGGGGAGGAGGAGCGAGGGCGCGGAGGAGGACGGGTGCGCGGGCGGTGCGGAGGAGGGGGAGGGGGAGGGGGGGACGGAGGAGCGGGGG